TTCCAGCCGCTTCAACCTGATTGAATCTGTCCAACTGCCACATCGCCAGGCTGTCAACAGATCTCCTCCCTGTGAAAAACTACGGGTGGATTTCTCCATCAGCTACCTTATATCCTTATCTTTACAGTTGAAAATCTCACTGGCAGCGGCGCGAATGTCTGAATTATTCCGGCCGTTAAACCACCTTGGGCGGGAGTACTCAGTCTTTCACGGAAACACGACGCTATGCCGGAAAGGACATCACTACGTAGAACTAGGCGACCACATACGAGGCTCGATGATTTCTGCTCATATTTCTGGTGTCGGGATCAAGAAAATTCCAAATTGAGATTATATTATACGAGATACCATGCTCCGTCGCTTCAAGGACCAGGTTCGCCAGCGTGATCAATTCGGTATGTGTACTTGTAAATTTATTACGGGATCGAAGCTGATTGTTCCCAGCTCGTACTCCTACCGCTCACCCGCGTCCATCATATCAATTTCCATACTAGAATTCATCATTCGCGAACAGGTACGTATAGCCCGCTTCAGTTTATGCGATTGAAGATGAATTAATTGTACTGTCATCCACGCGCTTTATACTCATTATGGCGCTGTATTCAATCAGGGAAATTCGCCATTCCTGCAAGCTTCTATCTTCTCGGCTTCTTTTCCCTGCAAAAGGGAGATTTTTATCACAGCATGGTCAGATTGATACCATCGAGGGCCTGGCCAATGCTCTCTGAATATTTAAACCCGTTCAACGCTTGATGTCTTCTACGTTGAAACATCATGTATCTTAAATTGATCGTACTAACCCTCGCCCTCGTTTGTGGGAACCATCTCACTGGCTTCCTGATTATGCGTTCTAACCACCAGACTTTGTAGTGGTCGCTTCGGCCTTGCCAGTCGATGGGCCTGGAGATGCCATACCGCCAACCTCACTGACAGGCGATGTAAGTCGTTCAAAGTTATATAGGCTATCCAAATGTTTGATCCAGAGGTTTAGACGCTCTCAGGTAGTAGCCCTCGTCCATCGCGCACCGGTATCGAGCGGTCGTTGAACTGAGTACAAGCTCAGCCTTTGAAAAACATCTCAATTAATCCCACTGTGTCCGAGTTTTACACAATAGATGAAAGATCAAAAACTAGTAAAGAATATGATCGAATGAGGTACGTCTGTAAAGTTTTACAGTAATGTCTGTCTACGTCTGAAGATAACGATTACATCTATTTCGCATGTGCATCTTATAATAAACCATAGCATTAGGTAGGGACGTCTGTACATCGAGACCAGGACCCTCTAAACCTCAACATTGACCGGCATGTTATCAATAAATCCAAGCGCCCAGGAGAATTTCCAAGGTCGGCGATCCTCGCCTTAAGCTCTTCTTGCATGTCTTCACCCTGCATCAAATCCGTCTTGAGTTTCCGCCTCTCTAAAACGTCATGTAGCCCCATCTGGTGGACCACGGTTTGCGTGTGCGCGAGCAGGAGATAGGATCTCGGATCTGTTGCCCAACCAGGCGGTGGGCACGGGCAGCGAATATTCCAAATAGTCCTTGGGACTCAGCGCAATGTCTTCTTTGTCCATAGAACCGTACGATGTATGTTTCTCTGCATCCCCAAAGTTCGTGTAAGCATCTGAATCTTTTACTGTCGGAGTAAGAGGCAGATTCGACTCGGATCGCTTTTGCCGAACCATCATGTCGCGGTGAAATATGGCAGGATATTTCCTCTTCTGCTGTCGTCTGTGGAGGATGTATACGAGGGCGCATAGAAGGAGCAGCAAGAATACAAAGGACCCGACTGTGGCACCGATGATTGGAATTATTTTGGATTGCGAACTATTGGTAGCAGAAGATGTGGAATTCTCATTGGTGGATGAAACTGGCGGATGAGACCTGGATAATCTGATAAGTCATCAAGACAGGTTGAACGGAGAATGACATACGTGGATTGGGAAGTCAAGTTCGTAAGAATTGTAACTGAGTAGCTGGTAGTTTTGAAATGAGTGAGATTTACAGTTCAATACAAATTATTCGAGAATACGTACGATGAAGTACTACCAGTGGTGACCGAACTCCCTGAGGTTTGGGAAGAGCTATTGAAACGTGACCGATGAGCTACGTGCGTACATGGAAGGAGCGACAAACAGACGAACCTCTGAGTGGTTGTTTCTCCGGACCCGGGGTTCATCGGAGGATTGGTAGGTATTGGCCCAACATTACTGGTTGGTATTGATGCGTTAGTTACAGTGGTGCTCCCAGAGCTAGTTATTCTGACGAACAAATCATGAGCCGGTCTTGTTAAGGGTAAAAGAGCGTAATGAACATACGTAGATGATGCGTGGAACGGTGACATTAATTCCGGAACCGGGAGCACTAGTAGACTGGCTGGGCAACGTGAGAATACGGCTGCATATACTACCCGCGAATTGGGTAACGCTGTTGTATTAGGAAGCAAGAAGTTGACAGATGAGACTTGAGAGTTCAATAGACGGACGACGAACGCACATAGGAAACGAGGGCACTTGCGGAGGCAGAGTGTGCAAGCTGATGATACCTCTCCTTTACGACCATCAAGAGAGCTGCCAGCGAAGTAGCGAAGTGGAAAACAAAACCTGTCCGTTAAATTTGAGTACTGCTCACGCAATGAAAAACACGAATCTTGAAAAATAGTAAGCTGGAGCAACATATAGTGGCGAGGCATGACAGGATGGGTACCGTTGTGAAGCAGACAGAATAGTAAGTCAAGCTAATGCGGCTGTGAAGATCAGTAGTCTGGGATATAGATAAATTATCGCACACCGCCATTAAGATACGAACGCGGGATGAAGATCATGACGTAGACACTGGTCAGCATAGGATTCAAATACTATGAGATCACGTAACACTGAAACGGTTCTTGGATACAAAGAGTGGGTGTCACGGTCAAACAACTAGATAGTATAGATGTACTGCACCTAATGCAGTTTTCTGGGGGAACCTTCCACAACACGATGAAATCAACAGAGGTCTGTTTTAACACATCTTTCAACATGGAGTTCCCGCAACTTCTCCGCGTCTTCACCACCCGCCAGACCGATCACTGATACTTTCTCAAACTTCCCATCAGTCTGCCTTAGCCGCCCGACTACCCAGATAACACCCGATCCAGTGCGAGATCGACTGGGGCCTATGAGCGTATACCGGTCCGTGCTTGGTATCGGGTACGTCGTGCTCAGCGACGATCGTGCAAGCACAGAATCCTCTCGTGCAATCCTTAATAACACTTCCCCTCCCGAGGGCTCTTAGACGGGTCAGCCAATCCACATATATAGATCGAATCAATAAACACTCCCTCCTACCAGTCTGATTCTGTCCGACCAACATCCCCAATATCATGCAACCCCTTCATTCCCACGAAGCGTGCGAGCCATCACCTGCTCCCATGATGGTCGCCAAAACACATTCCCATTCCCAGGCTCTGGGTAGTAGAGAAACAAATTCTGCCCGTAGCGGAGGCGCCATGACGTCCACGAGGGCAGTCCAGGCATCCTCTTCGGATGAGCACCGTTGTCTATATCGGGATGGACTCCCGTGTTGAAAACATATACCAAACCTGCGACTTTGTCTAGCGGCTTCGTTGACACCCGCTTCCGCATCTGCACTAGGAAGCACAACGTCGAGACCATACAACGCATCCTGTTAAAACAATTCAAGTTGGTCCCATGGACCCTCATTAGCATTTCCTCATTGATGAACTTGTCATCGCCCGTCTCCCCAACAATAACTAGATGGTAGCCTTTTGGGATCTCCTGGAGCGTCCACGCTCGATTGAACCAACATCGGTCACTTTCGAAGTCACCCGGTTTTTGAAAACTCAGCGGCCGACCCAGTCCGCTCAAGTAGCATACCACTGTCTGCGTGGTGTCATACACGTATCCGATCGTGGGGACGTCCAATTTCCATTCCTCCTTGCGGAGAGCCTCCTTGAGCTGATCCTCCTCCCTAATCGCATACTCCTGCCGCAAACACAGAACGTCTAACCACACATACCCTGCTCCGAGGTTCAACATCTCGATGCGGATGAGATCAAGGTTCGCATCGTTTGGCATGGGGACGGGCCACTCGTATCCGTTGATGGGCGTCATCACATCCATACGCTCCTCCTCAGACACCCATGCATGCGATATCGCACACCAGTCTGTGAGCGGTGTTACCCAGTATGGGACTACCCGATTAGCGTACAGATCCCAGACGCGTCGAGGGGGCATGTCGCGCTTGGTGATCCTGTTATGGACGATCGCCTTTCTCCGCATTTCCCGGTCATTCTCCTCGTCCTTGCATCTTCTCTGTTCGATGGTGGCGAAGTCAAACCAGTAGGAGCGCAAATGAGCGTAGACGGTGCCGAAATCAGAGTTTCGTCTGATGTAGGATTCGAGAACTGAGGACATCAGGGGGGATAGAATGTAAAAAGTGCCAAGTGTTGTGTTCAGCTTCTCGAAAACTCCGTGTACACCAAGATTGGCACAGGGAGTGTCAGCCAGAGCAGACGGTATGACCCTTGTACCAGTGTATGACCGTTGCCTCAACACAGGAATGTTCGGTTCGTCCCGACCAGTCTCAGCGAGGGCAGAGAGTGTGATCTCAGGAGGATCATACTCGCTCACCTGCACGCAAAGTGTTATTGCTCGCCTCTGTAGAACACTGTTCTTACCTCATCCATTAGAAAGTCCATTTCGCCCCCGTAATTGTCCCTGTCTTCCTCCGAAAGATTATCAGACCCCCTTCCTGGTGATAGAAGGATGATCGATGAAGATGGGTACCATCACACCAAGACAAGGACACACCTACGTCCATACTGTACCGCCGATCCGTCGTCACACCAAGCAGTCTTAGTCGTGCCGTGTGGCAAGAAGGAATGAATGCAGACTAGCGCTGAAACGTGTCGCCAGCACTGCCAAAAAAATAGATCCTGAAGATAGACGCCGAAAGATAACAGATACATACTAACATCCGGGCTAATCCTTCATCGTCCTACATAGAGCAAACACAAAAATGAATAAATGAGAGATAAGAGTGGAATTAGGAAAGTTCATCTTGATCACTTGGTTGGCGTGATGGATGACTCGGTGCACACTGAGAAGGAATTGTTTAAGTGGCATGAACTATTACTGTATAATCTCGATGAGAATACCACGTAGGTCCTCCGATATCCATGATGAGTTCTGGAGGAAAACGTGCGTCCTAAGAATCGATAAGTCAGTCCGTTAAACATGGCGCGAATTCAAGAGTGTCACTGGCATCGATATTTGCATATGAGGAAGAAAAGTACAGGCAGCAAAGATTTGGAAGGCGACTGCGAAATTTGGGAGAGGGTATAAGATCGGAAACGAGGGACACGATCCTGGGAAGGCGACAGTTAGGGTGTAGCAAAGAGACATGTCATCATGGAGGGTAATCTATGATGCCAGGATCAAAGGCAGCATTTTTTGCTGAGTTGAGCGTGTTCTTGAAAACAGGAATCGGATGGCATGCGCATTACCATAAGCATTTAGTATCCGGGCTCCGCCAAAAGCCCGCGTTCAATGAGCTGGTGAAGTCCAAGCGCCAAGATGATTCGCTCTTTATATTCGTGTCCTGAGAATGGGATTCTCGTTGTGCTGTTCGTGTCGGAGTTCATGTTGATAAGAATCGTGAAAGACTAAAGGGAGAAGTCAGAGAGTCACATGGTCGCTGCAAAGTGGGCCGTGGGAAAACATATGCCCGGTCCCCCATTCCCGCTTTTCATCTTCTCGGCTGCTTTGAAGCTCTTTTAACGTCGGGGTGTCACCAACGCCGAGGCCCGCTCTCGGGGATCCACTGCTGTCGAAGACGAACGTGGAAGGAAGGATCAGGCGGGTCGATACCCGGAGTCGACAAGAGCAGTTACCCGTTGGAGTACTCTCCAAGTCCAAACCGCTGGGACTCACTTGATATACGACCGACGATGATTCCATGCTGAGAACGCGAGGATAGGGAGAATGGGTAGAGTGCACAGACACTTCGGGTAAGAGGTCGGCTGGCAGCCTGGAATATGGATGTACGGGCATTTCCTCTTCTGCCTGACGTTTCCCTAATTTCGGCTTTCAAATTTCAGGATCGAACTCTCATTTTAGAGTTGGCTGATTCGAGACAGTGTGTAGTTGTTCACCCCTGCCTTGTATACCCTGCAGTCGTCTGGCTCACTGGTTCTCTCAATGTGGGTAAAGACGTATCTGGATCAATGAGGTGGTGCGCAAGAACAAGTCGTGGTCGCGGATGGAGAAGGCTAGGTATGCATGTGAGCATTCTTTCTTCCGAGCCCTATTGATGTTGTTCTAAGTTTCTGTCTACAGGTCACCCAATCGTGCGCACGCTGTTACATCTGCGTGTACTTCTCGTCTTGTCCACTAGCTAACACTCATGGACATCGGTACTCTTCAAGTAAACTGGTATCATATGAATGGAACGAGGGACGGTCGAGGTACGCGTCTTTACTGTTGCCTTGACACTTCCAGTCTGACGCATATATAGAGCCTTCTTGGCTTACGATCAAGATGTCTGGCTTCTGGGTCATGTACAGCCTGTTTGTTGTGTTATGTACATTATTTCATGGCATGATGGCACGTTGGAACCGCGCACAGGGCTTGTTCGATTCCAGCTCATGTCATTTGGTAACGGAGCAGAACTTTTTATTTACTTTCTCCTGCTGCCAGCCACTTGGAAGTGTCCCGGTGATATTACACTCAGCTCCTTTTCTTTCCACGTACTGTGGATGGAACACATGCAAGTTGCCCCTTGCAGGAAACCCTATCTCCCTTGTACGGTCGGCTTCACTTTGGCTTTTGCTACAAGGTTCATACTTATTTGAGGCCAGCCCCACCGCCGGGATCATCCTGTCGTCATTTCTTGTTGACCGTTCGCTTTAGCATCCCATGTTACTCATTCTTTCACATCCAACATATCGATGACGTTATGAAAGTCGGGCTTGATGCTGCTGTTGAGCCTCTAGTGGTAGCATTCTTCACGTCGAATTGGGATCCGAGATACGCAAACGCTGTCGAGAAGACCAAAGGGTGTAAGATGATTTTTCTAGTCTTTTCTCTTATGTGTCTGTCCGTGGTGTCCCATTAACCAGTACCTTGCATTATCGAAAGCCAGTAATGAAAATTATCGTATGTGTATACAGCTATGAATGTCAAGTAGAGTACAGCTTACGCAAAATACAATAACGTCTGTCTACGCACGGAGATAACAATTATATCTATTTCAACGTCTGCGTCTTATAAATCGTAGGACGGTCAACGTCCCCATCTTTACATCAAAACCAGGACCCTCGAAAACCCGACCGGCATGTCATCAGTTCTCCTCTTGCACATCTCCACCCAGCGTCAATCACGTCTTGAGCCTGATCAGCTCAGTTTTCTGTTTCGCTGAAACATCCTGTAGTTCCATCTGGTAGTCTGTGTGTGTTGCCTGATGGAGCGGGAAGCGAAGAACCGTACGAAGCAAGTTTTTCCGCATCCCCAAAGTTCATGTAGGCACCTGAACCTTTTACCGGATTTGGAGCGCTTCCGCCGAACCATCATATCATGGTGGAATATGGCAGGATGTTTCCTCCGGTGCTGTCGTCGGTGGAGGGTGTATACGAGGGCGCATAGAAGGAGGAGAAGGAATACGAAGGAGCCTATTGTAGCGCCGATTATTGGAATTGTTTTGGATTGCGAACCACTGGTAGCAGAAGATGTGGGATTCTCATTTGAGGATGAAACTGTTGGATGGGACCTGGATAAATTGTGAAGAAAGGTTTCATTAGAAAAGAAGGGAAAGTGACAGACGCGGATTGAGTTTCATTTGCAGCTGGGAAGGTGGTAGTTCTGAAGTCAGATTCAGATTTGCAGTTCTCAATACGAATTATTCCAAATGGCGTACGATGAAGCGCCAGCCAAACTACTTCCTGTAGCTTGGAGGGAGCTGTTGAAATGTGGGTGACGAGTGGTGTAAGGAGCAGGGAATAAACGAACCTTTGAGTCGTTGATTCTGCAGAGCTGGAACTGGAAGGAGGTTTGGAGGGTGTTGTCCCGAAAGGATTGATGAAGATCGATGCATTAGTACTCCCAAAGCTGGTCATTCCAAGAAATAAATTATGAGCTAGTCTCGTTAGGAGTAATAGAGGGCAATGGACGTACATAAACGATGTTGAGACAGTGGTAGTAATTCCGGAATCAGGACTACTGGTAGAAGTTGATGGGCTGGGCGGCGTGAGAGCAATGCTTTCTGGGTTACTATTGGTTCCAATAGTAAATGATCTGTAGTAGGAAGCGAAGATGAGACTTGATTGCTCGATACTAGAAGACGGGCTATGAGCGCACCCAAGAGGTGTCCATGACGCCAGCAGAGGCACAGCTGGTGCATTTCCTTGAGGTCCACCGAGAATAAAGCCAGTCGAAGTAGCAAAATGGAAACAAAACCTGACCGGTGAATTGAGAACCTGTCCAGTGCAATGGAAAGGGTGACTTACAAAATCAGCTGGATTGACATCTAGTAGTGAGATGCGGTAATTGTGTATGAAAGAGTGGGTGTGGTGAAGTAGACAGGTAGTATAGAGTTGGTTGTGTGGCATCTGAATGCGGCTGTGAGGAGAAAGCCGAAACTATCAGTAGTTTGAGATACAGATAAACCATCCATCGTATACCGCCACTGAGATGCGAGCGCGGGATGAAGATCATGATGTAGACGCCGATCAGCATAGGATTCGAATACTATGAGATCCGGAAATACGGAAGCAGTTCCTGGGAACGAAGAGTGGGTGCCGCAGTCAAACAAACTAGATGGTACGATGCACTGCGCCGAATGTAGCTTTCCGGGGGGAATGTCCGAACTATCAGCATTCTGGGATATGCATGATTCATACATCATCCTCATTGAGATATAAATATGAGTTGAGACGAAAGCTGATCAGCATAGCACTCACATATCATAACGACATGTAGTAAAGAAGCATTTTGTGGGTAAGGTGCGATGCCGGGATCAGACAGCATGGATAGCGATCTCTTTGTGAGTCATTTTGTGTTGCATACCGGTTTCTTCATCCCGTTCTTGAAAAAGGGAATCGGATGGCATACGCGTTTAGTAGGGTCCAACAAAGCCATCGATGCATCATGCGTTCAACGCGCTGCCATGGAGCCAGGATCATTCACTCTTTATATTCACGTCCTGAGAAATCAGGATTCTCGTCACGACGTTCATGCAAGGGCCCCATGGTTTAGTATTCTCAGGCAGGTGGTTGACAGGGCCAGAATGGCGTGCGCAAAGATCTGGTAGAAAGAGAAGCGAGATCACATGGTCATCGCCAAGTGAACCATGGGAAAAAATGCTCTCCTTCGCATTTTCATCTTCTCTGCTATTTTGAAGCTCGTCTCATGGATTCAAATCACTACGATGCATTGTTCCTTAGACATTACAGTGTTGCCGACTCCGACTCCAGCTCTCTAGGACCCGCCATTGTTGATGATCATGAAAGGATCAAACGTGTCGATACACCGAGTCAACAAGAACACTCTTCCATGGCTGTCTGCTGAAGTACTCTCTAAACCGCCAGCGTTAATCTGATATGTGACTACCTGGGAAGGATGATGGTTCCACGCGGAGAACAGGAGGAGAGGGAGAATGGGTGCGAGGCACAGACCCTTCCCTCAGCGCGGGTAAGGGGTTGGATGGAGGTGCGGGCGTCTCGGCCTCTTTTGCTTGGTGTTGCTCTAATTTTAGCTTTCAGGATTGACCTCACGTTTCAGAGTTGTCTGATTCTGGACAGTGTGTAGCCGTTCGCTCAGCCATCTACCGGTTCATCGACATCAATAATATTAACTGCAATGTGAGGTCACATCTGGATCAGTGGGGTGGTGCGCAAGAAAGACTCGTGGTCGCGAAAGGAGAAGGCCATGGTGCAAACATCTTTTCCTGAGTCCACTTGACGTTGCTCTAAGTTTGTGTCTACAGGTCGACCGAACGTGGACGCTCTTTTAGATCTGTGACTCCTTCTCGCCCTGCCCACCTGCTAGTGTTCATGGACGTCGGTGCATGTTAAACTGGTATGGGATGGAGGATTGAGGTATGCCTCTTTTCTTTTGCCCTGACGTCGTTCTATCTTCCGGTCTGACGTGTCTTCAAGATGTCGGCGTCGAGTGGTGTTGCGATCTATTCCTTCCATACATCTGCATCCACGCTTCACCAGGTCCACCTCCCGTGTGCGCTCAGCATCTCCGTGTCTACCATCAAGACTGGCATCCTCTCGGCTTAAACTTAGACAAGAAAGAAAGACTCCTAGTCGCAGATGATGGAGAAGGATTGGCTTTTGTGCGAGCTTCTTTTCTTTTGCTTGGTGTCGCTCTAATTTTACATCTACAGGTCCGGCTTTGCTTCTTGCTCGTGAACATCTGGTCCTCACTCGTCTGCGCATCGGCCACCGGCTTTGTCTCATCTGTGAGCACTCGTATTATACTTCTTTCGTCTCTATCAAAGCTACTCCGCTCCCTGTCAATATATACTTATGTCACCTTGCTTGCCTGCTAAGTCTTTCCGTGCCCTCTGCACTTCATGGCACGATGGCATATCGGGATCGCACAGCTCAAGGACCTAGTTCGATCCTAGCTCGTGCCGACATGATGCAAGAGAGCAATACCAGTGTTTTTCCTATTCGTCCTGCTGCCATATCAGGGTTTGTAGGTTGCGTTCCGGTATACTAATTGGCAGTAATCCCTCTTAGCTCTGTTGGTAGAGTGCCTCACGCTCAGATTAGTCGTTCAAGTCGGCCAGAGGGAATACAGTAAACCCCTGTTGTACGGGGCGGGACTGGGGATGCTAGAAGAAAGTACGTGCTCCTGGATTCCTGGTCTCGCTCGCTGAGTAAAGTAAAAAAGAAGGGAAGGGAGGGAGAGTTGATCACACTGATGTAGCGTGTAAATTACTGTGGGAAAATATACACGTTTCTTTCTCTCTTCCTCCTCTCACTCCGCGACCAGTCATCTTCAAACGATTCGACAAGTGACCATCTGCTCGACCCCCATCACAATTTCCAGGCTGCAAATAATCATGTAATATGATGGCTCGCAAAGCACTGACAGCGTGAAATGCCGTTGTATGTGTGCAGAGGGATATGGGCGCGCAGGTTCAGGGTTGGAGGGAGGTGCGTATACGTTCTTTCAACGTTGTGGATTCGCTATATGTGACTTTTCAGGTAGACCCGCACATCCTCTCTGTGTTTCGTCGTCAAATGCGTCTCCAATCTAAACACGTCCGAGTCCTCTCCCTGCTCCCCCAGGGACCGGTGTCTCTCAAACGAGCTCGACGCTCGGTCCGGCTTCCAGGTCGCAATGACGACACGACACGGTGGATTCTGCAACTCTGGCCACGTCACGACTTATAACTCTAAGCCGTAGAGGAACGGGACGTGCGTAGACGTCCTTTCAATGCTGGCTGTTTCTAACTTTGGCGTTGCAGCCCACCTTCCTCGAATCTGAAGATCCTCTTCAGACGAGCGCCTTTTATGTTCTCATCCAGTGACCCGGGAGCATGTGTACCAGGATCCTTCTGCTGTACTTCGTTTCCGTAACTGTGATTTCTTCCTTGTGCAGTAAAGGTCCCTTTTGTAGGGGATCGTTATAAGGGAACGGTTTAGCCTGCCATCAATCACTCATCCGTTCTGAAGACGGGCTGTGCCTACATAGTTCACCGCTGCTACCATGTCCGCTGCTGAACGTAGCAATCATCCACAGTCCCCTTTGATACGAGGTACCAAACAAACCTCTGCGGGTCGTTCAAGGTGTGTACCTTTCCTTCCACCCTTGGACGAAGATAGCTTGACTGATCTCCGGATTCTCTGGGTACGTAAAAGCCTGTGTCCCATCCCTCCCTACCAGCTCAAATCCCTCCTTGCGGTAATCCTCACTCATGAGTTTCTGTGTTATGCTTCATCTTCCCTCCCTAGCTTGAATTTTTCATATAGTGACTGTTGCTGTGCTCGCTGTACCAGACGGCGATGGCACTGGTGCCGGTATTAATTGATAATCCTCCGTCTACGTAAAACACGGAGCTCAGGGTGGGTTTCGTATCTTTTGAGGATGTAATAAGGCCCAAGGGAACTGACTTGTAGTATTAGGCTCGACGTCAGATCCCTCAGATTTGCTTATCTGGTTCAATACAAATATATGTCGTTCGATGCGCTACAGCCGAATGGAAAAGTCTCCCTGTTTTTTTATATTCATGCCAACGCGGAGTCCTTTGAACTCTTGACATGACACGCAATGGCTAAATTGGTTCCTCACCCAAGCGGCTTCCTGGTTCGATCCCAGGTGCCACTATCATTCTGTATGTCAGCGTCCACTTTTATGCAAAGTGCCAAATACGACGTTGTAAGAATCAAGAATAGTTTCATTGTCGGGAGGGAAGAGGAGAAGAAGAAGATGTCGTTTTTCTGGCCGTGTTATTATCCCGGATGAAAACTCTGATTGCGACTGGTAGTTGTGCATCGTGGTCTTCCACCACCAGAACGGACTTCTGGACTAGCCTGTAATAGTGCACATCACCAGTTCGAGCCCTCGCTCAAGCAGGTGGCTCGTTCGATCCGAGGCCCTGCTGTACAGATAGTATAATGACGCATTTCTTTTTTCTTGTTTTGGCTTTTCGATTGACTGTGGATTTTGCTCCTGACAAGTCACAAAAGGAGAGTGACCAGGGCCCGGAAGGATATTTGCGTCACCCTTGCACTGAGAGGAGCCGCTAGTGAACGCCTTGTCCTCGTTCGAGTCGGGGTCCTCCACTAACAGGGCACAGTTCTTTGTGTTGACACTTATGTTTATTTTTCCAAGGATCATACGGTAGACAAAGACGGCGAGCGAAATTTAAATCGAGGGAAATTTTTGGGAGGTTGACCGTGTTCAGGTCACATGATCGTTTTGTGGGCCGTGGGAAGTCTCTACCCGCCGCTTCGTCAACAAGACGATATTCGTTTTACGCTCACTCGAGTTTCCAGGCCACTTCACACTTGAGTTATATAAGTCTCACGATATATTTAACGAATGAAGCGAACACTGCTAGGATTGTTGGGGAGGGACACTCGCAGTATGGGTAGATGATAGAGGTTCGTGCAACGTGCTTTCGACACCGAGGTGTCGCTAACTTGGGCTGTCCAGGTCGAAGTCTTCCCTTCCATTCCTGAATCACGGCCATAAATGCCGAGTGAGTCGAACTGGGAGGATTTCCTGAAGAAACGTGCATCGTTGCTCCTGCTCCAGGTTACAGACTGCTTTTAAGTTCACCACAACCTCACGAAGAATTGAGGATTCGGTTAACCACCACGTCGCTCCTAGCAACCCAGGCCCTTCCATGGGGGGATGCTCAAGTTGGACAGCATGGATGGGTCGTGGAGGTGTGATCAGTGTCCTTTCAGTGTTGTAGTGGTGCTAACCTTAGCTGTATAGCCCAGCGACTGATCTCACGCATAGACCACACAAAGAGCTTGTTCAATTCGAGCTCGTACTACTGATCCTGAACAAACGTGAGACATGCGTTTCTTGCCTCATAGCTTGCATCCCAAAATATATGTGCAGCTCCTCTCGGCTCCTCTGGTAGAGCGCGTCGCTGAGGTTCAGCTCCTCTAGATGGAAATGAAAATGAAAATTCACCTCCTAAAACTAAAGTTTTTTTGGTCTGCAATCTATGCTAGTTCAAGTTGGACTTCATTTAGACTTTGCATCCCTTCCGTCCCTACTCATTTTACAATTCACTCCGAAGGAAGCCTGAGAGATGCAGGTACCGAGACATTTATGCTATAGGGTACGAGACTGGGGGGGCTAGACGTAAGTACATGTTTCTGGGTTCCTCGTCTCGTTCGCTGAGAGAAAGGAAGAAGGAAGAGTTGATCACATGTACCGCGTAAATTTCTGTGGGAAAATAAACACCTCTCTTTCTCTCTTCCTCCCACTCCGCTACCAGCCATCCTCAAACAGCTTGACAGGTGTCCATCCGCACGAACTTCGTCACAATTTCTGGGCCACATACGATGGCTCGCGAAGCACTGACAGTGTGAAATGCCACTGAATGTGGAGAACTGTATGCGCGCAGAGGCGTATGTGCGTGCAGGCCCAGGGGGCATTGAAGTTGACAATGCACATCAGATTAGATTCTCGTAGCTGAGTATACAGTGAAATAAAGGGGTGTCCGGAATAATACGTATCTACATGCATGGGATGTGTGATGCCGTGAGAAAGTATATCATACCCTCTCATCTCGCAGTGACAACACAGCTATATTTCTTGAAACGCACCGTATTAAAATATGAATTATAAGGCATACAAGCAAGACTACAAACAAGAATAGATAGATGGAGGGCATGTTCTGGCAGTCAACCGGCCTAGTTATCTTCGTTATTGACTAATTTCTCAAGTCAATGTCATATCCTCGGTGCAGGCATTTGAATGACCTCCTTCCATTACAGAAAGGGCTATGTCGATGCTCTAGAGAAAGAAAGAGTAGCACCTTCAATGAATGCGGCAAGGATGTTACTACGCACCATCTCTGCTAAACCACTTTCCCCCCTGCTACCAGAGGTATGAGGAGCCAACCTGAGTATCGTCTGATGGACAGGATATTCTTTGGTTCCCGTCCTAATTTGCACGTTGCGTGCGTTCAGCCTATTTGGAGTTAGAACAATATTCAAATACAAGGGGGAGAGGAACTTACATTGAGAGCAAGGAGTTTATATAGACTATTAGTAATCAGTTAGAGACGAACAGGAAACCGGTTGAGCAGACTTTAACACGCATGCTTCGGTAGAATGGAATCCACTGCGATGTAAATGAAGTTATTTGGCCAAACGATGTACTGTATCAAAGATGAGGTCAGAAGCAAGAGGAACAAAGATCCATGAGTCAATACCGCGACAAGAGTAAACATCGAACATGCGCTAGACCCAGTATTCATGATTAACTGCCATCATACCAGACAAGTCAGAATTATACCTCGTAGCCAGACCTGATATCACAGCCAGCCGCATCAATCCCACAATTATCTTTGTCGTACTACAAGCAGTTCCTTGACGTGAACATTGATCGTATTCGTGATGGAGTAGGCAACACACCTGGAGAAGCTGGTCATTGACCTGCCCTTGTGCAAGTAGTGGCACATTGTAGCGGCGATGAAGAAATCTACTACTGTGAATGTAGAGAAGACTGCGTAAATGGCTGTCTAGGAAATGGTTACGTGTTAGAGTGCCCATATGCCGATTATAGAGCTACAAAAGCCTACTCTGATGGTCGGGATGTCAAAAATGCTTGGGAGGGTGTATCTGGCGAAGGTTAGCGCAGGCGACGGTCATCGTAAAGAGGCATAGTCCATACATATCATAAAGAGCATCTAGTAACAATTTCCATAATTCAGCACCGTATATATATAAAAGCGATGCTCACAGGTTCCAGTGGCTTCAAAATCGCATTCAGAACTTCACTCATTATGCCAAATTTAAGTGGTCTCACCGAGAGAAGCAGCGACAGCAAGAAACTGGGTGCGATTCCAAAGATGTCTGTGCGAGTACTGTGAAAAGGAGAAGAAGAGCACGTACAATGAAATATGGAAGGACTACATGGAAGTTACGGCCAACTATTTGGAGGCTGAAAGTCAGGATCCGTTTAAGCTAATGCTAACAGAAATTAACATTTCCATAGCCTAATGGCATATAAGCTGTAGCACCGATGAATGAGGATTTCTGGTAGTCTTTCAAAAATCAATCAAAGGAGACACACGCTTGGACGCCGAAGACGATTAGCTTCTAGTTAATAATCAGAGAGGGGTGCAAGATCATACCAAATTCACGTACATTGAATATAAGTTGCAACTAAAGGCCGAAGGAGCTTGGGGATTTGAAATAATGGATGAAGCAGGAGAGATAGGCGCACCGGAAAACTCCTACCGACACAGTGTAAATCAGTTGTACTCATGATAGGTGCGGGAGGGACGTACCATACCATCCTGAACAGAGAATGCCAATTCCCGAACGATTCGACCAGATAAAAGTACAAGACATGAGTGCTTGTCACAACGTGAAGTGTATCGAGAATGCTAGAATTATAGCAAACATCAGGATACAGCTGGGTACATAATTACGCGGCACTCTGTAAGCGCACCACAATAACGCGACCTGCTTGGATGTCAGAGCTTGAAGAATCTTATGAAAGTGTATTTTTTTTACGTACGGCATATCGAAAGAGCCTTGGATCATTAGGGTACTGCTTGTAGTAGATGGTAGTCTGCACAATGGTTATCCCATAGAAACTAGAACACGCGATGAGCATCGGGAGTAAATCACCAAGGAAAAGAATGCGTACATGGCTCCTATGGTAACACCAATATAAACTGCACCGAAAGTCATTGGAAAGTCATTCCCAGGGGGTGAATATCAGAGTCAGCTATCAGTACTGGGAGAGGTGACGACATTTGTTATGCTAGTGTTCACAGAAGAGCGCGTTATTTATATTCACCCTGTGGCTTGCAGTGATTTGAGATTACATTTGAAGGGTGCTTTCTTTGGTGAGAGGTTTCACCAAATGCGGCTGAAAACCCTCCGTCCAGGCAATTCAAACGTGAGACGTGCAAGTAGCTGTGGTATCTGGGTCAGCATCAGGGATGATGCGGTCCTAATTGGTGAAGGGAATGGAGACGTGAGGGAATGAGAGCACTTGTAGATGGTCCCTGATGTTGATGGACTTCAAAGAAGACTAGCGTTTCCGAAGTTAATGATGATTGACGCTCTCCATGGGATATGCATTGCTGAAATCCACCTTTTTGGTTGGGGAAGCTACGCAACTACTTACGAAAGGCCGAAATACTCGCATTCATACAACTTACACCTCGTTGCCTGACCAAGGATCAAATGAGCACCCATCTTTGTAGACATAAATGAAACGGGCCTACGTCTCAGTGCTGATCGGATCAAAGGAGGTTTGGGCTTCCTTTTTCACCCAAGAGGGTCCTAATAATGAATTAAAAGACAGTGGGTCGATTAAATAATTTCGTGCACTGGCGATGGACCTACCTACCTTCACGTGACATTTATGATGTCATTATACTAAATTTGGGTATCTTTCGACTCAATTCAGTGAGCATTTTGCCTGAAATAGCCGTGATATTAATATTGAAAGTGTTTTGAACATAATTTGTACACTATCAAGTCTAAATCACGGCTGCGCTCTAATGGGATGTCATAATGTCATCATGTCCAGTCAGCAGGGCCACTCTGCAATGGCATTGACTGAGTGTTGGTATGGCTAGGTATGATGCCCTAAGATAAGTAGCACACTCAGTAGCATATATTGTATCATGTACTCTCTAAAATTTACCTTTGAAGTCCATTTTTAGACCCCAAAATGGTGGTCAACTTTTTTTTTTCGTGACCTCCGGCTGGACCTACCTACCTACCCGGTGTTCCGGGCCGGATTTCCGGTACCCCTTGTTTTCACCGACAGCGCAGCGAATAATTTCTGATGCGTGAGCTTTTGTTCTCCTTGGTTTAACTAAGACGTTGATAATCCCGGGCACTGCTGGTCCTGCAAGGAGGATGTATGTGAAAGATATACAGAAACAAAAGAGGAAAACACCCAGTGTCCTCTGGTACGAGCGGTTGTTCCTTCCTGAAGGTCAATACGAGTGTTCATTGGGGATAGTTTTTCGGGCACTTAAGAGAGGTATCCATGTGTTATATGAAACTAACGAGATCACCGCGTTGTATATAAATAAGACAGTCATTCATTTTCGACACAATGCAGATCACAGTAATACGCAATGACGAAAATAAAACAAGAACTGGGGGATCTCACCGTGTTTCGTATACATCGATGAAACAGATGTCGATGATACCATCCTTTTCCTAAGAAAAAAGACACAATTATCCTTAATAGTCTTCGCACAGTAAAAGTATTCTGACCTCAGGACGAAGAAAGGCTGAGGGTGGGAATCGGGATTACTAGCATCTCCGACGGCAGATAGGGAAAGGTACGTACCTCGTAGCGATGATAGGTCAATTTATAATAGCACCGGTCAATTGAATCGGTAAGATGGGGGACTCAAAGTTATGAGAACTTGCGGGAATGAATCAATCCGTGGTGCAAGGGAAGTTGATGTCTATGCTCCATCGGACATCGGTAGATTCGTCAGTTGATGAATACTTTATAACTGGTGAAACATGGAACTTACGATTCTTGTTCGAAGCTTGCTCCCTTCCATTCCTCGGGTTCAAAGTAAGAATTAGTTTTCTGTTTTGAATCGCACCAACAAGATAGAAAATTCTCTGTGTACAAGGTCTTTCCCCTCGACCATGCCTTCTTTTCATGTTATTGGTTTTAGCACATGCATGATAAGCCTCGCGAGGCTGTCCGACATTGACGAACATTTCCCTTGGTGTAGTCTTACGGCCCGACTCTGAGTCAGCTACTTCTCGAAAGAAAATCTTGATGTAGCCAGCGAGATCAGATCTCGAGCGCTCAATCCAAGCTTAAGCTTACAGCTTGACGGTTATTGGTCCCAGGGGCGTCTTCTTGAAAGGGGAATCGGATGGCGCGCATAAGCATTTCGTCTAACATCGAGAACTTTGTCAGTTGATGAATGGTAACAGGTGAAACACAGGGCTTACAATTATTGTTCAAAGCTTGAGCCCGTCCATATCACGGGTTTAAATCGAATAAACTGTGTTTCTTCTTCGAATCGCGCAAGGTTCTTTGAGATAGAAGACCGATACAGGGGCGGGCCTACGTGAGGACATGCGAAAGAAGATCGTACAATCCTGAGAGACTTGAGTGAAAGAGGTTAGAGGTTAGAAACCCGGTATGCGGTCCCAATAAGGAACACCGGGGGTTCTGTGCTGCCACATAATGTGTCACAGACCATAGCAGTACCGTGCCGCTGTGATATCCACCAGGTGTCAGCTGGGAACCTCTCACGGATTTAATACTGCCATAGGTACAATCAATTCAAGAAAAATCAACGAGTACCCTAAGCAAGGCGACAACACCGGGTCAAGTGTACTAATATGATTAGCTAGCAGATTTCCAGAGTGATTCCGGCGTGATGTATATCGCTGTCGCTCCAAAAATCTCCAGTACATGATGTACATATTGCGCTAATCTCGGCTCCAAGGGGAGAAGCTGCAACAAGCATGCCAAACGGTCATCAAACTCCAACACATCCCATGTGGCACAAAGGCTCGGAGACAATGCATGCGCGTCAGCGATGAATAAACGGTGAAGCTCTACCAGTCCAGGAGCAATAATACAACGGAGCAGGACGTGTACCTCATCCTCAACGGCGATTTTGCAAAATCAACACACCCACCATTCTCGGGGAATTGGGGGCGGTAGCGTTCCCCCCAGTGAAGGACCTCGACGGTGAGGATATGCGATGATACAAAAAGACGTGTGAGAGCCTTGCGATGAGCGGTACCCATGGTTATTATGAGATAAGTACAACGGCTCGGTGTTCGCCGACATGGTTGCAAACCATGTAATCATTATGAGAACATCAAGACGGATGGTCTGTGGCCAAAAAAACTGCCGCGTGATGGCTAGAACAAGGACAGCAAAAACAGATGACAACCACCGTCCTCAAACCCGAGAACAATGACGATAACCAACAAGCGTCATCCATCAGGTGGGAAGGACCATCGCTAAACCTGAGAACAATGACGATAATCACCGACATCCATCAGGCAGGAATACCGGTTTCTCTGATTTGGGGCAAGTTCAAGCAGAGGTTGGCGTAACCTCCAGCCAATGAAGCTCTAAAGCTCAAGGGAAGGAACACCATGCGTAATAACACCATTTACAGGGTTCCTCTCGGTGCAAGCAGTACAAGGAGATAAGGACCTCCGGCGTAGGACTCCTCAATGGCAGGAATAGAGAAACAATGAATGAGCCCATGAATATAGGGGCCAGCAAGGGAAGGACACTGCGACATGGAGACTTTGTGACAAATCCCCGTGGTAGCAGTAGCCTAGCCAGGAACACATCATAGCACAAAAGCTATGGAGCATGGGCGTGCGTCGATGCTTGGAGCAAAATACGTAGAAACATCGCAGCCCCTATTTTCTGCTAGGACATCGCCTACAAAGTTCGTGCAATTTGCGCCCCATCCAGCAGAATAAGGTCTCACTGAGGTATGTGCGATATCGCCAGACACACTCAGAGGCCATTCGCGTAAGAGAGGTCAGAAAACCGCATCCACGAGAATCGATGATGATTTGAGTATAAATTCATGCGATGAGGTAAAAGTGAATCCAACAGCGTTGGCTTGGCCACCAGTGACTAAACAATATGGCATGGGTCGTGCGGGGTCAAAGTTCATGTTGAGATCTGGCTTGAAGAAGGCTAACATACGAAATGTTTCCGTGCGCCGGAATCTGTGCCATAAGATTGTCTCGGCAGAAAGACATGCATAAGCATTGCTCGAGTATCGTCGTAGAGAATAGTTGTAACAAGGAACAGAAGACAAGAATCAGGCATTGACGCTGAGTAGTAACTCGAATCAGACGCGGCTAAAAATCTGTGCATACGCCAGATCAGCTGGCGAGAAGATTACTAAAAAGCGGGGAAAATGGTGGACGAACGAAAATTTGAGGTATTCCCAAAATACACTCTTCTGCATATCCAGAGTCTCTCGTTACACGATGGTGTTTCCACGTTTCAGCGCTAGGGACACATCTTTACGGGAGACATGAAGGAAAATGCGGCGGCATAAATTCTAAGGACATTTTATTAAGAGGCGGACGTGTTTCAAAGAAGACGACTCACAAAAACGCCGGTCAATATAGTTCTTCGTCTGTCAGAAATTTGTATGTCGTATATTGCGACCCTTTACGTGATGATGGAAGGGTAAGGGTCGTACCCAGAGGGCTAGTGTTTGTCGAAAGAATAATGTACGCACCTACATCGTTGATCGACACCATGTCTGGGCTACTTCTGATCTTGTGTGCCAAGCATAAAATGGAGGTTCGCGATGTCGCTTTGGCTAGCTCCAAAGTAGGCCGTGTAGATTTCTTTATTTTAGCGTCCTGAGGCTGCTTTCACTCCTATACGTTCCTCAAAAAAAAAAGAAGTCCAGAAAACGGGATTCTCGTCACGTCGTTTGAGTCGGGATCTGGCAATGCTGGTACCCTTCGTTTTATTATTTCTACGCAGATGTTTACCAAGACCGGAATGGCTCGCGTGAAGGTTTGAGTGAAAAGCGGAGAAGCCAGATCACATGGTTGCCGGTGTAAGTGGGGCGTGGGAAAAGATATGCTCACTTTCGCGCCGTCATCTTCCCCGATGCTTTCAAGCTCGTCTCACGGATTCGAATCTCGCCGCATTGCATTTTTCTTTTGACGTTGTCACCAACTTTAGCTCTCTAGGACCTGAGACGAACATGGAAATATCAAGTGGGTCGACACACCGAGTCAACACGAACACTCGACCACGGCCATCCGCTGAAGTATTCTCCAAATCGGCGGCGTCAACCTAATATGTGCCCACCTGTGAAGGACGATGGTTCCACACCGAGAAGATGGATGGAAGAGCTTTACTTGGTGCGAGTCGGAGGAGCCGGCAGCTTGGAGAATGGAGGTACGGGCGTTTCTCTTCTTTGACGTTGCTCTGATTTTGGCATTTAAGCTCCTCACATCTCCGAGTTGTCCGATTCGGGTCAGTGTAATTGTTCGGTCGTCATGTATACCCTGCAGTTGTCTGGCTCATTGATAAAATCAACTGCGATAGGTCTATTGGAGGGGCGGGTTCGTTTTAGTTGGGGATGGAGAAGGCTGAAGCAAGTACTGAGGTGAGCGTCTTTTCTGCCGACGTGGAGTCGTCGTTTTAAATTTGTATCTGCAGGTCTACCGAGTCTGTACCGTTTCTCGGCCTGTTCGCCTATGTTGGACTGGTATATGAATATTAATGGTGCGATGGACGATTAAAGTGCGCGTCTTTTCATGGTTCCAACTTCCAGTCTGACACATATATAGAGCTTTCTTGGTCTACGATAAAGATGTCTACGTCGAATGGTACCATGATCTACGTCTTCCAATGCCGTCCATCTCCCAGCATCTCCTTGTGCAGACCGGCATCCTCTCAGCTTAGACAAGAAACAATCCTAGTTGCGGATGTCGGAGAAGGATTGGCTTTTGTGCGAGCGTCTTTTCTTTCGCTTAGTGTCTTTCTCATTTTCCATCTACAGGTCCAGATTCACTTTTTGAAGCGTTGAATGACTGGTCCTCAATCGTCTGCGTATCGGCCACCTCGGCATCTGTTATGAATGTCAGTTCGGTAATATTAGTCAACAGTCACCGACCACTTACTGCGCTAATCATCGCGAATATTATAAAATTTTCTTCGGTTTTCTCTCCTTTTCTTTTTCATTTCTTTCGATACTCTTATAGTAGATTCTCTTGACCGTCCTCTTCCAGAATCTTCACTTCGTACAATATATATATTGAGTATCGTAGTACGCCCTGGGGCATCTTAATCTTACCTTCTTGACTCCACAACCTAGTGTGAACCTAAGTGAAAGAGGTCGGTTACGCCAAGCGCTTGCCGAACGACTCGCTTACCGACTACGCCAAGCGCTTTTCGGATCTTCTTAGCTACGCCTAGCGCTTGCTAAACTCTCGGTTGGAGCCTTCTTGGTAAAATTGGACTCATTACTATTCTACACTCGCTCTCGGCTCAAACTTTGATTAAGTACTACTGAATCGTACTTCGAAGAATTAGCCACATTCTTAACAGCGTCTACCGTTACTTCAAAGAGTCTTTCGAAACGAGACTTTGTCTCAGTTGCGAGCGCCCGTATTATACTTCTTTCATCTCTATCAAAGCCGTTGATTATACTTATACCACCTTGCTTCCCTGCTAAGCCTTTCCATGATGTATATCAGTCTTTGGCCTCCCACTTTATGGCATCATGGTACTTCGGGATCGCACGACTCAAAGGCCTTGTTCGATCCTCGTGCCATGATGATTATTATAATGTGCAACAATACGTGTTTTTACTATTCCTATTGCTACCATTTTACTTGGATTCTAGTATAGTTACTAACAATCAATCAATCACCTCTTAGCTCCGTTGGTAGAGCGCTCCATACTGAGATCAGTCGTTCCAGTTGACTATAGGGAATTGATAAGGAATGATGCAATTTTTGGCTTGCAAAAGTCCTGATGTGACTCAACTCGACGCCTCATGGAGAAATAATGCTCTTTCAAGTTTCACTAGCACTACTCACTACTCACGCATACTTACATATTTCTGCATTTCTTTTGTTTTCTTGCGTTGTATTCAGCACGGTGCCCTCCTAATACCCCGCCGCTATCTCTCGTCGGGACCGCACAAAGAGCTTATTCAATTGGAGTTCGTACTATGATGCTGAACAAACGCGAGATATGTGTATTTCGCTTCATCGCTTGTATCTCGACATATATGCAATCCCTCTCAGCTCAGTTGGTTGAGCGTACCACTGAGGTTCAACTCCTCTAGAGGGAAATGGAATGGCGCTTTGGTCCCTGCTCATTTTTTGCGAGTCGGAAGCCTGAGACTTGCATTTGAGGATCTGTGTACGCCATACAGTACAGGACTGGGATGCATACTGCTGGATTTCGCCGAGGGAAGGAAGGAAGAATCGATTCCTCAGAATCACATGTACTGTGTAAATTGCCGTGGGAAAATACCAGGCTTCTCTCTCTTCTCCCACTTCGCGACCAGCGAACTCTGCCCCATCCTCAAAACAACTTGACAGGTTACCATCCGCTTGAAACTCGTCACAGTTCCCAGGCCATATACGAGGCACCGACAGCGTGAAATGTCATTGAATGCAGAGGACTGTATGCGGGTTGGAGGAAGGTGTGCACGCGCTTTTTCAACGTTGGGGGTTCGCTATATTTTGATCTTCAGGTAGACCCACACATCCTCTCTGTGCTTCGTCTTCGAACGTCGCGCCCCAAATCGGAACATGTCCTCTCCCTCCTCCCCTGGGACTGGCGTCTCTCAAATGACCTCGATGCTCGATCCGGCTTTCAGGCCGCAATAACGACACGGCACGCTGGATTCTATGACTCGGGCCATGTCACGGCCTATAACTCTACGCCGGGCAGGAACGGGAGGTATGTAGGCATCTTTTTAATCCTGGCTTTTTCTAACGCTGGTGTTGCAGCCCGCCTTCCTCGAGTTCGATAACCCCCTTCAGACGAACGCCGTTTATGTTCACATCCAATAGCCCGGGAACAATGTGTAGCAACATCCTTCTACTGTACTCCGTTTCCTCGACGGCCATGACTCGATACCTTCCTTGTGAGTTGTCGTTCTCGGTTGCAGAGGATGACATAACTTATGAGGGAGCAGTCTTATCCTCGATCGTTCGCTTTGAAGACGGCTCCTGCTGAAGGAGATATCGGTGTCTATATGCAAATTTTCACGACCGTTCGATGCCCTGAGTCGATCCTCCACAGTGCGAGGGCCTCTGCGGGTCGTTCCTTCTGCCTTTGACGAACATTCTCCAGGTGCTTGCCTGTCAAATCTCTCCCTGCTGGCAGCGTTACGGCCTTCCAGTTGAACAAATGAGGGTTGCTTGCTCCCGATACTGAATATTTCAGACTGCTTCTTCCGATATCATGCAATCTCTTACCGATCCTTCTGTTTGGCAGGATATTGCCCTACCTGGTCCGTGTGTTGATCAACATTAATGTCTTTAAGTCTCATTCATTTTATGCACGCAGGCTTTGATTGGATGTCGAACTTTCGTGACACCGACTTCTCCTCTGCTCACCCGCCCCTCCAATAGCAACAATAGAGCATCAGAATTTAGTCTGTATTATGGTTTTCTTGTTGTCCTGCGCAATTTGTACATGTACCCGAATCACACATCAAACATCTGTACTTTATTGAACCCAAGGAAGGATAATTAAGAATCCAGGTAAACGAAGAGCCTAATAAAGAACGTAGTATACTGTTGTTTTACAGTCTAGAATCTTGAGGCATGGCTCGTAGCGCCTGCCTTACGCCAAGATCACTTAGAACATCCTCAGCTCCACCGAGAAGCGCATCAAATGGCACCGTGCGATGGTACTAACAATTATCAGCCCAACACGATTCACACGCAACACATACTACTCACATGCTCTATGAATCGACCCATGCCTATACATGATAAGTGAGCAGAGGTACAGCTAATGACATTGATATACACACCGGTTTTCGTAATTCCACGACCGCCAAAGATCTGTACAGCATCTCTTGCAGTTTCCTGAGCGCAAGCAGTCGAGTAACTCTTCAAGAAGGCAATTTGCCTAACGTGCAAAAACGTCAATTCAATGTCATCCAGCGGTATTTATAATGACCCTACCCGGCAAGTTGACTGGCTTGGTTTTTGTAAGACTACGCGCTCGTCAGTTTGATATGAAGATTGGCGTAATCAACCCCGAACGAACCATATTGCACATCTGATATGTGACGTTTTCAAGCCAGTTCTGTACACCTGCAGATAATCAATTGTGAGGAACTTCTTATGGCAGTAAAATCTCTTACTCTCCGCTCGCGATATCATGCCGGCCAATTTATTGCGTATGACAGCTTGAGAGTTGAGAGGTTTTCCAAATGCTTTGCGCTGTGCGGTCCATCTGATGATTTTAAATTATATCATCACTAGTAGAGGGGGTCATCTTACTGGAGGCATTCATCGACTGCAGATATATGAGTCGAATTAGTCGTTCGTTTTATTGGCGGCGATAATATGCCTACCTATACCTCTTTGACTTCTTGCAGACGAGCAGCACATTACCCACCGCTCGTGATTGAAGTTACTGGGGGGGTGGGGGGGCATATTGTCAAGCTATTTGACAATTAAACAGCGAATTGCGTACCTGAGTATAACGAAGATTCCACCGCCCTCTTCGCCCAGCGTATTGCCAATGGGAACCTTCACGTTGTCGAACGTAACGAAACTAGTTCCCGCAGAACTCGAATAGCTCGTCTTTATTGGACGAGTCTCAACGCCTTCCCCTCTCTCTACGAGTATGACAGTAAGGCCATCCTCAGTTTTACAGCCGACGGTAAAATAGTCAGCAAAACTATTGAGTGTTTCAGATACTAGTAAGATTGAAAAGCGTTAGCTTACGTTGCGTTGGTAATCCATTTCTTTGTGCCTAGGGTACTATGAATATAAAAGAATGAAAGGTGAAAGCGGAGCAGTAAGTACCGTTGATAATCCAGTGTTTTCCGTCCGCAGTTTTCACTGCAGTAGTCTGTAAACCCATAACGTCGCTGCCGGCCTGAGCTTCCGATATTGCCAGACAGATGAATTTCTTGGCAGCGAACACTTCCGGAATGATCTTTGCCTTCAACTCCTCACTTCCAAAGTTAAGCACAGGAGGTAACCCGATGACTGTACCGCTGAGGAGACCTGAATAAAAGGGTTAAAATGTCGAAGAAATAGCATGTGTGAGTGTACCATCTCCGTATCCGCGGGCATTGCAGCGTGACAACTCTTGGGTGATAATCAACTGCAAACAAAATAAGACTCATAGCAAGGATAAGTAGTCGGTTGACTATAGCACTGACATCATGAAAATAGTCAAATTCCTCGGGTTTCACGAGACCGTTCATTAGCTTTAGTCCCTTCAAATGCTTCCCTGGACCCATTCGCATAGCGAGCATATTCAGTTCCCTACGCAACATAGATCAGGACGAGTAGATGAGGTCATCAATGTTGACGTACGCCATCTTATCGAACAAACTCTGAGATGGTCGCTTGCCATCCTCTTCGTGAATCTAGTGCACATGTTTGAATCAGTACACAAAACCACGCCTTTAGAACAGATGACGTACCTCAGCATCAGGAGTCACGAATTCATCTACGAATTGACGCATTGCAGCCTGGAACCGTTTATGGTTCTGGGGAGAATTGAGACGAGCAAATTTATGCTGTTGAAACAGCGTACCTCCGAAAAGTATGGACTGAAGTAACCAGACGTTAGCCATGTTGGCTCTCCATACGGCACCCTGCTAAGTTCGCCGATAGCACGAGGATGGATAGAAGGCCCTTCTCCTTCAATGACACCGATCTGCAACCGCTGATACTGCGGCTTTTGTAAAACCTCATGACGATGAAGACCATAGAACGCTTCGGTTGCATCCTGTCCCGCTAGCTTCTACATTAAGTGGGAGTCAAGACGCTGCTACATGTAGTTCACGCACCGACTTCGGCATCAAGAAGAACGGCAGCGCCTCCGGGATGCATGTCCTTGAAGCGCGATACATCAAAAACCTTGGTGTCGATGATTATCCACTTGACATGCAATGTCGGACCCCAATGTACTCTTTTCACGAGAGTATCAACGCACTAAATCGCCGTCCTTGTTATGCTAAACGTGTGACGTGTTATCAACACAATAAACCTTGGAGAAATTGATACCGACTTTGGCGACTTCTTCCCTGGAGAATTGCTTGGGTTGCTTCGAGGCCATCGCGAAAATAGAGGTGTGGGCTGAATGAGAAAAGGTAGCGATGTAGTAAAGCACAGATAAATTTATATCATCTCGGCACTCGGAGAGCGGGGACGTTTGCATGTGATTTGCCCGATGTAAGGTCTCCCACGTGCTAACTCCCGGTTCATGAATGACCAATACCCGGATGAGGATTCGTGCCACACTTTGACTGGTTGCTCCGTCTCATCATGGAAATTAACGCGTCTGTGAACGTTAATAATGAGTGAGTACTACAGACTGAAAACTACAGCTTCTGTTTCATTATAGCCTCTTCAGTTGCTCGTATTATACTTCTTGTGTCTCTGCTTCGTTGCTGTCAATTATCCCTATACCATCTTGCTTCCTTGCCAAGACTTTCTATGATGTATATCAACCTTCCGAACTTCATGGCACAATAGCGTATCGGGATCGCACGGCTCAAAGACCCCGTTCGATCCTAGCTCATGCCATGATCAGGATTTGCAAAAGTGAGCAAAAATTGTTTTTCATATTCGTCCTGCTACTAAGTGAGGACATATTGTTTGGATTCTAGTATCCCCGCAACTGCCAAGCCCTCTTAGCTCGGTTGGTAGAGCGCTTCACGCTGAGATCAGTCGTTCAAACCGACTAGAGGGAATGACTGACTGGTACGACTTGTCACTTTTGGCCCGCAAAAAACCTGATATGATTCAAGCAAGAGTCGCCTCCTAGTTGTCATCCCTGGCCACCTTAAAAGAGGAGTACTCTTCTTTCTTTCCAGTTTCACCACCAGTCACATATTTCTGTGTTTTTTGTTTGATTGCGTGATATTCAGCGCGGTGCCGTCCTAATATCCAGCATCAGGACCACACAGAGAGTTTATTCGATCCAAGCTCGTACCATGTCCTGGAAAAATCGAGACACGTGTCTTTCGCTTCATTGCTCGCATCCCGATGTACATATCCAATCCTTCTCAGCTCAGCTGGTCACGCGCGTCGCTGGCGGCTGAGGTTTAACTCCTCTAGAGGGAAATGATTAGATCGGCACTTGGAACTAAAGCCTTTTTGGTCTGGAGTCCATGCTGGTTTAATTTGCATCCATCCTTGCTCATTTTTGTCTGAGAGTTGCTGTAGTGAGACGTATGTGACGAGGTTGGGGATCCTAGAAGTAAGTACATGCTTCTTGGGTTCCTGATCTCACGTTGCTGGGGAAAGGCCCGAGAAAGAAGGGAAGGAAGGGGTGATCACATCTACCACGTAAATTTCTGTGGGAAAATAACTACCTCTCTCTCTCTCTTCCTCTTACCACCCCGCACAACTTGGTACTTAGCCATTCGCTCGAAACCTCGTCACAATTTCCAGGCCTTGCGAAGCACTGAATATGGACTCGGAGGAATGCATGTGCACGGGGGTTGGAGGGAAGTACGCGTTAGTATGCTCTTTCAATGCTGGGACGCTGGGGTTCGCGGCTAAATTTGCTCAAACATCTGGTCTACAGGTCAGACTGAGTACCGGCAGCTCTCACGTCTGTTCCTCTGCCGGTACGTCTTCGCGACTGCTTTCGTCAGCCTCACCCGGAGACCATTGCGTGCATATCAGCGGTGTCTGTATCCCTGCCGTCTGTCGCTCTCCAATGGGCACGATTTCGCATCTTCACTGGAAAAACTCGTATTATCTCTCCTTACAAGCCGTCTCCATCAAATCAGGTTACAGGACCATCTACGTACTGCCTCTCTACGTTCCGCCTGATTTTTCCTCTGATAGTCTTGAACGTGTTATTAGACGACATTCAATTCAAGATTGTACTGTATGAACGCGAGGTATGTCACTGTTTTGCCATCACATAAGTAAGCACTCTCCGCTCAGTTGGTAGAGCACTACCAAGGGAGTCCAAGCTGTTCGAGTCCGCTAGGGGGAAATTGATTAACAGGGTCATCGTTCTTTTTGGTACGAAGATTCTTCCCTGTTAGAGTGCGATGTAGATATCTATACAAAAGATAACTCAGACAAGCACTCGGAATGCGAGAGACACGTCTATTCACCTATACAAAAGATAACTACGAGTGAAATGTAAGTAAAGTATAGAACAAGGTAAATAAAAGATAGCTCACCTCAGACAAGCACTCGGAATGCGAGAGACACGTCTGAGGCACAAAGTACAACTACGGTGGATATATACTGTACAGTAGACAGCGCGAATGTACGTAGATAGGTAGAATGAAGTAAAATGAAGTGTAAATACACATAAGTCCATGGAGAAATAAGGGACCGACTACAGGCACGCTTGCAACTCCAACATTCCCTGCTCGTATCTAGGCTCCCAGCAGTTGTTCAATATATAGACGAGGTACTCCGATCATTCACTCTGAGCACTGTATATTCTTGTTCTTCTCAATAGGCCTATTTTAGCAGAGTCTAATTAAGATTTCTATCATAGCCTGGAAACGGCTACGACCGGATTATTTCCATCCAGTTCCTGAACATGATTCCTGTCTTCTAGCTATTTCAAACTGCGCTCAACGTCTGGCTGTCTTCTGCATCGAAACATCATGTATTCGAAGCTACTCGTACTATTTGCCTCTCACCTGTGAGTCCTCGTCCCTCTTCTTCTTGAATGAGAAGTTCTGATTTGTGCTACTTAGTAGTAATCGTGTCAGGCCACGCCACTGGCATACTTGCCTACTGGGGGTGCACCCCCTCCTGGTAGACGATGTAACGGTAAGTTGTTCCCGGTTATATTAGGTAGCTTTGTCGTGACGCAGGTGATTTAGGACATCTCAGTCTCGGGTGGTAACCCTCCACCGCCCGTCACGCAGCGCTGAGTTGTTGCTAGTGATTCAAGGTGAACTGTATAAGAAGGTCTTTATACTGGTCCATTTGTTGGAATTCGTTCAGTTCTATTAGTATTAGTTAAATCCTGAGAGAAAGAAATCTCCTTTCTGCTCGTGGTTGATTGGGTCCAATGCAAGCTGGGATTCTCCCGTTGATGTGCTAGGAGAAGCTTGATAGGTGAGAAAGGTATAGAACTGGAAGGAAGCCTGAAATAAGTTGCGCGCATCTGGTTCCTGGTACGTTGGTTAAATCCGTACCTGCCGGAGAAAGAACTGATCGCGCAAGAGTACGTACATGCATTGGGGATTTCTGGTAATTCTCCAGTCAATACTTACTGTTGATAATTCACTTTCAGTGGCAGTTTGACGTGGGTATGACTTGAACTCAAGCAAGATTTCTATCATAGCCTAGAAATGCTACGGATTGTTATAATTGAACATTAAGTACCTAGGCATGATCTCTGCTCTTTCTCCATATTTAAGGACCTCGACGTCGAGATTCTTCCGTATTGGAAAATCATGCATTTCAAGCTCCTCGTAATAAGCCTTACGACATTTTCTTGTGAGGATCGTTCCTGTTCTCTAATTAATTCAGTCTTCTCCCCATACCCCAGTGCTCGTGTTGGCGGCACCACGTATAAATTCCACTGTAAGCGTGGAACTATGCAGGATCTTTGGACTAATCTGTAATAGTGCGCATCGCTAGTTCGAGTCCTTGCCCAGAGGGTTCTCGTTCTATCCGAGGCCTACTATTGACAAGCAGTTTATATGGTTTTATTTTGTCTCTTTTTAGCTCGGGACTTCCTATGGATGGATTCAGCTCACAACATAAAAATAGTCAACGGGTGCACGCCCAAGGCCTGGAAAGGTATTCGCATTAACTGTGTAAAATTTCCTTTGAGTGAGGAGCCGTAGGTGAGCGGGATGATTCCCGCCTTGTCCTTGTTCGAGTCGGGGTCCTCCATTGATATGAGCAAATATGGACACAATACTTTTTTTTTGGAATTTATTCCTCCTATGCAGATATCAATGGTACGGGACATAGACGGTGACTGAAATTCTAAATTGAGGAGAAATCTGAAAATTGTAAGTTCAAGTTGCCGTCGGCCGACCGTGTTTAGATCACATGGTCGTTCTGTGGCAGCCGTGGGAAACGTCCACTGAACCAGCTTCATGCACGTCGTTTTGGCCTCGTTGCATGATGACATTGTCCCTCCGCTTTACGCGCCTTGTGTCGATCTCACAATTAGTGGCTAGCCAAGGAAGACTCTGAATGAAGCACTGCCAGGATTTATGAAAGGAATGCTAAAGTCGGACACAGTACGGGCAGATGATAGAGGTGTGTGTGTCATGGTTTTTTTTTTCGACGTCGAGGTATCACTAACCCGAGCTGTAGCCTGTGTGTACGGGTCGAATTCTTTGTCTTTGCTCCTGAATCATGGTTGACCAGCAAGCGAGTCGAACCCCTGAGAAATGTTCATCGATCCTCGGTGTTGTGCCAGAATCGTGGCTACCTGTAGAGTTAACGTTCATAGTGGATGGAGGTACGGGCGTTCGTTTCCTTTGCCTTTATATCTGGTTGATTTCGTGTCTGCAGGTCTGGATGCATACACTGTGCCGACTGCTGTGCCCCGCTGGAGACTGCGCGCGCTTATATCATAATATGCTCTCAAGGTCTCAGGACCCTTTCAATCCAAGTCTATCGTATGAAGACGTCTTTCCCTGAACGGATGTCAGTTGGCTTTTCGTATGCATGAGTCGTGTGCTATTGGTATTTCTGCTTTTCCTTTCAGCGCTAAGGCTCTTCCTACAGCTCTTCGTCTATACGGGACAAGAGCAGACATGATGCAAATGTTCGTGTGTACCTCGTAGGATCTGTCTCCTTTGAACCGCATCCGCCTCTTGACAAGTTCCCTTAGAATTGTCGTGATTGTCCACTGCATTCACCGTTTATCCTAGTGTCATTAGGATCTCCAACGCAAACTGTGACAGCGTTATTGCGGCATAGTGGTGTAACGGACGGGCAAGTTACAAAACTATATCTGGTTCGATCCCAGTTAATGTCATGCCTAAGTCGAAGATGTGTTTTCTTGGAATAGTCACAGATTTGTGCTGTGATGAAACACATGGTGGCGGCTGGTGCCCTCATAAAATCATCTCTTTCAACGGCAGCTCGTCTATCCGATTCACACGTATTGGTCTAATGAAGTCCTTCGAATTGACGTACTTGACCTTGGAATACATGTCCGTTAACTTTTTCCTTATATTTTCTTGGTCATAGAGATCCATGGAAAAAGTGTCTACATGGCACCGAGCTGCGATAGAGTCATTGTAGCATTATGGTGTAACAGACTTCAAGCTTGCGCCACAAATTTGTGAACGAGAGCGCTTCTCATTGAATCTATCGCACGCACAACCCAGAATGCGACATCCGCACAACATGGCCTTTAACCACATAGTTATCCTTAGCAATCCGAGGCCTACTACGCGGTGGAACTGGCAAAGAGGAAATGATGACAGTGCTTAGCTGACACGACGGACCCGTTTGCATGTTCATTCGGCATGCTGCCTGTGAGTTCATTTCATAAAATCAGTTCGTTCGATACATAGATATTTATTCCGATGTTTTGACATAGGCCTGTTACTCGAGGGTGCCTGGAGTAAGAGCACTGATAAAAGTCCACTTGACCCACACTCTCGTGCTTATTTACCTTACTTCACACTCTGCTTCTGCTTCTTCTTCAATTCTGAAGAACTTCTGAAGTATGCGCCTCGCTTCTGGTTCGATTCCAGCTAATGTCATGCGCAAGTCGTGCTATGTTCTTTTCTTGGGAGTAGTCATGGATTTCTCTGGTTGCCAGAGTGAAACATATGGTAACAACCCATACCCTCATAAGACTATCTCTTTCACAGTCCTGGCAGCTCGTATTGCTACCTGAGGATACTGTCACAATCCCAAGCTTTCATTCGTTGAGCCTTTTTCCCTTCGTTCGCAGCAGCCTTTTCGACAGCTGAACCAAAGGTTGCAGCTACCCTCCGCTTCACGGAATATCACATTGAAGGAAGACCAAAGCCGTTAGCTAGAATTACATTGGAAGGAAATGCACAACAAATATTAATACACGGTTCGCTATCTTCTCCAGTAGAAATACCTCGTCACTCCTTGCTACACAGAGCGACGCGCAAAGGAACCTGTTCTCCTTCGTGTGCCCTCCCCTTTACGACCGGTGAAAGAGTCAGTGTTCCAGGAGCGTGCTGCAGTTCTAATCCTTCTTCAGAGGGACTAAACTCAAAGCTACTCAGAAGCTCGGTAATGACGCTTTGCATTTCCATAATGCTACAAACGAATAAGTATACAACATGGAGTTATATAAATATCACTTACACGAACCTCCACCTAAGATGTTGAATTATTTAGTCCTGATTGTCATTTAACGAGTGCCGAGACGTACCCGATGCATGCACGAATTCCCGCACCTAGGCAATAAGACTGGTTATTGGGAAGCTTTAGGAACAGGGCAAACTACTTACCAAATGTCATCCTGCGAATAGTACCGTGAGGTCAAGGGATTACAAATATGACAAGATCTTTACAAATTTGCATACACTCCCAAGGACATTTGTTTGCTCTGTGAAGGATTCAAAAACCTATCAGGGTTCCATACATCCGCATCGTGTCCCCATACACTTGATAACCTACGCCGGCTCAAGTGTCAGCCAGAGAAAATCCAACACAATGACAATGCATACCGATTATAGGTGTACAACGATGCTACTATGATCTGTCCCTTTGGAATCGGAATATCCGACATGACACTCCCATCCAAGGCGATAGTGGGTTCTGAAAGAGGTATAACGTCGTCTTGAGCAGCGTGGTAACAAAAGGGTGAATGCGAAGGGTTTCCTACCGGGGTGAAATTAAAATTGGGTTCCGTTCAATGTGAATTAGAACCGTAACTCACTTTGATTACAGCATCAAGTAGAGCCATGGAGTCGTAATCATTAGAAGTAAGATCGCCTTGGCAGTGCTCCCGTGCCTGTAAGATTTCTTCGCAGATCTGTGCTTGGATGTGTGGGTGATAGCTGAGCTCGTATAGGATCCAGGCTGTGGTTGTCGCGGTAGTGTCATGGCCGGCGAGAGTGAACGTGCTTGTCACCGCCAATTATTAGAGGAATCCGAAACAAAGGGATAATCGAGCTTACGATAATTGAGAATATATTTCTTCGTCGCTCATTCGTTTACTAGGCTCTTCCGTAAGGTAGGATAATGCTGACAGTAAACGCAGTTAAATAGAAGTTGGAGAGGAAAGAAATATCACAAACCAAGAACGTTCACAATATCCCTCTCGGCCGTGTTCATATCATTCGCAATTATGTCAACTTGCTTCTGGAAAATATCTCGAGCAATTCGTTGTGAAAAATTTCTGAAACGCAGGGGCCGGACTAAATCTCTCGCAGGTACCAGATCAAGTATCCTCAAGACGAAGTCGGGGAGCATGCGCCAAAGAGACACATATAGAATATCCAGGCGCGACAGAGACGAGCTACCCTCGCTGCTGTAGTTTTGACATCAGACCGGAAATCATGCTTCAAGAGCGGTACATACAATATATTGCGGAGCGCATCTCGCAGTACTGATGCACTCTTTTCACCCTCGAGAGCATGAAAGTGATATCGGAAAGCAGCTGTGGAAATAGTCACCTACCCAGACCAATTATGTCATTATCAAGAAAGCCTACTTATACCAATAATATCGAGCCCGACTTTGCTTGTCCATTGCAGAACATCAACAACCCTAGTACCTGCAGCATCGTCCCGAATTTCATTTTTGAGTTTATCTATCAACTATCGCAGAAAGAGAATCAGATATGTAATCGCTATCAAGTATTCAGAGACAATGACACACTCTCGATGTAAAACTTTGGATCAGAGGAAGAAATTGACGAAGTTGAGATGCGGAAAATGCGGGATTCATGATTTTCCGTTGCCGTTGATGTGTGATCCCTGGATGGAGATGAATATGGCATATAGACAACGCAACTAGATAGACATTGTACCATCGACTGTCCCCAACCCAGGACCGAGAAGCGCTTCCGCTAGTCGCTGGACATCCGGCGCCCTTGGAAATCGGTATCCGGATGTATGAAGGACGTATTGTAGGGCCCTTGGATCAGATAATACCAATACGTCTTGCTGTATAATCCAAAGGTCCAGCTTAGTGCTTAGTTCACCAAAGATCACATATACTCACCCCAAAGCACCCACCAATCCGGTACACTGGCCCGTATTCTCTAAGCCACTGCATTTCCAGACCACCAAAATGTTCTCGGTGGCGCATCATCCATTCGTGTCCTAGTGAATGAAATCAGCGACAATAGGGAGAAGCTACGGAGATAACGAACCCAGCAGAAACGATGGGCGCGGTGGACCGCGGACATTTTGGACCGACTTGTGCTTGGACCGCGTTCGGAGGACGGCCAGGATAGAGGCAAGGAAAAAGGGAACGAGGATGTACAAAATAGACGGCATACAGGAGGGAGTATAGAGAACAGTAGACCGTGCGGCCTTTTAACCCACCTAAGTACACGCCGAACTTGAAAATAGGTATAACCTAGCGCTCTATGATTCAGGGAAGAAAGCTCTTGGCTGTGTATTCCACGCTGTTCACGGGGACTAGTCGTTTTTTATGGCCCATATCAGGAGAAAAACAGTATGATTGGCCAGCAAATTGATGATACAGAGCATCACAATCCTGGGTTCAAGTTTGCTAAACGCTGTCAGGTTTACATGGTCTGCAGAGATATCAGGACGTGTGGGAGGCAAAACTCGAGGATTATCACATGGGTGATGGTCCCATCATCATGAACGTTCCTCGGAAGCCGGAGAACAGTGCCTAATTTTTTGTCAGGGGCCGATGTGAATAAGCACTCATGATCCCGGACCTCTCATGGTGCTTTTGTTGCGATCAACTACGCCGTGCTCAGGACGATGAGAATCCATCGACCTATGTGGTTGACGCCCAAAGGGGGGGGGGGGGGGCTTGAGAAAAGAGATTAGAGATTAAACAAGAAATTATCATGCGATTGGTGAACTCGAAGGCCCTTTGAGACATGAGATGGAGGCGAGCAATGTGCGCAACAAAATAGCACGGTACTAGAGAGGATCAGAGAACGATGAAATGAGACTCCGAGATGATGTGATGGTCAGAGAGACATGTGTAGATCGAATCTCGTACTTGCTGCCCTTGAATCTATTCTTGACGAGCGTGTTCACTCAACTCTTCCCCGCCTGGGAACCGATACAAAAGTCGAACGTGGGAAGGGGGGGACCCATGACTAGAACGAGGTAAACCTGATTGAACAACATCGTCATCTACCACCATGAGGAGCTATAGACACCTCACCTTCAAGATTCATCTTCTGTGAGTGACCGGCGAAGGCAGTGGGACTGGATGGTTGGCGCGGGAACTGACATGGGAAAAGCACCGGAAGAGGCGCCTGTATGACAGCGTTACCACTTTTTCCTATCAGAAAACGAGGAGATATGGAAGCTAGCTGAAATCCTTGTGAGCTACTTAGCCGATTCCAAATTTCAAGGGGCGCGTGGGTCTTCAATGGTGGTAGGCGACGCCTGGTGTGACGCAAGTCTCAAGGTACCAGTAGACTGCAGATATGAATTTAGTAGAGGGAGGGTGAACTGACGCTCGTACCTCTCACCGTTGCTTCGATTCACAAGACTCTTGATGTGATCTGATACATGGAGCAGGACCCAGGTGGCTACTCTTAGGCTCAGAAGGCGAGTTTGAAGTAACCGTAGTAATAGAACATTCATGGTAAGTAAATGACAGTCATGGCAAGAAGTCGATACTGAAGGTCATCCGACATTACGGGCTGGTGGAGCCAGGATCATTCACTCTTTGTATTCACGTCATGAGAAATCGGGATTCTCATCACATTGTTCGTGTGGGGGCTTTCGTCTAGTATTCTCAGGCAGATGATTGACAAGCCCAGAATCGTACACGTAGGGATCTGGTTGAAAGAAAGAAGTGAGATCACATGGTCGTAGCTAAGTGGACCGTGGGAAAAGATGTATTCTCCTTCGCGCTTTCACTTTCTCCACTGCTTCGAAGCTCAGAGCGCTCATTCTCATGGATCGTATTTGTCACAACACATTGTTCTTTGGACGATGGAGTGTCGCCGACTCCAGCTCTCGAGGACTTACCACTGTTGAAGACGAACGTAGAAAGACCCTGCACGTCGATAGACTGAGTCGACAAATGGCAAAAATACTCGGCCCTGGCTGTCTGCTGAAGTACTCTCCGAGTCCAGACTGCAGACGCTAACGTGATATGCGACCACCTGGGAAGGATGATGGTTCTAAGCGGAGAACAGGGACGGGAGCGGCGCACAGATACGGGTGGGCAAGTGGATGGAGTCTGGAGAATGGAGGTGCGGGCGTTTCTTCTTTTGCTCGACGTTGCTTTAATTTTGGCTTTCAAAAACTGACTCGAACGTCACGTCTTCGAACTGCCCTATTTGGGACAGTGTTTAGTTGTCCGCTCTATACCCTGCAGTTGTCTCTCTTGTCGATAATATCAACCGCGATGTGTAGGGGACGTCACATCTGGATCAATGGGGTGGTGCGCAATGGAGAAGGCTAGGGTGTGAGCATCTTTTCTTCTGAATCTGCTTGACATTGTTTTAAGTTTGTGTCTGAAGGTCAACCGAGTTTGGACGTTCGGTAGCTGCCTGTCGCTCTGCTAACATTCATGGACCTTGGATCCTACGTTAAACTGGTATATGGTATATAAATGGTGGGATGGACCATTGAGGTACACGTCTTTTCTTGTTCCAATTTCCAGTCTGGCGCACATATACAGCCTTCTTGGTCTACGATAAAGATGCTTGCGTCGAGGGGTATTGCGATCTTCCCGGTCCATCCACGCTCCGGTTTCGCTTCCACCAGGTCCTCGAACGGAAGTACACTGAAGTCGTTCGGTCCCGTAGCAGTCTGTCATTTACTATTAGTTCAGGTCACGATCTGACAAGTAGATAGCCTTCTGTAGTACGGACGTCGTTACCTTTCTGTTAAGGAGCTGCGACAACTAATAAAATCAACTTCCTTCCTTCCTTCTAGCAGCATAGGTCTTTATATATGGGCCCGAAGTTCAGTAGTCTCCGTCGGAGGTCTCACCACGGAAACAATAGTGATACCATAAGAGCCCCTTGCGCCGGCTCCAAACAGAAACATCGGGATATTCAACGTTCATTGTTATATAAAGTATACATCATTGACACAGCCTGAGGAAGCCGAAAGCCCAATGCACCATTCTTCACACCTTCTGGTATGGTTTGATTATAATGGGCATTTGGTTCCCAGCACCGGGATTACTTCTGAGCAATGGCCGTTGCACGATAACGGACTTTTTCGCGATTTCTGCTCCCGGGACGGCTAATTCGAATTCGAATGCCCTTACGAGAGTGAAGAGAATAGCTTTCATCCTATGCCAGTTTGGTCAGAAGTGAGCGTGAAAGACCAAAACACATAGCACGTACTCCACCAGAGAGAAGCGATACCCAATACACGAACGAGGGCCACCAATGAATGACAAAAGGTTTCCCCATACACCAGGTATGGACTTCACTGTATCGGGAATCTTTTCCCATCTTTCCGGTCTGGTTTCCTATGATCAGCGACGGTAGACAGATACATAAGTCAGCCAGGACGAACTTGAATGCCCTCGCATCTTCGCCCCACAGGGTTTCATCTCGGTTGATCGTAGTAATAGGAATCATAACCACCTGGCCTTTTCTGATCCTAATATTGACGTTTCAAATGAGTGCCGGACCGGCGTGGAGTTACATACATACCTGATGCAATCTGGACTTTGCCTTTCCTGTCAACGAATGGTCGGCTTAAAGGAATCACATCATCCTTTCCTGCAATACGGACGGTTCCAGGGACGGGAGAATGCACTCGTAACGTTTCCCGAACAACCCAATCCAAGTAGGGTAGAGCATTCAATTCATCCATCGTGGGTGTATCGGTGTCAACCCGTAACAATTCATCCCGCAGCTTGATCTGAGTGTCTGGACTTTGAGTCAGAGCAAAAAGAGCCCATGTTGTCGCAGTGCTAAGCGGGACGGTCAGGTACGTAGACTATCTTCTCCAATTTTTACTCACCTTGTGGTTTCGTGCCCGGCGACCAAGAAAGTCGGGACCTCTTTTAGGTATTGAGATGCACCAGAAGTCAAACAGATAGTAGAGATACTTACGGGCTAAAACGTCACTATCAGCCATGCGTTGATGTTCACCGACGCCAGAAGACATGTTGGCCTTAACAAGCAGTGAGAGAAGATCCCGAGCGGTCGAACTACCTTTCTCTCCACTTGCTCGAAGGCGGGCGTGACTTTCATCAAGAAGTTGATGCCCAATTCGACTCATGGTTTCGTGAGCTCTGGAAATTTCGGCGTCCCGTGGATCAGGCTTATTTGTGGTAAATAACCTTCTTAGTGACAAAGACGAAGGATCTTACGATAAAACGTAACACCGGAAAGAAGGTTTTGATAAACACCAACGGACTTGATCGCGTAGCAGTCGCAAATATTTTGGTAAATGCTTCGGTTAACTCGTTTGGGGTATGACTGGGGTTGAGTGAATTGAATTTGTAGTTGAAACCTTCGAGATACGTATTAGGAATAGGACGAATAAAAAGCGCCAATACAAACCGGCTAGACCAATAACATCCAAGGTCAACCGACTTAACCACGAGAGTACGTTAGTGGTGAGAGATCCTTGTGCGGCGCATTCTGCTGTCCACAAATCTCGTAACTATCGAAAATACCGCTCATCAACTTAAGGAAGGATATCAGACACGGAACCCCGTACCTGGAGAGACTTTTCAAGGAAAATGGTGTTAAGTTCACGAATTTGAGCGGGTCCAAAGGCCGGGTTCTGTTGACGTATAAGTTCAACGTCTACAGAAATCAGCGATTCTCGCCGCTCGGCATACGCACCATAGTCCTTCGCTGTAATCACAACGCCGGGGTTAATGAATGAACCATTCCATGCTTTGCATTAAATCAAGTACCTGCTGCTTGTGCTTTTCTCCTTCAACGACAAGGACACCTATAAACAAATTATTACTGAGGCGTTCACAAAGTTCATGGGGGAAAGATAACCTTTGCCGATAACGCGCCCTATGTTATATCGGCTATGGGGCGGTTTAGGGTAGTCGTAAGCGTTATTAAGAATGTGAGAAACTGCTCGTAGGTCGGTCGTGAACAACCGGTACCCCTACAAGACATAAGCATCTAGTAGGGTTGAATCATGAAGAGTAAAAATCTTACGCCAAGGATCCCTGCATATCTAATGGTAGGTCCGTATTGCTTGAACCACTTGTCCTGTAGATTACTGTCCTCCTGGAAACAAACATTAGTACCACGCACGTCATGCTTGTTATGCTCCTAGACATACCGACGCCCATATTTGCTTCAAATTCCCCGAAAAAAAGCTCGGGCTTTCAGGCCCAGGAAGATCACTGAGGGGAGAAGTATACTCGAGATAAAAGCTTTTGACGAGGTGATACAATCTGTAGGCCACAAGGGTGCCCAAGAACGTACATGCGATCTGAAGAAAGACCTGCATATCGATGAAGGGGAGATGGGAGATCTGGACGAATGTTCACTTAACGCCAATGATTTCTATCAGGCCTTTGTTATATCTTCCCGCTTCCACGGCTGCTTGACAACATTAGTAATTCGTCATCGTCCGTGAAAGGAACAGGTGTTCATTGATGACGCAATCACGGCAGGAACAGTACGGCCCGAGAGCCGGATCTAGCCCGAAATTCGTGCGCTAATTAATACAAGCCTCCAACCCGTGTCTTCGTCACGATTGCCGGACCCTCGTACCTCGGGTCCCGGCAACCTGACTACGACACGGGTTTTCGGCTTGTTGGGGCCCGCCCCAAACCTGGCTTATTACTTGGGACATTAATGGAGTAAAATCTTTGTTAAGAGACTCTAAGCTGCTGGAAATAGATGTCATCAGGGGATATAAACATAGTGATAAGTTGAGGCTCAAACAAAATATATTCCAATTCCCAATGTACATGTGAACTGAGTACTATGTATCTATATCTGTATCAGCTGTTTTGTTGGGATTTTGAGTGTAGCAGTCAGAGAGAACATGGTGATGTGGCTTGAACAATGTGTATTTCATGGTATGATACTTGGGAAGATGGTGGTAAGAAGCCAAAATTTAATGGTAATGATCAGTAAGGTAAATAAGGGCCTAAATAATGTAAAATAAAAAACAGTGGCTGATGGCTGTGAAACTCCATCATAGTAAGGATGCATAAGGATGTGCACCATACCATTAGGGACAGTTAGAGTTGCAATTATGGGTTGATTATGATGCCATGATTGGCACCGAAAGAACCTATTTCACAGTGGATGAGGCTTCTGAGAAGTCTGGTGCCCTTTTTTGGCAGCGGCGATTATGGTCAAAGGCATAATCAACCCATAATCAACTCATAATCACATAACTGACTCTGGAGTTGGTTATGCCATTGCGGTCAATTATGGTTATCCCGTGATTATGTCCCCATAATCGACCAACTCTGACTGTCCCTATTACAGATACAACTGTAGACTATACAAAAAGCCTTACCTATGATACAGTATGGCTGAGGCCAAATCTGTACCATATCATGGATCTGACTCTGGCAGCATCCATGTTTCACATCCTCAAAGATGGTCATGGTGGAGCTACTTGCAGAGTCTTAGAGATAGAATGCATCAATGATGAAATACCTGGCCATGAACATTGAAAATGGGAAAAGCTACATCTACCTGCCCTAAACCATCACATGCCCTGGTCTGAATCTGCCTTAGTCTGCTCTCACCTATGCTCCCAATGGTGTGGACTCATATCCATATATGCTGTACATATCCACCATAGTACAGACTGGATGTGGTGCACATCTCTAATAATACAGTGCATATTTTTAAGTCCATAAGAGATATTTTTGGACAGCTTACAGCCATATTGTCATGGTTGTATCCATAATGGTACCTTGTATGTCCCAAATTATTGATGACAGCTTGAATAACTGTTGCAACCCTTCCCTCCATCTTAAGCCCAGATTGTCAGAGACACTGATGAATAAAATATTCAAGCCATTACCACTTGCATTACCATGAGGAGTAGTTACAAAGAAAGATTGGCAGTTGTGTTGGAATTATGCTGATACATATTCATTTATAGACTGGAGCATCTCAGTAATGTACTCATGTACTCATCTTACTTGCCTGCTCTCTCGTCGCTATTGTGCTATCATAACCTGGGTGCAACCTGGCAATGCGGCAACATTCAAACTCAGCCGGAATGCACCGCGCGTGGCAATGGCCGGAAAATTCAAAGTCCGCTTATTATGTCATCTTCTTGCGACCTCTCTTAATATATAGATGTTAACTACCATAGAAAGGAAATAAAGTCATAACTAACAAGTACCCCAAGATGAGGACGCACTCCTGATGCAAAATTTTGGAACAGAGGAAGAAATCGGCGAAGCTGAGATGCAGAAAATGCAGGATTCATGATTTTCCGCTGCCGTTGATGTGTGATCCCTGGATGGAGATAAATATGGCGTGTGGACGACGCAGATGAGTAGACATTGTACCCTGGACTGCCCCAACCCAGGACCGAAAAGCGCTTTCAACTGTCGTTGAACATCCGATGGCGTTGGAAATCGGTGTCCGGACGTATGAAGGATGTATTGCAGGGTCCTTGGATCAGATAATACCAATACGTCTTGCTATATCACCCAAAGGTCCAATTGAGTACTTAAGTCACCAAAGATCGCATACACTCACCCCAAAACACCTACTAATATTTTTTACTACTATGGAGGAATTGCGAAAAAAGATGTTATTAGGAAAATCATGCACTTTGCGGGGCCACGCTGTGACGATCGCTGAAAATCTCAATGCTCGTCAAAACACTGATTTCGGCATTTGGCTTCATAAACAAACATCTATTGAAAGCATGTCAGCGATCTGGCAGTGAGATGTACAGACTTATATACTCCGAGAATAGAGCAGAAGCAAAGCGTAAGGCAAGTAAATATAAATGAGAATGAGAGTCGAGCCTCGACTCGTCACAAACTAATCTGCGACTTCCAATATTAAATCAGAGCCCTATTTGTTAAGCGCAGTTACAAGTAACGGGACTTGCGCTCCTTCCTCTGCCTTCCCTGGAACAATGGGGATCAAAGCCGTACCAGCAGGGCCATGCTGCAATTTGGAAGCTCCCTTCAGCATACTGAATTCGAAGTTACTCAAGAGCTCTGTTACCACAGATTGCAGCTCCATGACACTACAAACGTACAATCAGAGCTGGGAGCCAGGCATAAGATGATCTGTACTTACGCAAATCGCCATCTGTGGGTACAGGGATTGTTAGTCAGACATGAACCATTACTCTCAGCGCTCAATGTAGTACGTACCCAAGGCATCCACGAATACCAGCGCCTGTATTGGGAAATATCGTCAACAAAGTCTATGGAAAAGGAAATCTCAACGCTCACTAAAGGTCAGCCTGTCAAGCAATTGCCATACCATCAGTGAGCGAAACACACAAAGTGGATGGAAAAACCGTACAGATTCGAATAGACTCCCAGAGAGGTTTGATTAACTTCCCTTCCATCAAGAAAACGCTGGGGATTCCACTCGTCGGCATCTTCGCCCCACACAGACGGAAGTCTAGACGGTCCCGAATCAACGCGATGATTTCTTGTTCAATGAAGACGAAATATACACATACCGGTTGTAGGTATAGATGGAAGTCATGACAACTTGTCCCTTGGAAATAGGGATCTGCGAGTACACTTGGCCATCCGAAGTAGTTATAGGCTCGGAGAGAGGCAGGACGTCATCCTGGGCGGGTTGACGGAACAGGATATGCCCCAGAGGATGGAATCGGAGAACCTCCTGTTCAAGAAGATCATACAATAAGATCTGGTAGGATGCGACGACGACGACAACCCACTTTAATACAAGCATTTAGCCACAACATCGAATCGTAATCGTTCGATGTGAGAGCTCCGGAGGCATTCAATTTCGTTCGAGAAATCTCTTCACGTATCTTGGCTTGATCCTCAGGATGAAGACTCAGCTCATACAAAAGCCAGGCCATGGTGTTTGCGGTCGTGTCATGGCCGGCTAATACGAACGTCCTAATGATGTCAGTGAGCAAATGGAATGAGACACGAAGGACACGCAACTTACGCCAGCTGAGAATCGATTTCTCCATCATTCATCTGCTTCTTGGCATCGTCGTTGAGATGAGACATTGCTGAGGAAAGATGAGAACGAATGGGTAGAAGATAAATTCCATATAACATACCGAGGACATTAACGACGTCCTTCTCAGCCGGATTGACATCGTTCACCACTTCTTTCAGCTGCTTCTCGTAAATGGGCCGTGACACCTTCATCGCTACTTTTTTAAAGTGACTCATCCGCAAAGTTGCTCTACTGGGTATCCTTTCGAGCGGTACTAGCAACCATCCAGGAAGTATCCGCCAGAGCGCGGTATACAAAAGCTCCAGTGACGTTGGCCACATCATAGACTCGCCGCTATTCAAAAATGAGTACGTGAGATACTTGACAAAGTAAATCATACACACAAAAGATTATTAAGCGCAGCCATCAGTTCAGTCTGTCCACCATTGAGCGAGTTGAACTCGTATCGGAAAGACGCTAGCGAGTTAACCGTGTGAGTATACTTCGACGATCATGAGTGGAAAATGAAGACGCACTGATGCCTATAATATCCAGCGCAGCTTTGCTCGTCCATTCGAGCATATTAAGTACTCTGGCATTCTCGACGCGTTGGTTGATCTGCTCTGTGAGCTAAAGCCAACATAATGAGCCACTGTCATTAAAACCTATGCCCCTCCCGCACCTTCGCAGCTGACGCCTGGAAGACGTTCAGAAAGAGGCGCAGTTGAGATGCTGTGAAAGCAGGACCGAGGATTTTCCGTTGGCGTTGGTGGATTTCGTCTAACACTCCCAATTAGACGACAAATGTTGGAGACGCGGAATACAGCGGCGTACCCTTCACAGTGACTAATCCCGGTCCCATGGCAGCCCTGTTGAGACGATCCGTATCTCTCGTTTTTGGGAATCGATATCCAGAGGAACGGAATATATATTGCAACGCTTTCGGGTCAGCAACGGATAAAACATCTTGCTGCTTGAATTTCAGAGTCATTAACCGAGAGATAGACAAAAGCTGCCGACCCCGAAGCATCCCTTAGTGCGGTATACGGCGCCATATTGCTGATACCATTTCATCTCCAAATCTCCGACGTGCTGACGTGCGCGAAGGAGGTGTTCATGACCTGTTATATTCAGAATATAGATCATACAATGGGGCAGAGATGACAAACCAAAGAGAGCTGAAGGACTCGGAGGTCCAAGAATCTTCCAGACTATAGATTTGCGTCCTCTAAAGAGTAGAAACACCAAGGTGAGGAACAATGCGACTGCAGGGAAGACAAAGTAATGTGTGACGGATTGCATGTCGTACGGTTCGACGGGAGGATGCTAATAAGCACGGGCTTTTATCAGTGTACACAACTGAGTCCGTCATGAACAAGTCCCGGATTTTGGTGAAGAGAGTGGCAACATGTGCCAAGAATTTCAGCAAAACGGCCCCGCGGGTTACAGCATCTGTGTCAAGTCATCAGAAGAAGCTGCTAATTTCGATAACCTAAGCGCATTGTACCAAATAAACTTTCAGGAAGACAGTCATGGAACATCGATTAAACGTGAGAACTAGTGCAAAACGGGCCCGTCGAATCTTAGCTCACCAAAAACAGAAGGGGCCCGTCGCAGCACTTATTCAGATAAGCCCTGTCATCAATTCCTCTGGGGGAATTAGTGCCCCGACCAGACGAATTAGCGAACAAGGGTCGTCGTGCGGTGAGAGGTCGGCTTCCTGTTTTGTAAATGGAGAGCCTACCACCGAAGGATGGCTATCCTTCACATCATTGCACTGGACTTATGAGTCAGTGGAGCGAAGTTCAGATACTTGAAAATGACTTGCCAGAAAACAGACAGGGTTCATTGAAAGGCACGGGTCGTTGTTTAAACCTTTCAGAGCTGACGATGGCATGATCATTATCTCCGAGTAAGATATTGCCGATACTAACAACTCACTGCAAACAGGGAATCCCTTCGTTTGGATCCCTAGAATTGGATAAAAGTTGGTACTGCACTATAAAAAGATGATAGGCCGTTTCACCTCGTATCTTAATTTGCCGGCGTGAATATCTTCGGTAGACATCACATCTTTACTTGTCACTCAGGAATGAATTCACATTTGAGCTATCCAATGAAGGACAAAGAGCTTTATATCGCGGTCATGGCATGGCCAATCTAGGTTCGTCCTAGTATCTATCCAGAGTCAACACGCTGGTCTCACAAAGCAAGAATGCGACCTTTTTCACCTCGATGCTTCTTGTATATCATCACTGCGGGGTTGACTGAGTCAATGGAACCAATGAATTTCAAATGCTTAGAGATGGTCCTCAATGACGCTAATGGCACCAATCGACCTGGAGCCGCGAAATAGGGAAGATGGCAAGCCAGACGAAACGATACTCGTACCACGGTCTATCGCCGTTCAATTCGATGGTTACGATCCATCGAACCTTGGATAAGAAGGCGAGAATGCTGCTACAAAGGGCGGAAAAAAATAATCTGCAAGGGAAGAATTACCCATGACATTGACCGGGATCAGCCGGAAAGAGACAGGCCCAGTGCACACAATGCGAGAAGAATTACAAAAAGGCTGGCAAGAGTTCGATTAGAGAACGAGGCCTGCAATGTGCATTACAGGACTACCGGCAATGTTTAGTAACACAGGTCGGCCGGCGCAAAATTGGATGTAAGATTACTAGACCTGCAGGCACAAAATCGGCATAATGTCAACGCGGAATATATGGTGCACGTACCTCCCGGACTACTGCTGAGAGCCCTCCATTGGCGACCACAGTCCTAGCATGATAGCACGAAACAATACATGTCTCTTGAAGGGATCCTCCACGTCCAATTCCTTTAGCGGTTACGATCTATCTGGCATATGAGCGGGGAAGGTGTAGGGGTTTGACCTAGAGAGCTGCCATTGGCAATACTGCAGCTTCGGAGGAATAGCAAACACACCTTCGGTGCATAACTCACGCGTATGAACAAGCCTCTCAACATCTACTCACAGACAGGCGACTTCGATAGGAGCGTGTTATGATACACGTAGGCCGAGTCCGATTTAGAATTGCACGAACAGTCACTGGCGGCAGGGCGGTGAGAGTATTGAATGCATCCAGACCTGCAGACACGAAATCAGCAAGGCATCAGTGTGAAAGAAACGATGCACGTGCCGCCCTCCACTATCGATGTGAAAGTTTCAACCCTACATCGGCTGCTACTATTCCGGCGCAACAGCAGAAACCAACACGTTTCATCGGGGGATCCCCAGGTTGGACTGGCTGTGCTGTTATGGCTACGATTCACCGGGAGAAGAGACGAAGGCTTCGACCTGCACAACTCAAGTTATTAACACCTCGACATCGAAAGGACAATGCACGCACCTCTATCGTATACCCGTACCGCGACGCGCGCCCGGCGACTTCAGCGGCCCTTCCAACAATCCTAGCAGCAGTGTTCGCTTCGCCCAGAGACTCTAGTCGTTGAGTATTCCATGAGGATGATGGTAATACCAGCATCTTAAAGCGGCCTGGAAACCGAGCGAGAAGATTGACAATATCGTGACCGTCTTGGTCTAAGGTAGACGTTTCCCACGCTCTGCCAGCAATACGACCATGTGATCTAAACACGGTCGGTCAAATCCTCTCCTAAATTCAAATTTTGGGCACCATTTCCGTCCCAGCCTTCGCTGACGAACTATAAATATCGAAACATGGATTTACGTGGAGGAGGCCACCGATTCAAATGATCACTGAACAGGCAGGCAAGAATCCCATTCACTGATTACGGCTCCTATCATCAAGCCTTTACTCTGAGATAAGTCCCAAGTCAAAACGAAAATAAAATACAAAAATCGCATTCAAATCTTTGTATAGCAAGGCCTCGGATTGAACGAGGAGTGATTTCCACAAAATCCCTGCTTGGCGAGGACTCGAACTAGTGATGCGTACTGTTACAGACTAGGCCAGAAGTACTGTATAAAAGCGTCTCGTCACTAGCAAAGGAGACGGCGCTGACAAGGAGAGACATATGCCATGCCTAGGGTGAAAGGCTGCCATACATAACATTCGTGCATCGAGCAATGATTATTACTGTCTGAAATGTTTGTGCAGAACGACTTCATCGTATTATGTCCGAGACGCGGAGAAAAGAGTTTCACATAAAAAGCGGCTTTACAAGACATCGCACATAGCAGGACCTAGGATCCAACGAGGAGCTACTTGGGCAAGGAAGTGGTTCAGCCATCGCTTTCCATACCGAAGCACGAGAACAAGCTCCAAGGACTCCCCATTAATGTCACGAATCTCTGAAAATGAGAACACTTTTTGAGTCAAATGTAGAGATGGTGTCTGCACTGTAGCAACTCCGAGGAGATATCCTGTGTCTAGTGTTCGGTGCGCCGTATCGAACAAAATGATTCATCTTGTTCGATACGCCGCAGCTAGCTTGTAATAAAAAATGTTCTTTTTTTGGCAGATTCCTGCCAACGCGGAGTCCTTTGAACTTCTTTTCGTCTTTTGCACCCGTCTAAAATGTTGGCCTAAGAGAGCCTTGGGTGAACAGGATTCTCACCTGCCTGTTTGGCCACCTCGTTCGGGTCAGGGTTCTCCATTGACAGGACATGGATCCGTGTTTTGGTATTTATTGGTCCTAAGCAGATACCGTAGAGGAAGACGGTGATTAAATAAATAGTATTTGCATTGAGGGGAATTTGGGAGTGTTTAGGTCACATGCTCGTTTCGGAGGTCGTGGGAAATGTCTACCCTCAACACGACGACGACGTCCGACGGAATTTTTTTTGTTTTGAACTTTCGTTTTGCGCTCGCTCCAACATCCAACCCGCTCTGACGCAGCCTCATGAAGTACTCGACGATTGGCCGTACACCAGGCTCTGAGTGCTGTTAGGATTGTTGGAATGGATGCTGAAGTCGGACGCAGTAATACGGACAGAGGATAGAGGTGCGCATCGTTCTTTCGATGTCGAGGTGTCACTAACTTGGGCTGTCCAGGGTGAAGCATTTGCCTCTGCTTTCTGTGAATCGTAGCCATAACATCTCGGCTCATCCAACCGAGAGGATCCCCTGAGGAAACGTACATTGATTCCTGCTGTTGTACCAGAATCGTGACTGCTGATATGGGGTTGGTAGTGAAGGGAGGTGCGAGCATTGCTTCTTTTGCCTTGGCGTTTCGCTGATTTGTGTCTGTAGATCTGGTAACTTCACGCGTAATGTTAACCTGTGTTATCAAAGACCGTCAGTACTTTTGTAATGCGCATTGCAGGCGTCTTTCTCCAAGAAATTTTTGGCCGGCCTTTTTGTAATTGCTCTAGCACTATGGCACCCGGGCCTGGCCTGATGCTTCTCCTGGTGGATCCTAGCGAGTGTCATGGAAGACTGTTCGCTTGCCGACCATTTTTTGGCGCTTTGCAGTAGCCTTCCCACCCGTTGATCCATGACTCGATAAATCGTAACCGCCGAGTAAATTGAGGGCAAGGATCCTCACAAGAGATGTGCGCTGATTTGGGGTACTATGACAGAACCGTGTCTGTCAATAAAAAGTTGGCAATGATGCATCGCTTCTTCTGCCTTGAGACACCTTCCCAAATCTGTTTCTGCAGGTCGACTGGTATCCTTTGTGTCACTGAGGACCGTACGCGCCCCTCTAAACGTTCGGCATTCATTGGTTCCATGGACTTGGCTAACTCCGCACTGATGAGATAAAGGAAGCACTGAGGTGAGATAGGTCGCATTCTTGCCATGTGAGACGGGCGAGTTAACTCCCGGTAAATGCTAGGATGGACTTAGGCATCGGTTATGCCGTGAACTAGGATATACGACTTTGATATTCCTTGATAGCCCAAATGTGAATTCGTTCCCCAGTGACAAGTGAGGACATGATGTCTGTTGAAGGTATTCATACCTGCAAATTAACATACGAGGCGAGACAGCTTATCATCTTCTTGTAGCATAGTACCAATTTTTGTCCATCCTAGGGCTCCAGGCGAAGAGATCCCATGTTCGCAATGAGTGTTGGTATCGCCGATATCCTTACTCGGGGATATTGACTATATGCCGACAGCTTGTGAGCCCTCAGAAAGGTTTAAACAACGAACCATGTCTTTCAATAAGCCTTGCCATCCTTAAAGTAAATTTCAAGTATCCGAACTTCACTTCGCCGTTAATACTGACTCAAAAGTCCAGTACCATGCGGAGGTTAGCCGTGCTTCGGCAGTAAACTCCACATTTGCAAGAACGAAGACAATATTCCACCGCACGATGACCATTGTTTGCTGAGTCTTTTTGCCGAGCTGGTTCCCCCAGAAGTTTTGATGACAGGGCTTATCTGACTCAGCGCTGTGGTACACCCCTCGCGTCTTTCGTGAGCCGAGATTCGACGGGCCCGTTTTGCAGAAATTCTCACGTGTAATCAAGCTTCCAACTAGTTGACCTGTTGTGAGTTCATTCGTTACTATGCGCTAGGTTGATGAAATAGGCGGCTTATTCTGACGCCTTGACACAGGTCCTCTGACTCCACGGGGCCGTTGTGCTGAATTTGTTGGCAGGTGTTGTCACCCTCCTCACCAAATCCGGTATGTACTTCTTTAAGACGGGCTCAGTTGAGGTTTACTGATAAAAGCCCGTCCTTGTTGACGTCCTCTTCAGAGCATTTCTTTCGAGCCGTACGACATGCAATCGATCACAACTTACCTCGTCTTCCCTACAGTCGCTTTGTTTCTTGCCTTCGCGTTTCTGCGCTTTAAGGGCCGCAAATCAATAGTCTGGAGGATTCGTGGACCTCCGAGTCCTTCGACTCTCTTAGGTTTGTTGTCTCGGCCTCATCGCCTGGTCTGTACTCTAAATATAACAGGTCATGAATACCTCCTCCGTAACCGTCAGCACTTGGGAGACTTGGAGATGGAATGGTATCAGCAATACCGCGCCGTATACCGCACTAAGGGATGTTTCGGGGTGAGCATATTTTGTTTATCTCTCATCAATGTCTCTGACATCCAAGGCAGCAAGATGTTTTGTCCGTTGCTGACCCGAAGGCATTGCAATACATATTTCATTCTTCTGGATACCGGTTCCCGAAAACTGGAGACACGAATCGTATGTTCGAGGCTATCAGTGGACGAGGATTAGTCGCTGTGGAGGGTATGCCTACTGGTTCTGCGTCTCCACCGTTCTCCGTCTAATTGGCGCTTTAGGCGAAATCCACCAACGCCAGCGGAAAATTCTCGGGCCCGCTTTTACAGCATCCCAACTCCGACTCTTTCTGACGGTCTTCCAGGCGTTAGCCGTGAAGGTGCGAGAGGGACATGGGATTTCATGACAATGGCTCACTCGGTTACCTTAGCTTACGGAGCAAATCAATCAGCGTGTTGAGGGTGCTCGAGTGCTCAATATACTCGAATGGACAAGCAAGGCTGCATTAGATATCATAGGCATCAGTATGTTTTCATCTTCCATTCACGATTGTCCAAGTAGGTTCACAGTTGACTTGCCAGCGTCTTTCCGATATGAGTTTAACTCTCTCGATGGTGGACAAACCGAGTTGAGGGTGGCCCTCAATAATCTTATGTATGCATGATTCACTTTAGGTGTAGTATCTTCCGTACTCACGTTTGAACAGCGGAGATTCTATGATGTGGCCAACGTCGCTGGAGCTTCTATGCTCCGCGCTCTGGCGTATACTTCCTGCGTGGTTGCTTGTACCGCTCGAGTGGCTGCCCAATAAACAGACCATGCGGCTAAACCACTTCAGAAACCTTGCGATGGAGGTATCTCGACCGATCTTTGAGAAACAACTGAAAGAGGTGGCGAACGATGCCAATCCGGCTGAGAAGGACCTTGTTAATGTTCTCGGTATGTGAGATGAATTTTATCTTTGACCTCTTTTTGACCCTTGCTCAGCAATGTCTCATTTCAACGAAGATGCCAAGAAGAAGATGAACGATACAGAAGTTGATTCTCAGCTGGCGTAAGTTAGGTGTCCTTCGTGTCTCATTCCATTAACTAGCTGAAATCATCATTAGGACGTTCGTATTTGCCGGCCATGACTCAACTGCAAACACCATGTCCTGGCTTTTGTATGAGCTGAGCCTTCACGCTGAGGACCAATCGAAGATACGTGAAGAGATTGCTCAAACGAAATTGAATGCCTCCGGAGCTCTCACATCGAATGATTACGATTCGATGCTGTGGCTAAATGCTTGTATTAAAGTGAGCCATCGTCGATCGAAGCCACCAAGTCTTAATGTGTGAACTTCAACAGGAAACTCTCCGTTTACATTCTCCTGGACATTCCCTGTTCCGTCAAGCCGCGCAGGATGACGTCCTGCCCCTCTCCGAGCCTATCACCACTTCGGACGGCCAAGTGTGTTCGCAGATTCCCATATGCAAGGGACAAGTCATCCTGGCTTCCATCTATACCTACAATCGGTGTGTATAATTCGTTTTCATTGAAGAAAGAATCGTTGATTGTGGTCTAGACTTCCGTCGGTATGGGGTGACGATGCCGACGAGTGGAATCCTCGTCGTTTCCTTGACGGTCGGGATGTTAAGCAAACCTCTCTGGGAGTGTATGCTAATTTGTACGGTTTTGTCTGTTTTGCTTACTTCGCTCGCTGATGATACCTCGATCGTGTGACAGGATGACCTTCAGTAAGTTTTGAGATCTCCTTGGCGCTAAACATTGTTGATGATCTTTACCAATACAGGCTCTGGCATTCGTGGATGCATTGGGTACGTACATTGAGTGTTGCGAGTAATGCTTCAAGTCTGACCAATGAACCCCGTATCCGCAGATGGCGATTTGCGTAAGTATGGATCAGGTTATCGCTGTCTCTGAGCTCTGATTGTTTTGTAGTGTCATGGAGGTGCAATCCGTAGTCACAGAGCTCTTGAGTAACTTCGAATTCAGTATGCCGAAGGGAGCTTCTAAGCTGCAGTATGGTCCTGCTGGTCCGGCTTCGATCCCCATCGTTCCAGGCAAGGCAGAGGAAGGAGCGCAAGTCCCGTTACTTGTAACCGTGCTTAACAAGTAGGGCTGTGATTGGATCTCTGATGCCCCAGATTGGTTTGTGAGTTTTAGAGACTCACAACATTGCTGATCACAAGTCGAGGCCGGACCCTCACTCTTGTGCATACTATTTACTTACACTTAGCTTCTGAAGAGGTTTCGGATTATTTAAGCCTGTACATTTCATTGCCACGTCGCCGTCATGTTTTCAATAGACGTTGTGAAGCCATAAATCAGTTCTTTCGATAAGCGATCTTCAGTGAATGTCACGGCGCAGCCCCGTATACTGTACAGTCTGCAGGATGTGATTTTTCCAAAGAAAATTTTCCGTAATTGCTCCATAGCAAAGAGTTAAGTTGGAGTACAAACTCTGTTGAGCGACTGTTGAGGTTGTTGACTCGGCCCGCCGGGATTCAAGGCAAGGACGACCCGCGCCACATGGAGTTGACCTCGTCATACAATTATCTTCGACCCGTCATAGCTCTTCGCGTATAGCGAAATGACGAGCCCGTCTTCCTTCAGCCCTTTCAACCGTGTTACATCAGCTGAGGACAAAGACACAGGCAAATCCACATTGACCTGGACAGTCTTCAAAAACGAGCTCTTCCACCTTACAGCCACAGCGTCAACGAACACCGTGTCAAAAAACTTAGCAGCTGTCTCATCCGTATCGCCAACACGTATGAAGTGGTGGAGGAAAATGAGCGTCTTGAGATGCGGCACCAAACCATCATGAGCAATAATGGTCCTGAGGCAAACATTGTCAGCTCGCCGCCATCGAAAGAACTCTAAGCTCAGAGATGCGAGTTAGGGAGAGCGTTCGAGGATGTCAGAAAGGTGGCGGTTCGGTAACAAGGCTGAGGTCAGCCACGATCCAGTGTTTAGAATGTGCACGGAGTATTTGGAAGAGTGCCTTGAACTTTTCGTTCTCTTCTGGGGTGGTACGCTTTGCGATAGATCGGAACACAAAGCGAAGATTTTGACAACGTTTCACGATAGTTCTAAGCATGGAGCAGGGGTCTTTTCTGTGTGCGAAGCGATGGCTAACAATAAAATAAAACGATGCCCGTACATTCGAGTTCACAGAATTAGCGTACGTTTCCCCAGGTTCAATTCGCCGGGCTGTTATGGATAAATTCACCGAGAAGAGAGGCAAATGTTCAAGCTGGACAACCCAAGTTGGTTCAATACACCTCGACGTCAAAAGAATAACGCGTGCACCTCTGTCCGACTTGTGCGTCCTCCTATCAGCGTTCGGATGTCCAATTGTCGAGTATCTCACGAGATTCATAGAAGGGTCAAAGAGCAGGTTGGAAATTGGAGCAAGCTCAAAGCGAAGATTGATTGACAACAGCCGAAATCGTGTTTAGGGCAGACGTTTCCACAGTTTGCGAAACGACCATGTGACCTAAACACGATCGGTAACTTCGAAAGGTTCTCTCCTCAGTTCAAATTTTGGGCACCACCTTCGTCCCTGACAAACAATAAATATCAAAACACGGATTTACGTGGAGGAGCCAGGAGGCCACCGATTCGAACGAACACTGAACAGGCAGGCAAGAATCCCGTTAGCTGATTATGGCTCCGATCATCAAGCCTTCACTCTGATATTAGTCCCAAGTCAAAACGAAAAGAAAAATCAAAAAAATCACATTCGAATGTCCATTTAGCAAGGCCTCAGATCGAACGAGGAGTGATTTCCATGGAATCCCTGCTTGGGCAAGGACTCGAACTAGTGATGCGCACTATTACAGACTAGGCCGGAAGTCCTGGGTGGAAACATTTCACTTTTTGTATTAGTAAAGGAGACGGTGCTGACAAGGAGAGACATGTCATGCATGGGGTGAAAGAATCGAGCAATGATTAGTACTGTATCACAATTGTGGTGCAGAACAACTTCAGCGTAGTGCGTCAGAGATGTGGAGAAAAAAGTTTCATATAAAAGGTGGCATCACAAGACGTTGCGCATGGCAGGACCTGGGATCGAACGCGGAGGCTCCTTCTGCAAGGAAGCGGTTCAGCCATCGCTTGTTATGTCAAAGTATGAAGAGAACTTCAAAGGACCCCGTGTTGTCACGAATCTCGGAAAACGAGAACACTTTATTATTCAGTCGCGAAGATGGTGTCTGCACTGTAGCAAATCTGGGAGGTAATCACATATCTAGCGTTCGAGCCTACAATATATCAGCTCCCTCTTAACATCCCTCAAAAAATACAAAACACACCTCCAGCTCCGTGTTGCACTGTAGGCCGAGGATCAGTCGCACCGGTACCGTTATCTTCTGATAAAGTGAACATAGCGACAACCACTATAATGAAAAGTGAAGTGATCCTGATACGGAAGCTGAAGCACAGAGGAGGAAACGCACAAGTGAGAACCACCGCAAGGAGGGACTCGAGCTGTGTGTCGGAGATCAGTCAAAGGCTATCTTCGGCATGCGTCAACTGCGAAAAGTGCTTACCTTGAACGTTTGAACAACCCTGCAGTCAGTTGCTTATAATGAGAGGAAATCACTCTGACCGCATCAGTGGAAACCTCCAAAAGACACCGCCACCGATATCCAGAGTGTCCAACGTTCGATGACAAACGTGGGAGCAGCCACGAAAACCTATGTACAAGCATTGGCGTCTCCTGCAGTAACGACGTCTTCAAAGGTGCCGAGTGGTCGATGGCTAGTCGTAACATCCTGCCTTAAATGATAATGGTAACGTATAAGGAAGAATCGTGGTGCGACCAGCCAGGAATCGCATACAGCGAGGAAACGCAATTCTTGAGGTGTCCGACCACACATACTGTGTTCCGGAAGAGAGGACGCTCGAGTCTACCTGCAAAGCCAACTTTAACGAAAGCCCAATAATTAAATCACGCGTACGCACCTCCCTCCAACCCTGCCCTATGTCCTATCACGGTTTAGAACTGCGTCTGCTCCCGTTCCTTCCTATGGTGCTAGCACCGTGACTTGAAAACTGGAGCCATGTGTACAAAGCCCAGTGTCTTGTTGGAGTAGTCGTGAAGTTGGAAGAGGAAGAGGAAGAGAGGCACGTACAGAATGTTCCCATGGTAAAATACGCGGTGCATGTGATCAATTCTTTCCCTCTCCGGAGATATGGCCCGAGGTTCCATAACAACATAATGCGCATACATCTTACTTCCTCCCATCCCCGCACACCCCCATACCTGTGGAAAATCCCACCTTCTCAATAACATGTGGAGCCTACGAGCAGGGATGAAGACTCTCTTTCCTTCTCGTCGATAAGAACATACAGAAGAACTTGAAGGCTTCGATCATCGTATCAGCCTTACAAAGGATTCGGTGGTTAACGTTTAACCTTAGGGCTCTGAGCGCCTGTAACGTCGAAGGAAACCGCCCAAGGTTTCATGTGCGCGCATGCTTTCTTCGACCTGCACATCTCACTGACTTTGGCTATATAGCCAAGTCATTGCCACTGCCTCTCTACCCGATGAATCGTAATCATAACAGCCAAGCCCACCGAAACTGTAGTAAAACACGCATTGATGGAGACCTCCGGTGCTACGCTATATCTTAGCTCGGTTGATAGTGGATGTATGGGCGTTGTTTCTTTCGTTTTACGTCTTGCTGGTTTCATGGTCTGCAGGTCTAGACACCCGACCACTCTGCGCCATTAGCACCCTTCTAAAATAAAACTTGACCAGCTTTCGACTCGATGTGTTGATGTGACCTTTGGTAGCTGCGCGCACAGACTACACAATTAGAGAAGATAATTAAATTTACCAACAAAGGAGCCTTACCGTAAATGTACCTTTCGAACCGGCCCACACGTACCATACCGCACATTCTTGAAAGGCCAGAGTGTTGCAAGCAATGAAAGTAGAGAATCACAGTTTGCCATGGCGGTTTTGAAAACAGTCGTCACTTTGCTTACTCGTTTTTACGTATCTTCATTTTGCGAAACAGCCGGTGGGAATTCCATCTTTTATCTCATACTCTTCTCGCTAAAGAAAATGTTAGTTGGTTCAGAGAGCACACAGGCTGAGTAAATATTTTACTCTGGGAAATCTTCTGATTAGTCTTTTGTAAATGAAACGACAAGATGAATGGAACACACTCACAGCTAGACCATCGAGGTGTGGAATATTGATGACCCTGTGGCTGTGCGAGCTGGCGCGATGTCCAGTTAGCCCGAGTTTTGCTGAGTAAGGATTTACTAAGAGAAAGAAAGTACTAGAAGATACAAAATGGTATTTAAGTAACTAGATTTCGTAGTATTCTGTACTCGTTTGCCTTCTAAGCAAACATTAACTACTTGCTAGGCAAACATGCCTGAGCACACGGTGTGCGTGGTATACAACACGAGGTTCAGGGCATCCTCACTGAAAGGGTCACAATAAGCATCTCGAAAAGGATGTCATCACTGTGGATGAGGCTGTGTATGCTGCTATAAAAGCAAGGTGAGTGCCAATCCGAACACATCATGTTCCTCAGTTTTTGAAAAGGGAAAAGGATCTGGAAAATAACTGAAACTTCGTACCCCAAATTTCAATTAACAAATGTCAGACTTAGTACTCTAGTGATTGCCAACAATATAAACGCCATACAAATAAATGAAGGTGTAAGTTAAGCTACGAAAATATAAAGTTCTTCACTCAAGAACTCATGATATAATCAACACACATACATATTACTATCCATAAGAGTCCTAATCTCTTTCAGACCATAGCAATCCCGGAAGCTCTCCGATGTCTAATGGAAGAATGCCTCCGACCCCCACCAGGCATAGATGTCTCACAAACACATGGTATGGTACACAGACTAGATTCCAAAGGGGGGGATTTGTGCTTCATCACATCACTTGGCACCAGAGCAATAGCTAGGATAGGCACCAGACCCTAATGGTGTCATATTAGCACCCGGCAGGAGAAAGCACCAAGCTAAAGCTCACAGTACTCATGGACACAACAAGGAGTGGGCAACTCGTATGCATGTCACTTTTGATGTAAGCAGCCAAAAATATAGTCGGTACCACAGCATATAATACTGAGGATAATGCGATGACTTTGATCCAGAGCCAGCGGATCTCCTTCTCAATATGACATATGATGGCCAGCATACATGACAGCATTATGGAGTAGGGCTGCGCGCCGTCACCAGTATTGTACGGTTTTCGGTAACCGTTATACGGAATACGGACCGAAGCCGAACTGCACCCTAATGGCCATTTGTACGGTACGGTGTACTGGTTGTTCCAGTCGCTGTCAGGAGCTCCAACAGACAGCCGTACAACGTCGTATTACTGGCGTATATTTTAAATACTTTTGTAGTCTTATCTAGAGCCTTTTCCTGAGTAAATTTTTGACACAAAATAGCCATGAGCCAATTCCTTTACTTTGCCACTCCTTCAAAGTTTGACTATTCGCCACCTCATCAATCTCTCACTCGCATTCAGGCAATGCATGTAACCTTACTTTATTTTTTGGGCACCTCTGGCCTCACTCAACATGGCCCATTTGTTCTCTCTGTACCTAATGTTTGTGATTTTGTCATATTCACACATAAAATAACAGGGGACTGCGCTTGTAAGTCTATATGAGTAAATATATTTTGCACGGTCGTCAACGGCCTGTAGACGGCCGTAAAGCACCCTATACCGACACCGAACAAAGCTTTCAAACTAAGCATACATGTACGGTATACGGATATTTCCAGTGACCTGTCTGAGACCATGGCTTTACGGCCATATACCTGTGTACGGTACGGTGCGCAGCCCTATTATGGAGAATACCATAGAGAAATAGGGAAGCATTAAAGTAATCTGGGCCTTGCATGCATCTCCTGGAGGCGGTATAGCAGTTATCTGATGGAGACCAAAGCCTGTGAAAACTGGGTTGGATGTCAGTTCTGATTTGATGACGATAAGGATGAAATGAACAGACTTGTTCCGATGATAGTACATAGTCCTGGAATGATAGCGAACATCCATCTGCGACCAGAGAGGATCCAGCAGTGACATATCTGCACAATAACTTGTATCAGCTCATTCCAGCAGGCAAGCACAATGGTATCTACATACCATGGTGCAACTGATAATGATGATACTGGCCATGAAGGACGTCGAACTCAAAAGGATCCACCCAGGTGAATAAATATATGTAGCCTGCTCTGGTGTGTCTTTGTCTTGACGTCTTTTCTACCATATGCCATTCTAATGCCTGTCCCAGTGGTCTGCGATAATGGCAGAAGTCGTCTCACCCGGTGTGGACTGGTCATCATGATATACCTCCTTACAACATCCCCTCTCGCTGCTCGACCGATATTTGTCCAATGGAAGGATGATGAAATGACTCTCCAGACCGTGCTGATCACCAAAGCAGTGTGAAATGCTGAACAAAATATGATTTGAGTAAGCATTGGCACTATTTCAGATAGAGTGAAAAGAGCACCATAAAGCAGTGATTCAAAGGTGTTTGTTGTCAGCATTATCGCATGGTCTAGTGTACAGCCCGGGTAGCCTGGGTCATGCCGGGTTACCTGGGTCAGGACTTGCTCGGGCCGGGATCGGGTCACAATCTTGTCACCCATGGCCCGCCCGTCAGACCCGTCAGACCCGCCTCAACTGCAATACCAATTTTACCACTGATAGTCTTATCTGCTTCCATGGAGGCTTTTTTTCCCAGAAACTTTCTTTTCAAAACTGTATAGCTACACAGTTGTATTATCTAAGACAGTGAAATTGTCATAAAAATCCTACCAAACATCGCAGCGATTCTTATGGCTGGCAACGCTGACCCTCTCATTCTTGAAGGGAAGCGCAAGCGAGCTGAGACCGAACGCCAACGTCTCAGTGTTCAGCAAGCAGCTGAGGAATCTTCTGAATCACTCTCATCCCTGTCTTCCTCCATTAGGCATGCTTCAAAAAAAGCAAAACTTATGGTCAAAAAGGCGAGCTCGGCAATATCCAAGGCTGGTGCTGCTGTTAAGAGGCTCGCTCATCACAAGAAAGCTGCCAAACCTGATCATGATACCAGTAAGCAATACAAATCCTGGTTCCTAGTAGTTACTCACCATCTTGTGCTAGCTGCTGCAAGCCAGGGATGATCATCAACAGCTCGGATGGAGCCTGATAACGATAGTCTTCCAGCACTTGAGGAAATCAGCAATGATGATGACGATGAGGACCGTGAACGTGAAAAAGAGGACAGCAGTCACGATATGGATGCACCCTCAGATGTTGGTGCCTCTGAGTCCATGGAAGAGGCCCATCTTGGTACGTTCTAGAATTCTTGTTAGATGCTGCTTTCACTGAATAAATTTTCCTAGAAAAACTCGCTCAGCTCTGGAAAGCGGCAGCATATGCCTTCTTTGCCCCACTTCCCGAGATTGAGTATGACTCCAACAGTCGTGTATTTCATGCCTTCCAGTGCCTGAATTGTACATGTAAGGTCACATGCTATCCTGACACTGCGGATGCTGGCTCTACTGGTGCTCTATGGCATCACATCCATAAATGTTGGGGAGATGATGTTCTCGCTGCCGCAGACGATGCTAAGGACTTGAAAAAATCCCGGGAGATTGTTGGCAAGGAGTTGGCAAAGTCGAAGCCTAAAAATGGTTCGATCGTTATGATGCTGAAACGGTTTGGATCGAAAATCGTGACATATGCTACTCACTCACATACTAAAACAGAAGTTTGGTGAGCACCACATTTTCGCTGCATGCATCCTAATAACTCACTTCTGGTTAGTGCTGAAAGTGTGCGCTGGTGCGCTGAAAGTCTTCGTCCCTTCAACTTGTTCGCAGATCATGGCTTCAAATGTCTGATGAAAACAGGCCGTCCTCAGCACTATATTCCTCATCCAACTACAGTCTCTCGTGATACTAAGACAGTCTTTGCTAAAACTTGCAACCACATCTCTAAGTATCTCCGAGTAAGTGAGATTTATGAGTATATCACAGATGACTCACCATTGCTCTCGCAGAAGCTCACCAGGATGTTAAGCTTTGCAACTGATGCATGGACATCTCCAAATCACCTGGGCATATGTAGCATTGACTGTTCACTTCGTTTCAGAGGATGGGACTCCCACAAGGATGGTACTTGACTTCGTCGAGGTCCCAAAGGTATCTGCTGTGCGTTAGAGACCGATCATCACTTACCATTTCTATTTTAGTCTCATAGTGGCGAAAATCTGGCAGACGTGCTACGGCAGATTATAGAAGACTTTGGAATCTCAGGAAAGGTCAGTACTATAACCATTAACTGCGAGAATATTTTTCACTTACTGGGTATAGATGCTTGCAATCACCTGTGACAATGCAACTAACAACGACACGATGATTGACCACCTTGCTGTGCATATTGACAGCTTTCCAGGCAATACAAACCGAGTCCGATGCTTCGCACACATTGTTAACCTCGTCGCTAAGAGTCTCTTGAGGCAGTTTGACATGGTCAAAGGTGCAGATACTGATTCTGAAGGAGATGAAGGAGGGAGTAGTCTGCAGCAGTTAGCTATGGATATCAACCTTGAAGATACTGATCTGAGGGACAGTGGGATGGGCCAGGATGACACTGAGGGGTTAGTTGATGTTCTGCGTGACATGAAGGAGGCCGAGCGCGAAGCATTTGAGCTTGACACGGCACCTATTCGGTCAGCACTTGTAAAGGTCTGTAATAATCAATAGACATACCTCTGGTATTAATTCCTCTCCCAGATACAGGAAGCTCTGCTTCAAGATTGTGCATTCTAGCATGCTACTCCTACCATGATGGAAGGAGTTGCTGAAAGCTGAGGGGATGAAGGAGAAAGTATTGCCGCATGATGTGTCAACTCAGGTGGAACTCGACCTTCGATATGCTCAACGTGGTCATTCAGTATCAAGGTGCAATCAAGAAATTCACCGCAGATGTGGACAATGACTTGCATGCATTTGAGCTGTCAAGAGATGAATGGAAGGCTGTGCAAGACCTTTGTGATGTCCTCAAGGTGACCATCAGTGATGTTATGTCAGCATGCTTCTTTTTCACTTACTACCACAACTCCTGCTGCAGGTCCTCAAAGATGCTACCTTATACTTCTCTCGGTCAGGTATTCCAAGCCTCGCAACTGTAATTCCAGCCATGGACGTCATCGACAAGGTTTTCGCCACTGCAGCAGTCAACGACACCAAGTTCTCTGCGCCTATTCGGGCCAGCCTTCTTGTTGCCAAGCAAACCTTGAATCAGTACTACCACTTGACTGACGATTCTGACCTGTATCGTATTGCGATGAGTTTGTCTTCTAGTACATCATGATTTTCATTAAGCTAATCCTTTCACAGTTCTACATCCTGTTCACAAGCTAGTTTACTTCGAGAAAGCCAACTGGGAACCTATTTGGATTGACGAAGCAAGATCGATTGTACGGCGGGTCTTCGACGAAAAATACAAGGGCCATTATAATGCTGTTGTAGAAGAAGTGGTGGAGGTTATTACAGTGCGTGCTTGCCCCATTTAAATCGTCATATCACTCACGAAACATACAGCCCTCTGCTAATATCTTTGATAACCTCTCCATTGCCCCAACACCTGCGACTGGTGCCCTGGATAAACTAACTCGATACTTAGGAGCTCCTACCAAGGCTACCATGGATGTCATAGCATGGTGGCTCAAGAACCGCCACGTGTACCCGGCTTTGTCTCAGATGGCGCTTGATTACCTGACTATCCCTGGTGAGCATGCGCTTTTCATGATAATTGTGTTGTACTAATAATGTTTACCTTAGCTACTTCTGTCAATGTAGAATGAGTCTTCAGTCATGGACGACGACTCCTGCCTCATGTTCGCAACCGTCTCACTGTGCAAACAATGCATGCACTTATGTGTCTTGGTGATTGGAGCAGGCTTGGGTTTGTTCAAGATGAGGACATACTGGCTGTTGCTTGTCTACCAGAGGTACCAGAGGAGGAGGACGATGGTGATGGTGACGTCCTGATGCCAGATGGCTGGGACGCTATCTCAGTTGAATCAAAATAGGTGCATGATACAATGCTTTTAGGCTACGGAAGATTCATTTAATGTTCTCTGCAGGCTGATAACCTGCACTATGTTTATATACCCTCGAAAAACAAGCCCATCTCATTCTTTTACTATGTGACTCCTTTCAGACCCTTCCCTTTGACGATGACGACGAGTCAATGACCTCTTTGTTTACCTTATGGTTTTACTTTCACTATCTCTCAGACTTATTGATGGTCTATTTTACATTCTTTTAGATATATAATACTCTCATTAACTTGATCTAGCATAGCTTTACTTAGCAATGTTATACTCTTTCGTCATTGAGATATATGGGACGGGTGACCCAGCAACCCGTGCACCTTCGGGTGACCCGTCGCTGACCCATTGCTGACCCGTCATTGACCCATGACCCGTTGTATGGGTGACGGGTTTATTCGGGTTCAGGACGGGTGCAAAAAATGAGACCCGAACCCGACCCGGTGATGAGCCTAAACTTCCGTGGCAACGGCAAAAACCAAAACTCTAGAGGAGTTCACGGCAAATGGTGTGTAGCAGCAATAAAGGCTTTGTTGTTGTGCGAGTGTTTCGGTGCACCTCCGTGCGATGAATTCCTCAAGAACGCAAGTATACACTGCGACTTTTCAGTCAGCGAAGTAGTACCCTTAACGATCGAGTACTAGAAAACGTTGGCTGTAAGCCGGGAAGGGTCTCAATAGACGAGAAGGAACGGAATCCGGTATAACTGGGAATACCGGCAAACTGTGAACGAAGTGACGGCAATTTAACTAGTAAAGCCGTGGGCGAGGTTGACGGAATTAGAGAAAATGCCGTCAAAGAGCAATACCGTTGGCAAGATAACAAATACCGTGACGGCAAGAGACGAAGACTGTAGTCGAGAAACGAGAAACTGGTGGTAAAACGAAGATAAGACAAACTGGCGATGATATGAGGGGGAACTAGTGACGGCAAAACGATGGCTGGGACTGGGCTGGACTGAGACTGAAACTATACTGAGGTTAACGACGGCAAAACGAAACTGATACTAATCCTGAGTCTACACGGAGACTATCCTATACTGAAACTGATGGCAAGATACCAAATACCATGACTGATGATCCTATACTGAAGCTGTTGACCGAAATTCCGTGACAGATGCTGCTGGCGGCAATAACGATCCTAATCTGAGTCCACACGGGGACGTAACGATCCTGAACTGAACTGGGTAAAAACGATGGCAACATAGAAGGTGAAAACTGATGAAAACGATCCTGGCTGGTGAAAGTGAAACGATGCTGGCGGATTTAAAAGATAAAAGCGAGTTGTGGACACCAAATTCTGTGTATTGGCGCAATATGAGCGTACACCAATACCGTTAGAAGAAAAGCCGTGACAGAGAGTATAACTTGGAGTGACTATGTTGTTATTGTCTATCTCCTAGCAAGTACAAGCGATAACGGTGGTCGATAACGTGGATGATGGCTAGTGTCCAGTAACTTTTTTTGGAACTACTACTATACTAGCTTTTATACTACAAGTCTGGAATAAAATTAGAATACTTGAAACGAGTCCTTAGTAAGTCCTTAGTACATCAATTGGTAAGAAATGATACAAAACGCGTGCTCCCAGAGTTCTAAAGTAACAGCACCCACACGGTTTTACCGCGTACAGACTTAATGATCAGAAAGAATTCCCCCGACATACGGACTCTTGGGCTGCTGTGTTGCTGCGGCAAAGTACACTGAAGGTAGTACACTGAAGTAGATGCGTGCGGCATTATCTTGGCAGTTGTAACAGCCTTAGTAAAGTGAGTGGAAAGGTCACGGTATTAGGTCTTTTGCCGTGGAGTTGGTACTTTGACTGTGGCATTCTTCTAAATGACGCTTGATGCTGATGTCATCGATGGCTGTGCTGGGCGATCAATGATGGTCCTAAATCCAGTGAGATCTGCAATCAGGTGCCTGGCGGCATTAATGAAGTGGCGCAGATTGATACAGAATACGAGCTGGGAAGGATAGTTGGCAGGTAAGAGTGGGTATTGCCGTGATTGCAATCGTTGACTTAGTGAAAGTCCGCTAAGTGGACAAGGCATTTATTATAATGCTAAAATCCAGCGAATTCTGAGCGTACAGAGCCTTGAGGCTCATCACTGGGCTGTACACTAACTGATTCGCACCACAATAATGAAATAAGAACACTTTAGAAAGTGGGGGGAGGAGGGTGCAGCATTTTGGTCGATCCTGCATGTCCTTATATAGTGTGATAAGTACTGTACCATTTTGATCAATTTGAAGGTGATCCAAGAATTTTCGTCCAAAAAAAAATTCAAAAGAAATCAGGATTGATCAGAATAATCAGTTAAAGCAGTGCTGGGATTGGCTGACTATGTTACATAAGCAACTCAGCTAGGATTTTTTTGCTGTGACATGTGACATTTGAATTAAACAGTATTTACTTAGTCTGTTTAATTTAGATTTATCAGCATGTCACTCCACTGTCATGCACATTCCGGCACTGATGCTGTGCTCCCTCTGCCTGCACTCCCGCTCACCATACACAATGACAACAGATTGCCAACAAGACCAGAACATATAACACTCCTGTGTAATACCTAGATAAATGAAGACAGATTTGGAAGAACACTGCTGCCACTGTGTCGGTCAATGAGCGGCACAGGCAGGATGGTGCTGGGAGACCTTTCAGTAATGTCGGTGGAAGCATTGATGATCGCTTGACATCTTTCAGACATCATCCTGCATTCATCCGAATTATCCTGAGTTTGTGATGTTTGTGACTGATTATCTTAACCTTACCAGAACCCTCTGGCTCAGTCTAAACGGGTGCACACTGTGGCGAACGAGCCCTAAATGAAGCACAAGCAGTAGACAGGAAGTTTGATGGGTCTTGTTCTTGTCCAATCCCTTTGTAGTCATCGGTTCATTGAGATTCAAGTCTAGGTTCATCGGTTCTTTGATTATCGAGATGGTGTCACATCTATCCACAAGGGTGTAACGGATCTGTGTTTTTTTCCATTTGATGTTGTGCCGCCAAACATGCACAACTTGTGCATGTTTGACGGAGTTGGAATGGGTTAAGTTGAGTGGGTTATAAGAACGAACAAATGTTCAACGAGACCATAGTGCACCAACATGGCTCCTATCCAGCAGAATTCTCACTTCAATATCGCGATACAATGCTGAATGTAACACTACTTGGATCTCTGCTCTATGGTATGTCCTTCCTCACCCAAAGCTTATTATGACCTTACCCCTATTTTCCTTATCTTATCTTATCCCTATCCCTCGGAACCCCGGACCTACTTATCTTATCTCTTGGACCCATGATATTCCTGCCAGCACACTCCTTACCCGTTTACCCAGTTGCCATCACCCCAGTTCACAGCTGCCGCATCCCGGTGATATGCTGTCTACACGTTCACACCTAGATTTTGCGATTTTATAACAATACTGTTGCAGGTCTATCCTATACTAGTCGTATATCAAGGGCTATAGTTGAGACTTCGGACTGATAGTCAAGTTAGCATGCTACTAGTCGAGTCAGGACTTAGGAATGATACCACTAGTGGGTCAGCCCTACCAGCTGACCGGACTAGCACCTCTGAAGCTAGTATGACTTAGTAAATTATGGTCACTAGTAAAGAATACAGCTGCTAGCACCCAAACAAGAAATAAGAACCCACACAGATCTCGACTATTCAGTCGCTAGTGGACCGATCTGGGCATGAACACCTAAGTCAGGATGACTAGTCACACGAGCACTTCTGAAAGGACTTAGAAATGAACCAGTAAAGGCATAACCCTTAGCCCAGATCTGGCTAGTGTGATACAGATCTCATACGATCAGCACCCCGATCACAATCGAGCAGTTGCTACAGGCACGGTTACCCGACTATTCGTATAGCCGTGTCACTAGTGGAGCACCACTGGGCAAAGGGTGCGGAAATGACCCAATAGCAGAGTCCCTCGACCCGCTATCTGACAGAAAGAACAGGCTAGGCCGACTATTGCGTGATTATTCACCATAATTCGTGACTAGCCAAGATATCCTTACCAATATTACCCCTAAAGAATCTATTTATATTTATTCTGTACCTGTCTCTGTAGTATATAAGTAGTAGAAGGGGCAGCCTAGCAGGCGAGGCAAGCCATCCCCATGATTGTGACCTACTAGTCCATATTCTAGTGCCCCAATTAAAGGCTTTTGTGCTTAACCTCGACGAAGTGTCTACTAGTCGCTTAGTCACCTATAGTATTGAACGAATTGAAGTGTCTTAAAGTTACTATTCCGCCTTGGAGTGACTCAGAGCATTTCGAAGTTAGTTAAAGTATTTGTTCTTAGGCCAAGAGTGCCACTAGTCGAGCCTAGGGTGCTGCTAGTCAAGTGTAGACCGCTTGTGAGACCCAGTATTTGGCCCAGAGTGCCACTAGTTTTCGAAGTATCAGAGTTAGACCGAGCGCAGTTGCTCAATCCAAGTCACTATTCATCTAATCGTGTCTTAAAACCCCGCTAGCACAAGTATTACATCTTGTGTAGCTCACTAGTACCAAATATACATCTTTAAACAACCTTTCTCTGATTTGTTGAAGTCTGCAGAGTGCTTCTATCGTACTCAACACCCGAACTCAATAATATTGGTGATTAGTGTAGAGTAGTAGAGGGTTTTGGTGTTGTGGTGTTCATATCCATTCACTAGCCTTTTGTCACTCGCCGTTACCAAGCACATCACCGATTGTAAGTATATATAGAAGCTGAGATGACTTGTCCCTTGCGAATAGGGATCTGCGAACACACTTGGCCATCCAAAGTGGTGATAGGCTCAGAGAGGGGTAGAACATCATCCTGGGACGGTTGACAATACAGGGTATATGTTATGGATCTCGTGTCTTTTCCAGTCTGCACATGAGTCAACACATGCCTACTCTCAGCCTTCTCGGCCTTGACCTCGGCTTACTGGTATTTTCTATCATTTTCTCTTACTTTCTCCTTCCTTCTTACAAATACTAGAATAATAATGACTAGATTCCTTACTAGTGGTATATAAGTATTGTACTTGCCATTGTATTGGAATCTTATGCTATTTTACCCATCTTCATATGTCCACTTAACTGTGTGATTTAAGCAACCCTGATCGGTTATGCCTAGCGCTTTTTGGAAACCCAGTCAGTTATGCCTAGCGCTTGCTGACGCCCCTGTTAATTATGCCTAGCGCTTGTTAACACCCTTACGGATCCATCTTAGTGGTTGAAACTCAGCTTATGGACATCCTCGCTCACAACTTGGGTTTTACTTGAGTACTCATTACCTTGTGTATTAGCTCAAATACCCTGATTCTTAACATTGGTGGACACATTGGGAACACCTTGCAGAGGGAATCGTTTTAATCCATTATCTCCTGCTCACTTCAACACTTCACAGCTACTCACAATGGATTCCAATACTATGCTCGGACCCATTTCAATGGTCCATTTACCTGCTTCACAATATTCTCCCCCAACTCAGCATTTGCCTGGTGACTCGCTCGGCTTTCCTGATCCTCCAGCACCGCTTGTGTTCCCAGTCGACCCAGCTGACATTTCCAACACTGATAGCCATAAGGTTACTCACTTGTGGCCATCCTGTGTTCCCCTCTTTACCTTCACAGAACATTCATGTTTGCAGGAGCATAAGGATCGGATTATACAGGTACTTAAGCTCAGCAAGAACAACAGACTCGGGAATAATCTACGAACCACCAGTGATCGTGTATTGAAGCATAACCAGTACACTGAGACCTTCTTGGAAGAAACACACATGCTAGATTTCGTTCTTACATCCGTTTTTGCCTGCACTACATTCACAAAAGATGTCGTGTACAAATTAGATGAGAAAATCTATCAGGATCTTCACACCATATTAACAACTCACCATGCATTAGCTTCCTCGTCACTCAATAGCTTTGGTTATTCGGATCTCAGACCACCTGCATGGGCCATTGACACTGCAAAAGGTTTGACGGCCAATGATTTTGAGTTGTATGCCTTCCAGTATTGCATTCAGGTTGAGCATTTTCTTCATATGCTTGATTATGTCTATGACTGGAATAAACTTCAGACATGCATATACCTAAACAAAAAACTGCTGGCAACTCAGCACAATGCTGACAGAGCACATCTTGAGAAAAAGAAGTGTTACCTTCCTGCTGTTCCTCCTATATCACATTCTAATCCTTTCAAGTCGAAGACCTCTTTTCAGGCCTCGGCCTCTGACTTGAGTTGGGGGGGAGTACACTATGATGCTTTAAGAGATGAGGAACAGCATCCTAGCAGCTCACAGGTTGCTAAAATATGCAGTCAGTCTCATCTTTGTGTGAATTCCAAAGTCAGTGAACCTCACAATTTCGGTCCATATTGACATGAGAGTTTACCTGCGGCATCCCACCAAGCTCAGATTCCAAAGGACTTGGATTGCAGAAATCCTTTTTCACACAAGGGCATTTACCAAGCATGTTCTCCTAGTGATCCTGACTCGGGTTAAGGTAACAATGATGGAAACCAATGTCCATTTCATCGTGATCCATGCTATTCACAAATTCCCACATGTTCCGCCTACTCAGAGCATACCAGCATCGGTTCTGTCACTGCGACTGACATACCTACTTGCAACAATAATCCAAACCCGAGGGATAGTTGCGAGAACAAAGTCATTGATATTCCAGCCTGGAATAATAGCATCAGTAACCCAATCCTTCCTTATTCAACCAATAATGGGATTAGTACCTTTCGAATCGCTTCAAATACGCCTTGCACACCCTTTTCAGAAAAGAACAAGAATTCCCAATTACCACGTAAAGTCAGACGTCGCATCGACTGACTGCTGAGATGACCACCGTGAATATTCCATGCTACCAGCCAGGTCACGTCCACTAATAGTGATTGTCAGTGTACACTGATGGGAATTGAAAGGTACTAACTATGCTAAGGAAGGCAAAGTGCTACACACACACACACCCTAACACACTCAATAATTGCGGTTCGAAGGGGTAAGTTACACCGGGTCGATACTTGTACTGTGGATACTAGTTCCGGGTTGACAATGAATATAATTTGTTTGATTGCAATATTCTGAAACGACACAAATCTGAACTTTCTGTGTTACCAAACACAATCTGATACCAACAGGCTGCCTGGTGCAGTTTCCTGAATGCGTACTAACTGCCTGGTGCAGTGTCTGAACTGATACTGTCTGCCTGGTTGCAGTTTTACTGGTACTAACACGGATTCTGGACTGTACTTCTGATGGTCTGTCTGTATCTTTCTGAACTGACTGCTTTCTGAACGGTTCTTGCACACAAAACGTGACCAGGTCACTAAATACTATTCCAGGTGAGTCTAGGACTCGAAGCTCTTAACCAAAACCCATACTAATTTGCTTGGTAGCGTTCTGGGGGCCAGAAACCTGACCTCCTGCTAGTTACATGGACAGTATTTATACTATTCTACCCTATCTATATTTCCAATCTTTCCAGGTACTATTACTGCGCTCGCTGACTGAGCTGGGTGGATATGAGCTCATATCCCAGCTCCCAGGTGAACCCGATCATGATCTTGTGCTGCAACCTGGTGTCCTGGCTCATGATACTAAGTTTTACCTGTACCAGGGCAGAGCCCCTGGTGTTACGGTTCTTGTTTCTCATCTACCCGGCGAGCCAACCATCCACCTGAGAGACTAGAAAAGCTGCCAGGTAAGTAAAGCCGTATGCGATCGTTCTTTGTTTTGTTATTCTTACTTTTGGACCGATGCCATCAGGCGGCCAGCAGTGCCGGGATGCCAGTTCAGCTGGAGCCATGTGCTTTTTGACCTGCCTGGACCTTCGGTCACTCGGGCTGAGTCACCGGATCACCGGTCTGTTGCCCGAGCCCTTAGGCTTGTCACGGCTAAGTCCTTACTGACACAGTGGGGTTTAACACTTCTTGCTGTGTACCTTGCAGGTTCTTCCTTACTCGCACAGCTACAAACGTAGTTTGTAGGATAATAAAATTAGATTTATACGCATTTTCCAAGGGTAGACGCCAGGCAGGCATATCAGAATGAGAGAATGTGTACTGTGGCTGTTGGGATTGATAATCATGAGAAGCAAAGCAACACGGGTCCCGGTAGGAGTGAATACCCTTGATCACAATGTCTTGCAGATGGTCCTTGACTCGAGCTCGTATATCATGTGTAACTCCCAAAAGGCACCTCGGAAGCTCTCTGCATGGTCTAAGGTTCACATCAAGCAGAAGACGAGCTTTATGGAGCAGACAAGAAGCACCAAACGTTGGCTATACAGTCTGCATCTAATCAGACACCGAGGGGAAGTTAAAACAGCTGTCGCGTTGGTTACCAATGGGGAGCATCATAGTGAAGTTCATGTCTTATTTGACACAAGTCGGTTCACCAAGCTCCAGTTACACTACCAGACCCGGAAATTTTGTCGCCATTCGAAGTATCGAAGAGTACTGGGAGCTGTCCGAGACAAAATATGCATTGCGATACCTGCAAAACCAAAGCCAATTACCAGCCGTGATAATCAATTTCTTGATGTATCCCTTACATCCTTGACAAATGCTCCCATGATTCCTATTGCATGGGAAACCATGCCGACTGAATGAGATTTACAGCGACTACTCACAAAATATCTACGGAGTTCCAAGTTCAATATGGCATCTTTGAAGTGCATGCCAGAGAAGACTGGGCGCAATCGATTACATCGGAGTGTTCAGCTCAGTGCTAGTTCAAACAGCGTACCCTGCGACATTTCTATCATGCATATTGCAGTGTCCCACAGCCTCCTGTTCAGAAACACACAAACCAACCTTCTAGCACATTCGACGGATCTAGCACTGACTGTAGCACAAAAAGAAGTTCAGATGAGTGTTGCTTGATATAAACGATGCATCATTTGTACATCAGGAAGCAATCGCGAGGCTATAAGCATAGCTATAGATGTCCTGACTGATAGTGAGCGATGCCATCAGAAAAGAAGTCAGCGCACCGGAGCCATGAGGGAACTTAATGATCAGATTTGGGATCCGGGTACAACCGTGAGAGGTGCAGTCGAAATGGGGATTACCCTGGACATCAAGGCAGATAAATATCCTGGTTCATTGAAGCAAGACCCACGGGTGAACACAATCCTGAGGGCGGGTGGACTAATGGAGGTATCGATGACACAGCAAAAGGAAGGCTGCAGTGATCAACATCATCAATATCATTCCCATTTTGGAAACAACTCACCGGCAACTACGAAAGCCGATACACTTTGCTATCGTCGCACAATGGAGCTATCCTCCATCCATGGGTCTCCTAAATGATATTTTGGCACATCCTGCATTTATATTATACTATTTCTCAAACAACCTGTCAGCCAAGAAACTCGTGGACAACAAGGAGAGCACTTACCCTATCACCTCATCTCCCGACTCTTCGTCCTTCGTATTACAAACATCTACAGTTCTCTAACATCTGTAGGAAACTGGGATGCAACCCGTCTTGTTTGTATTCCTAGAAAAAGATTTTACGATGTTCATAGGGGAATTCAGAGGATGAAACGATGATGACGCTGATGACGCTGGCTGTGGGCACCTGTGGAATAGTGAGTGGGCTGAAAGGCGAACCTCAAAAACCCACACACACACTCACACAACTACACAAACTACAATCACCCTCGTAAGTTCTAGGGAGAGCGATTATTTCTAATGTGATCCAACTATACTTCAATATCTCGAAGAGTTTCTCTTATTCTCAGCGCTCTTAGCGAAGCTAAGCTTTCTCTAATGAATTCCTAAGTCTAGGAACTTTTTACAGGAAGGTTGTTCACTGGCGCGATGCAACCTTCAAGGCAGATTTGAGTTATAATACACAAGGGACACTGATCCCAACAGAAACAGAGGCAATACATGCCGAAACTTTAGTGAGCTCGCTAAAAGAACACCACAGGCAAGCACTGACTTAGCCCGCTCACTACACAACTGTATGTAGGGGTTCTCCAACTAACTCCAGCAGGTTATCTCGACTCAAGAACACTTCAGAAGCGCTCAGAAACAGATTCAGAAACGGAACTTCGAACAGAACTGACACAGAACAGACTGAAACAGAACAGAACAGAACAGAACAGAACAGATCTCAGATTTCCACTTCAACACATTCTCCGAACAGACTTATCACACTTAACAGAACAGAAACAGCATCACTGATTCGTATTCACTCTGACTAAGTTCTCAAAAGTCTTATCAAAAGGGTATCTCCTATTTCTCTGAGTGAGCTCGCTAATTCTATGCACAGCTCGAAGTCACAAACTGGTCCTTTGTTACGGTACCACCTTCAACGTGTGCACGGGAACTCGGGGGCTCGAAACTTTTTTCTACCTACTGTAACCAGCCTACTTATACTACAGGGGAATTAGAATTACAAACGTCGCACAGTACCCAGACTCCTACATGCGTAGCACGTTGCCACCGCTGCCTTACTGAGCATCCGAGTCAGACTTCCCAGTTTTAGTTGCATTTCTATAGCGAGCTCGCTAAATGCGTGCCAAGAGGTGCTCTCCCGACACCCGCAGGCTTGTTCTCTAGTGACCGACAGGTGTAGGCGCACGGAACTATCAGTTCTGGCGTATGTCGTTCAGGACTTCTTTCTTGGATTCACAGAGGCTTCTTGTAGACACGGCAACAAGTGAGTCTTCGAACAATGGGACTCAGAACAATGGAACGCAGGCTCGCGGACTTCGGCCGAAGCCCATTGCCCAAGCTCGTGCCGGTGATATCTGTCATCTCATGTAAGGATTTCCCCGGATTTTCAGGTACGACACGTCACAGTTAGCGAGCGCGCTAAGTGTTCTCAGTGTCAGTGCAATCTTCAAGGTTCTATCTAGCTCCCACGAGTGTGCTTGTAAGTTAGAGCCTAAAGCATTGGGTATAGGGTTTGGCCTTCTCATCATGCATGCCCGTCAGGTACAGTGCTGTGACTAAGTCCTGTTTAGAATCCCATTGCTTCTTATGCCATAAGTTATATTCCACATCATTGCACCGTGTAGCATTAGTGTCGATGCGTTGTTTTAGTCCGCTCGCTCACTATATCTCAGTATGCATGTAAAACACTCTAGATTGCAAAATTACACATGTAAATAGGCTGCAGTCGCAACAATGCACTACTCGAAAGAGTCAGTGTATTAGGATGGTGCCTAATCGGCATCAACTCGCTATCAAAATCATCATACAGATGATTCCAGATGCCTCCTTCGAAGGGTTCAGCATCACTTCTGGGCGTGAGGACATCACAACTTTCTCTCATCATATTCTCGGCTTCACTTTCAATCTTGCAGATAAGGGTCTTCGAGAAATTGCAGGCCCATCGAGTTTTGCAGGAAGTCCATAATTCCTGTTTTCCATCAATTCTTACTGTGCTACGGGATCTTATAACTGGGTTTAGGGATCGACAGCAGCATCGCCAAAGGATTCTGCGCTCACTTCGATTGGAATTCCTTTGTCCGCTTATTCTGGAATCGATCGGTTTCTCTAGGTTTTCAGTTTACCTCAACTTGTCAATGATAGCAGAAGTCGCAGCAATTAAACAAGAGTTAAAGCGACTACTCACTGAACATCCACAGAGTGTCACATTCAATACAGTATCATGGAAACCCAATTTGACAGAGAAAACTGAAAACAATCAATTAAATCAGGCATGTTCAGTGCATCTTTAGTTCAAATGACATACCCGGTGATACTTTTATCATGTATATCGCATTCTCTCCCATCATCCCTTCTGGACATACAGAAGCCAGTCTTCTAGGGCATTCAAAAGGCCTAGCGTCGACTGCGCAACTACCAGAGGTTGATACAGAAATCATTGGGCATAGACGATGCCTGCATACATCAGGAAATGAAGTGAATGATGCTGAGACCTCAAGGCAATGTACAAATGTGGACATAATCTCGAGTGTGAATGGAACGATGGTGGAATCGATGAGACGGCGAAATGATGGGGCCCATCATCAATATCATTCCCGTTTTAGAAACTACTCTGAAGAACCGGCTCTTGCCAATTCCCCGCTTCATCGCACGAAGCCTTCCTCTATTTGGGTATTGTCTGAGCTTCGTTTGTACCCATCCAGGCATAAAAGAACATCTAATCCACTGCAAATGTTGTCCTTAGGTATTTACCCATATACATGCTTGTTATTGTGGAACAAGTCTGACATTTACCCAATCTTCGACTCATGTAACAGCAAAGGCCCTGGCGGTAATGACATTTCCAAAGGCAATGAACATTGTGCTCCATATGTGAAGGGTATAGAATCGCTTTGATTCCAGGATTCGTGAAGTTACGGCCACAATCAGCAGAACAATTCAAATCTACAATACTTACCTGGTCTAATTCTTTTCATTCACTTGGTGTGTGCCTCGTTCCAGCATATGTAGACTGGGGGGGCCATGTTATGGATCTCGTGTCTTTTCCGGTCTGCACATGAGTCAACACATGCCTACTCTTGGCCTTCTCAGCCTTGACCTCGGCTTACTGGTATTTTCTATCATTTTCTCTTACTTTCTCCTTCCTTCTTACAAATACTATAATAATAATGACTCGATTCCTTACTAGTGGTATATAAGTATTGTACTTGCCATTGTATTGGAATCTTATGCTATTTTACCCATCTTCATATGTCCACTTAACTGTGTGATTTAAGCAACCCTGATCGGTTATGCCTAGCGCTTGCCAATCAACTGCTTCCCAACTATGCCTAGCGCTTTTTGGAAACCCAGTCAGTTATGCCTAGCGCTTGCTGACGCCCCTGTTAATTATGCCTAGCGCTTGTTAACACCCTTATGGATCCATCTTAGTGGTTGGAACTCGGCTTACGGACATCCTCGCTCACAACTTGGGTTTTACTTGAGTACTCATTACCTTGTGTATTAGCTCAAATACCCTGATTCTTAACAGTATGCCCCAGAGGATGAAGATGGAGGGATTCCTAAAAGTCGAAAGTCCATACATCATCACTTAAGAGCTCTCATGATATCAAACCCACTTTAATACAAGCATTCAGCCAGATCATCGAATCATAATCGTTCGAGGTGAGCGCTCCCGAGGCTTTGGTTTTGGTTTGGGTAATCTCTTCACGTATCCTGGTTTGATCCTTGGGATGAAGACTTAGCTCGTAGAGAAGCCAGGCCATGCTGCCTGCGGTTGTGTCATGGCCCGTGAACATGAAAGTCCTGATGATTTCAGTCAGCAGATGGAAGTAGACATGGAGTTCAAAGCAGCTTATGCCAGCTGAGAATCAATTTCTATGTTGGTCATCTTCTTCTTTACATCGTTGTTTAGTTGAGATATGAGAGATACGTCTGGTATACAATGCATCTTATGTACCGAGAACATTAACGACATCCTTCTCAGCCGGACGGACATCGTTCGCTACCTCTTTCAGTTGCTTCTCATAGATGGGCCTTGATACCTTCATCGCAGTGTGTCTAAAGCGATTCAGCCGATGTGGTAACTCTATTGGGTAGCCACTCGAGCGGAACAACCAACCACTCAGGAAGTAAGCACCAGAGCAAAGAATACAGAAGCTCCAGTGATGTTGGCGACATCAAGGAGTCACCACTGTTCAAAGATAAGTACGCAATATACTGTACAAGAAATGAATGATCCATACAAAATATTAGTAGTCGCTGCCATGAGCCCGCTTTGTCCGCCGCCAAGTGAGTTGAACTCATATCGGAAGGATGCTGGTGAGTTGACTGTGAACCCGCTTTGACAGTCGTGAATGGAAGATTAAACGTACTAATGCCTATGATATCCAGTGAAGCCTTGCTTGTCCATTCAAGTACATTGATTACTCTGGCATGTTTGACTCGCTGGTTGATCTGCTCTGTAAGCTAAGGTAACAGAATGAGCCCACTGTCATGGAAGCCTATGTCCCTCTGGCACCTTCGTAGCAGACGCCTGGAAAACAGTCAGGAAGAGTCGGAGCTGCTGGGTTGCAAAGGCAGGATTGAGGATTTTCCGCTGGCATTGGTGTATTTCACCTACAACTCCAATTAAAACAATGAATTTTGGAGACATGGGACACAGTGGCTTACCTTCCATAACAACTAATCCTGGTCCTGTGATGGCTGCACTAATAAGATACGTATCTCTCGTTTTTGGGAATCAGGTATCCAGACGAATGAAATATGTATTGCAACGCTTTGGGGTCAGCAATGGACAAAATGTCATGCTGTGTTGGATGTCAGAGCTATTAATTGAGAGATGGACAAATGGTACTGACCCCGAAACATCCCTTTGTGTGGTATACGGCACCGTATTGCTGATACCATTTCATCTCTAGGTCTCCCAAGTGCTGACGGTTACTGAGGAGGTATTCATGGCCTGATAAATTCAGAATACAGACTAGATGATGGGGTGAGGGCCACAAACCTAAAAGAGCTGAAGGGCTCGGCAGTCCACAGATCCTTTGGACCATAGATTTACGGCCTTTGAGATGCAAAATCACAAAGGCAAGAAGAAATGCAGCGGTAGGGAAGACGAAGTAATAGGTGATGGATTGCATGTCGTGCAGCTCGAAGAAAATGCTCTGAAGAGGATGCCAATAAGGACGGGCTTTTATCAGTGAACCCAACTGAGCATGTCATAAGGTAGTTCTCGAATTTGGTAGAGAGTGTCAGTGCATGTGCCAAGGACTTCAGCAAACGGCCCCGCAGAGTCAGAGCAGCTGTGTCAATGGAACCCGAATAAGCTGACTAAGTCAAGGCATTTGACTGAGGTGCAGTTTCACACCGACCTACAACAGAGGCCTGTGTAAGAAGACGTACTGCGAAGGCAAGCATCGCGTAAGGACAGCTTGGATTGGAAGCATGCAAAAATTCTGGTCAGCCAACCTATGATAATGATCAGCATAATACCACGGAGCCCGCAGACAAAACCTGCTGATTAAGAACATGGCAAGTATGAAGTACAACGTTTTCGCATTTGCATTTGCACTCGCACTTGCTTCTATCGAGGTCTTCGATATTGACCGGCCATCATCTTGCATAAGTACGGGTGACAACTGATAATGCCATGGGTTATACTTAGGGCTTCGCACCTGTACCGTATACGGTATACGGCCGTATAGCCACGGTACAGTGACGGGCGACAGCTGATCCATAACTGTACCGTCAATGCTCTTAGAACTAGGTTGACGGTATGGTACGGGTATATAGATGGCCGTGCCAGTCGTCAATATGGCCGTTGAATAACTCCTGTAAGGCCCGCTCTGGGGCAAAGCCTGCTACGTTCGCTCCTCATGAAAGTATCCATTGTCCAAAAACTACCTCACTTATACACGATTGAACCTAAGAGTTGGAATCAGAGCCGATGCCATTGGTGATTGTGGGTGAATTGAATCAGTTAGTAAATAGTTATGATCAGGACTTCAAAAACTAACAGTAATAAGGGTGCTGCTCGAAAAAGCCTCGCTCGGTGGCGGCAGATGCCACCACCAGCTCGCATTTTCTCTCAGAATCACTGTTTGGAGAGCTGAATGGAAGTTCAGCCGAGCAACTCCGTGGAGAGCGTGATAGTAACATGAGTCACAGTAAACAAAGTGACAAACAAAGAAACTGCCACACCGAGAATCTGACTTTAACAGAAATTTATGTGTGGCACGCCGTTCAAATTTACCACACATAGAAAGTCCGATGACATTCGGCTCGGGGAGCTGTCAAAAACTCGGCTACCATCCATCCCCTATAAGACCTTCTACTAACGTAGCAGGAATAATACATACCTGATATTTGGGGCTTTGGAGCAGCTCCAGGTCCTGCCATGGGCACGTCGTCATCTGCATCGTGATAAAAATTGAATTTCGAGGGGGATTTCAAGTTTCCATTGGCATCGAGGGCACACTGATCTGTCATGATGCTCAGAATGTGGTTGTAAGTCTGCGAAAAAAGGACCATTATATACTCTTTCATGAACTCCTCTGGCTTAAAATTCAGCAGTATTTGACAGGTGCACAGGCCAGTGGGGGGCAAATTATTCCGCAATATGTGTGGGTAGTCAAACTCAAAGGATGAAACAGTAGTAGAATAGAGGCAGCAGAAGCAGGAAATAGAAAGTATTCTATGCTGGTAAGGGTTAGAGCTTGAGTAGAGCGAGTGAAAGAAGATCGGGTGGTAGCGCTGAAGAGCTTGCGGTGCCAGCACATCATGGTACGATGTTAAGTGTATGGCAAACACGCGTACAGTGTGATCTGATGATGGTTATTTTTAGATACATACACGGCCATGTTTATACAGTTGCTAACAGTATACGGGATGTCCGTATACCGTCCGTCTCTGGGCGAGTTATTTCGCCAGACGGAACGGGCACGGTACCCGTATGACGGCACCCGTATAACCGTACTATACGGTGACGGTGCGAAGCCCTAGTTATACTTGAGCAGCTGGCCATGACTAAATACAATGGATTGACCACGAGTATGTCTGAATAATTGCTGTATTATTAAGATGAGATGAAAAATGAACGAGGACGTGCTTTTCCGTAGAATGTTACTACTGTCAATCCATTATAAATTGCCATGGTAGATACTTGCATTAGTAAGAAGCTATGAAGTATACGCTGAGTGCCAGCAGTCACATGAACCCCGAAGAAACGAGGAAACTTTATCAACGACGAAGAATTTGTGAACTTCGAGTAATCCACCCAAATCTGACTGTCCAGACTGAGAAATTTGCTCCTTCGACGTACTTAGTTAGTGGCTCGGCGTGACCCAGATCAACATACTTAGTAAACCTGTCTTCAATCGGGCTCAGCTGGTCGAAAAACGGTCCGACGCGAATCTGAGAATTCTGGAGGAAATTCGTTGGATTTGTCACCAATATTTCAGAAGCGTTGTTCCGGGAAATCGAGAAAAAAATCGAGACTGCGAGGTTCCAACTAACCTTGAAGGCTGCGAGCAACTGCCGGCGCGAGGCAGGATTGCATTTTTGGTGATGTTTGGTGGCGCTTGGCAGCGTCGTGTCTATCAGCCGACGCAAGCCGACCCCGAGTCTTCGCTTCCACCACCATCACTGCACGTCGAATACATGATTTCTTTCCTCGCTGATTATTCACTCATTCTCATTCTGTGAGACAATCCTTACGCGACCGGATTACTCAGGATTAGTCTTTTTCCTTGACTCAGCCATTGTCGCCAATGGCTTGGACAGAACTCTGGGCAAGCCTGTGAGATTTTTCTGGTTATCTATAAAGCAGCGGACTAATAATCTGTCAGGTCAGTATTCGGTGACCATGGTGCCCAACCTTTACAGTCAAAGAAAGTTGGCGCAATATCACTCAAGCATCGTGTCGTCTTGGTTTCTCTGACGCGTTTCCATGCATCGAATACGCCGTCCTGCTTTTCTGGGATGGGCCAATTAGCGGGATGACTCTGACGCAAAGGAGAGTTCACGCTACAGGACCCTGGAGAACATTTCCCGGGTGCGCCAGCTGGGAGACGGTCTTGCCTGGACCCCCGGTGTAGGTGTGTTTTGTTTCTTTGTCAGCGTCGAATTGATCCTGTCAAACAACGGGTTTTACGCATTTCCTGATCCAGGGAGAGAGGCAACAATCAATGAATTGACGACCTAACTAGGGGAGAGAGATGTCGACCTCTTTCTTTGGTTTGAGCTCGCTCAAATCTTCTCAGTTCCATTCGTCCCTGCCCCCAGCGTTTCCTCACCGTTGGATTCTGGTATCAAACAATTGGCTCTGTTGTTCCATCCTCGTTCTCAAGTTAGCTCCTTCCTCTTCTGTCCGAGTACTTAATGCGAAGACTCGTTATGCGTCTCGCTAAGTCTCTCTCTTGGCTTGTGAGCGTCTTTCCGGCTGATGTTAATTCCAGACTACTCCTGTTTTCTTAGTGGTCAGCCTTGTGTATGCCGCACCTGACCTGACCTCACGACACCGTTATTGAGGTGCCTTTTCTTTTGGAAAATTTGTAGCGATTCTCTAATTCACGAATCACGATGTCTGCTAGGGCGTTAGTCTTCTCCTTGTCTTTTGACATGCGGCAGTGGACTCAGGTACAGATGTGATTCTGCTCGTGCTTCAGGATACTGTGCTTTTATCGCTGAATTGGAATCTCGCCCAAGCGGTTTCCTCGTTCGATCCCAGGGTCTGCGGTGTCTCCTCCATGCAGTCAAATTTTGCCCCGTACTATGTCTGAAATTCTTATTTGTAGGAAAGTATAAATCTCCACGACCTGTCTTTCTTCGCCAATGAACCATATTTTGCTCCAGCATCCTTCAACTAAGTTCAAATAACACTGTCGTTTACCAGCACTCCTAGTGCAGTCCGTGTGGCGTGCCAGTCAATTGTTCAATCCACCATCCAAGCATGTCGGGGCTTCACTGACCCGCCCACACTTTCGTAAAAGCGTCCGTAGTTTTCGCTCTTTTTTCAGTCCAAACGTTCCTATTCAGGAGCTAAATTCACGATAGAAAAATTCTTAGTAGCCGGGAGTACTTTGCACGTATTTCAAGGATGGCGTTTGCCCCTGCTGTTTGGACCGATCACTGGCATGGATCCGCATCACGTCAGGAAAGGAGCCGCAGGTGAACAGGATGAGCGGTTGTTCAGTCACCTCGTTCGAGTCGAGGTCCTCCGCTGGTGTGTTGCAGACATTTTATTCTATTCTTCTTGGACAGATGTTGATATGGACGGCAACGCAAATGGAAGAGGCCTGGGCTAAGTTAAGAATAGGAGAGCATTTCGAACGCGCGTCGCGACCGTGTTTAGATCACATGGTCATTGGTCGCTCCAACAACTGTGGCCGTGGGAAAAGACTTGAAACTTTTAGGACGTCCTCATTACAATGACCAACCCCCGCGGCTCATCCCATCTCTTCGAACAAGGCGACATTCTCATCCTCTACTCCACACTCACTCGGGTTCGAGGCCGCTTTGAAACTCGTATCGACCTTGCGAAGGGACCATTGATTAGACGACCAACGCTGCCAGAATTATTGGGAAGGGACGCCCGGTCAGCTTAAACGACAAAGGTGCGTTTGTCGTTCTTTCGATGATGCGGTATCACTAACACCAGTTCTCCAGGTCGAACCTCTACACCTCGCCCATATGCCCCACACATGGATTATAACCGCCAAGAGAATTGAACATGGAAGATCTTCTCAAGAGACACGCGCTGATTGGTAGTACCATATTAAAACTATGGCTGCCGATGGAGGGTTGGTAGATGGTAGTGGAGGTACGTACATCATTTCTTTCGCGTTGACGTTACGCCGATTTCTGTCTGCAGCTCTCTAGTGACTAGTGACTTCGCGTCTAATATTGCGCCGAACGACTTGTGTTTTTAAAGATCGCCAGTGGTCCTGTAATGCATATTGCAGACCAATGCAATGAGGGCCTGGCCCAGTTCTTCTCTTTCTGATTGATCCCAGCTACGTCATGGGAGACTGTTCACCTGCCGATTATTCTTCCCTCACTTTTCGGCAAACTTTTCAACTGCTGATCGAAGCCTCGATGAATCGTAATGGCCAACGTGAGGATCCTCTCAAGAGATTCACACTGATTCGAGGTGCCGACAGAATCGTGCCTATCAATGAAGGGTTGCAGTGCTAGTGGAGGTATGAGTATCGCTCCGTCTGCCTTGCCATCTTCCCTATCTCGCGGTTGCAGGTCGACTGGTGCCATTTGCGTTATTGATGACCATGCGCACCTCTAAGCGTTTAAAATTTATTGGTTCCATAGACTCGGTCGACTCCGCGGTGATGAGATAAAAGAAGCATTGAGGTGAGAAGGGTCGCATTCTTGCTCCGCCGGACCAACGTGTTAACTCGATACATGCTAGGACGAACCTAGACATCGTCATACACTGAGCTACGATATACAGCTTTGTCATTCCTTGGTAGGCTAAATGTGAATTCATTCCAGGGTGACAAGTGAAGACATTCACGCCTGAAAATTAAGATACAAAGTAAGACGCCTTATTATCTTCTTGTGTTACGGTACCAACATTTGTCCAGCCCTATGGCTTGAGATAAAGATATCGCTTTTTCGCAGTGAGTTATCAGCGTCGGCAATATCCTTACCCGGAGATGACAATACCATCAACAGCTTGTGAGCGCTCAAAAATATTTAAATACCTTTCAATGAGCCCTGCCTGCTTCCTGGCAAGTAATTTTCAAGTATCTGAGCTTTGCTTCACCGTCCATACTGACTTGTAAGTCTAGTGCAATGATGTGAAGGATAGCCGTGCTTCGGCAGTCAACTCCACATTTGCAAAAACGAAGACGACCGTTCACCGCCCGATGACCCTAGTTCAGGGATTTTCTGGCCCAGGCCCTGATTCGCGAAATTGATGACAGGGTTTATCTGACCAAGCGCTGCCGTAGGACCCTTACGCTTTTGGTAAACTAAGAATTTGACGGGCCCGTTTCGCAGAAGTTCCCACGTTTAATCGATAAACCGACTGATTGTGCTCCTGCGTTCGTTTGATACAATGTGCTGGGTTACAGCTTATCCGAATGTCTTGACAAAGAACTTTGAATCTACGGGGCCGTTTTGTTGAAGTTCCTGGCACATGTAGTCACCCTCTCCACGAAGATCGGAGACTTCTTTATGACGGGCTCAGTTGGATTCACTGATAAAAGCCCGTCCGTGTTGGCTTCCTCTTCAGAACATTTCCTTCGATCCATACAACATGCAGTCCATCATACATTACCTCGTCTTCCCTACAGTCGCACTGTTTCTTACCTTCGCGTTTCTGCGCTTCAAGGGTCGCAGATCTATAGTCTGGAAGATTCGTGGACCTCCGAGTCCTTCGGCCCTCTTAGGTTTGTTGTCTCGGCCTCATCGCCTGGTCTGTATTCTAAATATAACAGGCCATGAACACCTCCTTCGTTCTCGTCAGCACGTCGGAGATTTGGAGACGGAATGGTATCAGCAATACGGTGCCGTATACCGCACAAAGGGGTGCTTCGGAGTTAGCAGCTTTTGTTTATCTCTCAATTATCGACTCTGACGTCCAGGGTAGCATGATGTTTTGTCCGTTGCTGACCCCAAGGCGTTACAATACATATTTCATTCGTCTGGATACCGATTCCCAAAAACGGGAGATACGGATCGCATTAACGGGGCTGCCATGGGACGAGGACTAGCCACAGTGAAAGGTATGTTAGCGGAACTTGTGATCACCAAGCTTCTCTTTCTGATGGGAAACCTAGGTGAAATCCACCAACGACAACGGAAAATCCTGGGTCCCGCCTTTACGGCATCTCAACTACGACTCTTTTTGACCGTCTTTCAGGCGTCAGCTATGAAGGTGCGAGAGAGACATGGGATTTGATGACAGTATCTTATTCTGTTGCATTAGCTTACAGAGCAGATCAACCAGCGCGTCGAGGACGGCAGAGTGCTCAATATGCTCGAATGGACAAGCAAGGCTGCGCTGGATATCCTAGGCATCAGTGCGTCTTCATTTTCCATTCATGATCGTCGAAGTAGATTCACAGTCGGCTTGTCAGCCTCCTTCCGATATGAGTTCAACTCGCTCACTGGCGGACAGACTGAGCTGATGGCAGCGGTTAATAATCTTTTGTATGCAAATATGATTCACTTTGTGTAGTATCTTGCGTACTCATCATTTTGAATAGCGGCGAGTCTATGATGTGGCCAACGACAGTGGAACTCCTGTATACCGCGCTCTGGCGGATACTTCCTGGATGGTTGCTAGTGCCTCTCGAGTGGATACCGAGTAGAGCAACTATGCGGCTAAGTCACTTTAGAAACGTTGCAACGAAAGTATCGCGGCCGGTCTTCGAGAAGCAACTTAGGGAAGTGGAAAACGATATACATCCGGCTGAGAAGGATATCGTTAATGTTCTCGGTATGTACGATACATTTTACACCACTCGTATCTCTTATCTCGACTCAGCAATGTCTCATCTTAATGATGATGCGAGGAAGAAGATGGACGATGCAGAAATTGATTCTCAGCTGGCGTAAGCTGCTTCGAACTCCGTGTCGACTTCCATTTGCTGACTGGAATTCTCAGGACGTTCGTGTTGGCTGGCCATGACACGACTGCGAACACTATGGCCTGGCTTCTGTATGAGCTGAGTCTTCATCCTGAGGATCAGGCCAGAATACGTGAAGAGATTTCCCAAACGAAATCGAAGACCTCGGGAGCGCTCACCTCGAGCGACTACGATTCAATGGTCTGGCTGAATGCTTGCATCAAAGTGAGTCTGATATAACGGGAGTTTCTGGCAAGTGTTAATACATGGACTGCAATAGGAAGCCCTCCGTTTCCATCCCCTCGGGCATACTCTGTACCGTCAACCCGCCCAGGATGACGTCCTGCCTCTCTCCGAGCCTATCACCACTTCAGATGGCCAAGTGTATTCGCATATCCCCATTCGCAAAGGACAAGCCATCTTGGCTTCGATATATACGTACAATCGGTATATAACTCACTCTTTCAATCACTCTGAGGGCCAATTCGTTGACTAGAGTCTAGACTTCCTTCAGTATGGGGAGAAGATGCCGACGAGTGGAATCCCCGTCGATTTCTTGACGGCCGGGATGTTAAGCAAACCTCTCTTGGGGTTTATGCGAATCTGTATGGTTTTATTTCCTCCGTGCATTTCGCTCGCTGATGGTACGGCAATCGCTTCACAGGCTGACCTTCAGTAAGCGTTAAGATCTCCTTAACGATAGACTTTGCTGATGATTCCGAGTCCTATGTATATAGGATACTCGGTTATTATGCTGTTCTGAACTGATCGTGGGAATAAATCTATTTGGGGTATCAATCCATCACGGCATTTGCCGACTTGGCTACCTGAGCAAACCGTGGGAATATTTCTATTCGTTCACGGCAATTGCCGTCCTGGCTGCCTGAGCTCATCGTGGGAACCTTTTCTATTCGTTTGCCTCTACTCTCATGATTCCCATTTTTTCCTGTCCATCCATCCGTTCTTTCCTAATTGGCACTCAATAGTTTTCTCTCTTCTTGTTCTTTGGCTGATCTTCATCTCCAGTATTCAAGGTCTCTTTCTGCTTCCAAGATCGAGACTCTTCACGACGATGTGTTATTCAAGAAAAAAAAGATCACCATTGAGCGAGATGCATTCTTGTCCTTCCAACAGTGGTACCGCTAGATTGCGAGCGTGAAGAACCGCCAGAAGACCATTGTGTGGAAGACTGACAAACCCTTCATGTCATAGAACCTCTTTTTCTGGATCATCGATATGGGTCGTCTCTTGCCTACAAACCTCGTGGATTTTAGGGTCCAGATATACGTGATGAAGGGGATATGGGCTTATATGGAGCAGTACAGGAATATGGAGAGTTGGACTGATATTATGATCCTTGGGCTGGTGCGTCGTTTCCATGTTTTCTTGTCATCGTTGACTGAACCCCTGTAGGTGCACCATATGTTGGTTTTCCGGAATATGCACGATTTTGCGGGTGGCGACGTTCTGATTATATGCATCAATTGGGACAAGGAACTCGTGGATGCGGCGGTGGATTACTGGGTCAAGCTGAGCGCTGATAACTGGATGAAGGAAGAACGCGACACAAAACGTGTGTAATCCCTTCTCTAAAAATTCTCTAGCTAATATTAGACTTTGTATAGTCTGTCAAGTCTATGCGAAGGCGCATGGTCACAACCCCTGCTTCTACCAAGTCGATCCATATGTTTGTGCCCTGCTGCTTGACGAGGAGGTCAGCTACGTCCTGTCATTCATCGTTATTTTAGAAACTAGGAAGGATGGTGAGCACTGCCCCCAGTTTACTCCTTTCTGTCATAGCTTATCACATTACAGGCAAGGATCGTGCGTTCTTCACTCATCCATCCCACTGCCCACCACCCTCCATCCTCAACACCCTCCCAAAGACATGCAGAAGTGCCTCCTGCACCAACTCAAAGTGCATCGGAGTATGGCGCGTTGAGGATTGCTGCAGCCTGCACTGTACAGGCCCGATGGTCCGAGAGCTCCAACGCTACGAAGATTGTGTGGTGTGTAACCTTTGGGGATGCGAAACAGAACCAGTTTGACGCGGACGGGAAGGTGGTTGGACTCCAGAGGTGTCAGAAGTGTAAGGAGACCTTGTATTGTTGTCAGAAAAGCCGCCTTGTTTTCTTCACACGTTTTTGTATTGCCATTTCCCACTTATTTTATCGATGATGGCGGTTCCCTTTCTTGTTATCTCATTCACGCGCCAAAGCGTGTGTAACCTTTTGGGATGTGAAGTGGTACAGACGAACCTCACAGTTTATTTTTGTACACATCCGCTATAGTTACTAGTACACGAATCCAATTATTATTGTTATGTTTTTCTTATATTTTTTTGTTCAAAAAAAGCATAGGACTCGGACCTGCCACGCGGATGCATTGGCCCTCACCAACTAGTCTTTGCTAATCCAGGCGCTGGTATTCGTGGATGCCTTGGGTACGTACATTGAGTATTGCGAGTAATAGTTCTGTTGTATTTTGGACTGTATCCTAGTACAATGCTTGTAAGACCTCTAGTCTCTGGGTTACAAACTCGTGAGGAGTTTGCCCATTTACTTCGCATATTTATACTAAACTACGCCTATTCTAGTAATTTCTATACAATCATTCTCTTACCAATCTCTTACTCAGCATGCCGGAATGCCGGATTGCCAGAATTATCTCGCATTTTCCAACAAGTTCACATCTGACCTATGATCCTTGTACCCGCAGATGGAGATTTGCGTAAGTACAGATTAGTGCCACCCCATCGCCGAGATCTGACTGTTTTACAGCGTCATGGAGCTGCAATCCGTGGTCACAGAGCTCTTGAGCAACTTCGAATTCAGTATGCCCAAGGGAGCTTCGAAGCTGCAGCATGGTCCTGCTGGTACGGCTTTGATCCCCATCGTTCCAGGGAGGGCAGAGGAAGGAGCGCAAATTCCGTTACTTGTAACCGCGCTTAACAAGTAGGGCCTCTGATGCTGCCGAGTCGTGAGTTTTAGAGCCTCACAACATTGCTTATCACAAGTCGAGACCGGACCCTCTCTCTTGTGCATACTATTTACTTACGCTTAGCTTCCGAAGAATTTTCGGAGTATTTAAATAAGTCTGTACATTTCATTGCCACGTCGCCGTCATGTTTTCAATAGATGTTATGAAGCCACAAATCAGTTCTTTCGATCAGCGATTTTCAGTGAATGTCACGGCGCAGCCCCGTACACTGTACAGTCTGCAGGATGTGGCTTCCAAAGACGCCTTTTTTGCAATTGCTCCATAGCAAAGAATGAGTGAAGTTGGAGTACAAACTCTGTTGAGGTTATTGACTCGGCCCGCCGGGATTCAAGGCAAGGACGGCCCGCGCCACATCCACCTTGTTGAATCGTCATCCTTCGTTTGCTTCCGGCCAATTACTGGTGACGGCATCCTTTACTCAGTACCGACTTCTCGATAACAGCTATTTTCTGACAATCAATGTTCTTTTACTAGGGGCTCAGCCGCAGTGTTAACGACGTTGAACATGAATGTATGTTGTCTATTTGTCTTCTGGGTCTAAAAGTAGTCACATTCACCTGGATCCTGCTCCCAGATCACTTCGAGAGCCTTGTTAATTGTAGCAGGGGTCAGAGGTACGATCATCAGTTGGCCTTCACCTTTTACTAATCTACTGGTACCTTGAGACATGCATCGCACCGACCGTCACCATTGAAGACGCACACGCGGCGCACCCTTGAAAATTGGTATCGACTAGCTCACAAATATTTCAGCAAGAGTCGATATCTCCCCGTTTTCCGATGCTCAAGTACAAGTGATAGCGTTATCATATAAGCGCCTCTGCCCGTGCCTTTCTCATGTCAGTCCCAGCGCCGAACATCTGGTTCTGCCTTCCTCCGGCCGCTCACGGCAGGTGAATCTTCAAGGCCCTGAAGTGGTTTGCCGCGGATCCTCCTAGTGTTAGATGACAATGCCGTTCCGTCAAGTTCACCTCATTCTAGTCGTGAGTCCATCCCCCGGGTTCGATTTTTGTATTGGTTCTAGGCAGGAAGAAATGAATTCAAACTCAGTATAACCCCGTCTTATCAAGAATAGATTCAAGGACAGCAAAAACGATTCTTGAAGTGGTTTCGCTTCGGGCTTCTCTCCGACCATCACTCGTCATCTCATGGCTTAATGTCATTGTTAATTGCTAATGGGCGTCTGATTTTCTCTATACCTTGCCTGTTGCTGCGTACGTGGCTCACGTCCATCTCATGTTTCAAAGGATCTTGAACTTCACCAATCGCATACTGATTTCTTGTTAATATTTTTTTCTCGGGCTCTTCTTGGGGTGTTAATCACGCAGGCCGATAGCATTTAAGCGCTCTAGGCACGGGGTTATTAATCACAACAAAAGCACCATGAAGGGTCCGGAATTACTACTGCTTATTCATGTCGTTAGCCGATAAAGTTTAGGTGTTAATGGCCTTACTCCGGCTTCTGAGAAACGTTCACGGGACCACTGTTTGTTTGAACTTTACCTTCCATTGGTGGTCCACGGGTCCTGATATCTCTACAGTCCATGTAAACCTGACACCATTTAGCAAACTTAACTCCCCGAAGCCGCGGGGTGGAATTGGGCTGCTCTGTGTTATCAATTGCTCTAGGGTCTCATGACATCCTATTGCTAGCCAATCACACTCTCTTCTAGTATTCTTCTCTCGATACACACCACAAAATACGACTGCTCCCGTTGAACAGCATGGAACATCCATGCATAGAAGGCCTTCTTCCTGAAATCAAGGAGCGCCAAGCGGCACTGTACGTATATCTTCAAGTTCGGCTTGTACCTGGATAAGTTAAAAAGGATCTTCAGTGTGGTCCGTTATTCTCTATACTTTCTTCCGTATGCCCTCTATTTCATATATCCTTATTCCCTTTCTCCTGGCCTTTCTCCTGGCCGTTATCCGAACGCGGTCCAAGTGCAAGGCTGTCCGAAACGTCCGGGGTCCCCTACGCCCATCCTTTCTGCTAGGTTCGCTATCTGCGTAGCTTCTTCCCATTATCACTGATGTCATTCATTAGGACACGAATGGATGATGCGCCATCGGGACCATGTTGGCGACCTGGAAACGCAGTGGCTTAGGGAATACGGACCAGTATACCGGATCGGGGGATGCTTTGGGGTGAGCATATGTCATCTTTGGTGAACTAAGCACTAAGCTGGACCTTTGGGTGATATAGCAAGATGTATTGGTATTATCCGATCCAAGGGCCCTGCAATACGTTTTTCATACATCTGGATACCGGTTTCCAAAGACATCAGATGCTCTACGGCAATCGGATGCATTTTTTGGTCCTGGGTTAGTGACAGTCCATGGTATAATGTCTCCCAAATTGTGTCGTATCTTTGTCATATTCATTTCCATCCAGGGATCACACACCAACGGCAGCGTAAAATCATGAATCCTGCATTTTCTGCTTCTCAGCTTCGTCAATTTCTTCCTCTGTTCCAGACGTTTGCATCGAGAGTGCGTCTTCGTCTCGAAGTACTTGATGGCTATTATCTGACTTTCTTTCTACGGTAGCTAACGGATAAAATCAAAACCGAAATCCAGGACAATGCTGCAGGTAGTGTTGTTGACGTTCTGCAGTGGACAAGCAAAGTCGCACTCGACATCATCGGTATAAGTAGGCTTTCTTAATAATGATATGTTGGTTTAGTAGCTGATTAATTCCACAGCTGCTTTCCGATATCAGCTTCCATGCTCTCGAGGGGGAAGGGGGTGCATCAGAACTGCGAGATGCGCTCCGGAATATATTGTATGTACTATACTTAAATCAGTGATTCCTGATCTGATGCCGAAACTACAGCAGCGAGGGTAGCTCATCTCTGTCCCGCCTAGATATTCTATATGGGTCTCTTTGGCGCATGCTCCCCGACTTCGTCTTGAGGATACTTGAGCTGTTACCAGCGAGAGATGTACTTCGACCCCTACGTTTTAGAGACACTTCGCAAAGAATCGCCAGAGAGATTTTCCGGAAGCAAGTTGACGTGGTTGCAAACGACATGAACACAGCCGAGAGGGATATTGTGAACGTTCTTGGTTTGTGGTGTCTCTTTCCTCTTCAGCTCTTCTATCTAAGTTCCGTTACTGGCAGCGTTGTCTTACCTTACGGAAGAGCCTAGTAAACGAATGAGCGACGAAGAAATATATTCTCAATTATCGTAAGCTCGATTATCCTTTCTTTGCTTGGGATTCCTCTAATAATTGGCGGTGACAAGCACTTTCACTCTTGCCGGTCATGACACTACCGCGACAACTACAGCCTGGATCCTATACGAGCTCAGTCGTCACCCACACATCCAGTCACAAATCCGCGAAGAAATCTTACAGACACGGGAACGCTGCCAAGGCGATCTTACTTCTAACGATTACGACTCCATGCCTCTGCTTAATGCTGTAATCAAAGTGAGTTACGCTTCTAATCCACATGAACCGAACCGAAGGTCAATTTCACCCCTGCAGGAGACCCTTCGCATTCACCCTTTCGTTACTACCTTGATACGACTTGCTGCTCAAGATGACGTTATACCCCTTTCAGAACCCATTATCGCATTGGATGGGAGTGTCATGTCCGACATTCCTATTCCGAAGGGACAGACCATAGTAGCATCGCTTATACACTTACAACCGGTGTGAACTTTCGTGGCGTTGGACTTGTCTCCGGCTGATATTTGAGCCGTTGTAGGCTACCGAGCGTATGGGGACATGATGCGGATGTATGGAACCCTGATAGGTTTCTGAATCTTCCACGGAGCAAACAAACGTCCTTGGGAGTGTATGCAAATTTGTGAGGAACCCTGTTATATCCTGCGCTACCTTGATCTCACCGTACCATTCGCAGGATGTCATTCAGTACGTAGTTTGGTCACCTTCCAAAGGCTTCCCAATGACCAGTCTTATCGCATAGGTGCAGGAATTCGTGCATGTATCGGGTACGTCTCGGCGCCTCGTAATATGACAATCGAGACTAAATGATCTAACGTCCTAGGTGGAGGTTTGCGTAAGTGTTGCTCATATCGTTATGTTCTGTATCATACACTCATCCGTGTGCAGGATCATGGAAGTGCAGAACGTCATTACAGAACTTCTGAGTAGCTTTGAGTTTAGCCCCTCGGAAGAAGGGTTAGAACTGCAGCATGCTCCCGGAGCGCAGACTCTTACACCGGTCGTAAAGGGAAGGGCTCAAGAAGGGGAACAGGTTCCTTTGCGCGTCACTCTGCTTAGCAAGGAGTGATGAGGTGTTTCTACTGGAGAAGATCATAGACCCTTGTATTAGTATTTTGTTGTACGTTTCCTTCCAGTGTCAATGCAATGGACGTGTTGTAAGTCTACTAAAAGCTTTGGCCTGACTTCAACGCGATATTCCGTTAAGCTGAAGATAGCTCTTATGTGCCGTCGTCCTACAGAAGGGGTATGAACACACGCTCAAAACACAAAGACTTGTTCTGGTTCACCATTACTAAGGAGAAGTATACGTAGGGATTGATCTCATACAATTATCGTCGACCCGTCATAGCTCTTCGCGCATAGCGAAATGCCGAGCCCTTCTTCCTTCAGCCCTTTCAGCCGCAGTTACATCAGGCTGAAGACAAAGACACAGGCAAATCCACATCGACCTGGACAGTCTTCAAAAACGAGCTCTTCCATCTCACTAGCCACATGCGTCAACGAACACTGCGTCAACAAACTTAGGCAGCCGTCTCAGTCCGTATCGCCAACACGGATAAAGTGGCGGAGGAAAATGAGCGTCCTAAGATGCTGACACCTAAGCCGTCATGAGCGATGATGGTCCTGAGGCAGACTGTCGTCAGTTCGCCGCCACTGAAAGAACTCAAGGCTCAAGAGATGCGAGTTCGGGGGAGCGCTCGAGAATGCCAGAAAGGTAGCGGTTCAAGGGTGTTTCCAGTAGCCGGAGGGAGAGGAAGGGAACAGTGGGAGTGGGATATGAGGTCGTGGAGAGCCTGGAGTCTGTCTGCTCGAGGTGGGAATCCTGTAGGTGGGCGCGCGAGGGTGACATCTGCCAGGGCTGGTAGCGTGAGGCTGCCAAGTAAGCCTGAATCACAAATGTTGAGGGTAGTGAGATGTTTGTGTCGTATTCGGGGCGTAATACGCGACGGCAATGCATCGGAATTGTGAAAGGTTTGGAGGTTAGAGGCATTTCGTATGATATCCAGGCTCGATGGATGGGTTGGATGTCGAGGATCAGGGATACGGCGATCAACAAAGTTGATTAATCGGGAGGCGGGGAAAATAATTTGTGTTTTTTGATGAAATTGCCAGTCGATAGTCAAGTCTATTAGACGTGGCGCAAATTCAAAAGCATTGATGACGTCGACGTCAGGATACGAGGAGGAAAAGTACAGGCGGCAAAGATTGGGAAGGCGACCGCGGATTTGGGAAAGCATGGGTATCAGATCGGAAACGAGGCTGAGGTCAGCCATGATCCAGTGTTTAGAATGTGCGAGGAGTATTTGGAAGAGTGCCTTGAACTCCTCGTTTTCTTCTGGGGTGGTACGCTTCGCGATAGAGCGGAACACAAAGCGAAGATTTTGACAACGTTTCACGATGGCTCTAAGCATGGAGCAGGGGTCTTTTCTGTGTACGAAGCGATGGCTAACAATAAAGTTGGTCCAAAGTTCAGGGCACTGACAGAGCAGCCGCCCTCCATGTTTTACAAGCATGCGAAACTACCCAAGGACTTCCTTTTATACGATGAGCGTGGTAAGACTGTGAATTTCTGGTCCACGTGAAAATTTCCATCAAAAGTTCCGGGGGAAGGACGACGGACCGGGGCCAAAACGCGTTCGTAGACGGCCAAAGCCTCCTCCATTCTCTTCCTTTCGGCATCGAGGTGAGTCAAGTACTCGGCAAGCTTTTCCTTGACATTTCGTGCTCGCTGGAAATCATCGCTTGAGGGAAAAGTGCCAGTGTACAGGAATGACTGCATAAGACGAAGGTTTATTTTGGGTATGTCTTTAGAGGAGGAGGAGCCACACTTGGAGCAAATACAGATGCTGAGAGGTCCCTGCGGCATCTAAATGGGAGGCAGCTCTTAGCGGAAGAGCAGAAGGGGTAACATTGTCCTACATACCTCGACCTTGTGTGCTTTAATAATTAGATAGCCCTGGGAAAGGGGAATTTTAACTATTAACAATGGAAGAAGTCGATGCCTGGTGGTCGCTGGCAACAGGAAGCAGCAGGATCGGACAAGTCAAGGTCCGTAGACATACGATGACGTGTAGTGCCGGGATTACCGGGCCGGATTCCCTCTCGATTCAACACAACACCCAAGCACTTGTGTGATCTTGCTTGTGTTTGCGCGTTAGAGTATCGCACTCAAGTACACACATTGTGTTATGTTATCTCCGATACTACTGTTCATACCCAAACCATGGCAGCATCATTACCCAAGCGTTACTCTGTCTCCGACCATTATCAACCTCCTGGGTTATGACGGATAGGGCTACGGCCATCATCTTATTGAGATTCGATTGAGATGACACGAAGAGTTGAGAGGCGCATCTAATACTATCGAATTCGGAACAAGCGGCCGAGTCCACGGGCACGTGGCTGACTTGTTGATTTTGTCAAACGTTTACGTTGCAACTTAGCGTGGTTTATCATATTTGATGACCGTCCTGGAACTCAAAAATACATTGCTATGAACACGGTTAGTCTTAGTCTTTCTATCTTTTTGTAAGCTCATACTCCCTCTGCTAGAATCTAGTACTTCCATTCAGATTACCTTCTCCAGGTCACTGGATAGGGAACCTCATTCGCAGATGAAAAATAGCCGATTTCTCAAATATACTGCCACTATTTCCGACAAGATCTCATCCAGGAAGGCGTCTTCTCTCTACGCTTCAATCTCGTTCTCAAATTCAGCCCACACGCACGTGAAGCAGAGGGGATAGCTATGTCCATCGCACGCTCTATGGATGTGCCTGCGCCCCGTTTTATATCATACGGCGAGTATTCTCCCAACATGAGATCTCGGGAGGGATCTATCCTCATGACATGTATACCTGGAAAAATGCTGCAGGATGTTATCGAATCTTTATCCCCCGAGGAGCTTCATACCGTCATGCAGGAGCTCTCTGAGATTCTAGACTGCATGCGATCGTATTCTAACCCTTGGGGTACTCGCGTATACGGCGTCGACGGAAAGGACGTCTACGGTGGGCGCATCCCAGGTCGTCATATCAGAGCTTGCGACGACGAGCATTCCTTTTACGCAACCCTTCTTCGGGCTACCGGCGCTCGGGACGATGATCAAGTAGGTCCCGCCAAGCTTGAAAAGGCGAGAAATATGCCGACCTTGTTTCCCCATAATATTGTGTTTACTCATGGTGATCTCTGGGATCATAATATCATGGTGGATCACGGACACATCAGCGGGATCGTGAATTGGGAATGGGCGGGGTGGCTTCCCGAGCATTGGGAGTACACATTGATTCTTCGATGGATTGGATTGCAAGTGCCTTGGACCAAACAGTTGGCTTCTCTACCCGGGTACAAATACTCCAAGGAATTGGAGTATGACTTGGCCTTGATCGCAGTTTCAGATAGCTCTTTTCCAATATGAGTGGGATGTTCTGGCTCTTATTCTCGATTAGTTTCTCATATGTGATGGTTTTTGATGTTGCAACGGTTTTAGATCCCCGTTTCCTCATCGTGATAAGGAAACCGAGTCGTACCAACTCTCATATGCTGGTTCCTCTTCTACCATGTCAACTGATAGTGCCCTAGACTCGATTCGCAATCTCGTCATTCAATTTTAGGCCGCTAGGGTATGAACGTACAGTTCATTTGTATCGCTGCACTTCGGATACTACAATTCCCACTCAGATTTACAGTTTGATTTATCCGTTAGCGCCCTCTCAGAACGGGACCCCGATGCTTTTTTCATGTTCGTAAGTACTATCCGAATAGCTGTTTTTGTTTAGAGGTCTGACATTCTCCCTATTTGTGTTTGCACCCGAAAGGCTCTACCTTAATTCAGTCAATGCTTCTGCTGCGCGTTTGCTTATTTCTTGCAGTTACAATACTTGAGTGGCGCATCTCGTCGTTCTTCTCGTGATCATATCTCTAGGCGTGAACGATTACTGGAGCGATAGATATCTGTTCGCTACCAGCCCTCTGCTTTGTATTCAGTACTAGCAGACCTCGGTGTTTTCAGCCAGCGACATGACGCATTCCCCTCAATCTAAGGTACTGCTGTCGGAATGCTCGGATACTGAAGTAATAGCTTCCAAACCCGCCCAGTGATATAGTTATACAGCCGTGCCGGGTCTAGTCAAAACATGAGGAGCTTTATTCAAATACCGATACCCATCCTCCTCATGACAAGGCATGGTGGCATGGCCCCACTTTGGCATGCTTTGCGCTGTGTAACGCACCCCTGATGTACCTGTCCCTCGGCGCTTAAACTAGCTTATAAAGTCGACGAATGGGGGGGAATAGCTCAGGTCTTCTACCTATTCGCTTGACGAATCCCCTCGGTTTGTACCAATTTCACACCCACATTCCAAAATACTCAAGTTTCCAGTTCATACAGGCATCTATATCATGTCTCCTGAAATTGGAGCATTATACATCGTGCTCTTCGCACGCTATCAACCAGGAAGCTATCACTGGGGATTATACCATCACTGGGCGGCTTCGCCCCTAGGTTCCGAGACCACCTCCGCAGGCAAAGGTACTAAATATCATGCCGTAACTGTAGGGGAGGATTGGGGTCCGTTGGCAAGTGGAGATTGATGGGACGAGTCGTGCATGGCAGTCGCTGTTGTTTGTCGGCTTAATCAAGATCGGGTACGTCGATCCGACAAAGAGACAGTCGTTAGAAGCGACTCTTGACAAGGTTACCTGTACTTCGCCCTCTCCAAATATCCCGTTCACTTGTCGGACTTGGGTGCTGAAGGCTGTTAATCGCTTGATTGATGTTGGTGCTGTTCGGCTGCGACAGGTCCAAGGCATTGGAGACTGAAGCCATAGCTTTCGGAAACAAGGAGGCTTCCACTCGTCCTGCTCGACCCCGTCCTATTGTCCAGTCCGCTGTGTGTAAATTCTGATGCCATGAAGTACTTCTTTCCTAGTAAGCGCGTTCTATTGCTCTTGCAACCTAATCCTAAATTCATAATTCGCAGCGCAGGGATCGTTATTCCATACTCCAGTCAGATAGATAACCTTTTTTTTTGCTTGTAACGTACAGCTGAGGTACAAAGAAATGATCAAAAGCGCCATGTGAAATATGACAGTCTCTCTGTCATCCCAAAACGGAGACCCGCAACAGAACCTGAGAACCCTGGTTAGCTTTACCCTCCACCGCGGGGACAATCACCAGTCCAGCCGGATATTCCTGCACATTCAGACCCTCAGGTAAACTGAACTCGAAATGCTTCACAAGGTCGACGATGATGACTTGCATTTCATGATCCTATCGTTCCAGGTTAGATATCGGCCATAGACTCTGGCTTGGAGGTGACCTACGCAAACTCCCAACTTGAATTTTTCACTTAGAATTGAGTGCTGGAAACCGGAAACAGGTGAAGACCCACCCTATGCATGAACGCGTTCCGGAGCCTTATTTATCAATTGAGCGAGTGAGTCTCTAGAGTGAGATGTACGATTCACCAAATTGTCATCCTGCAGACACAAATTCAGATTTCGTTTCAATACGAGTACGTCAATTTTTACTCACAAATTGCTATATATCCCGTGCGGAGTGAGCGGCTGAGCTCCGTCGCCAATAAATCGGCTTGGATTCCACTGATTTGCGTCAGGACCCCAGATACTCGGCAGCCTGACAATGCTTAGACCCTCCAATGTCAATCATCGGAAACAGCAACGCGTACCTATTATACGTGTATATCGAACAATGAATTGTTTGTCCTTTGGGGATAAGAATGTCTTTCAAGATCTTCCCGTCCTTGGTAATGATCGGTTCGGACAGTGGAAGGGAATCATCTTGAACTGCCCTACGCATAAGGGTGGGTGCGATAGGGTGTAGGCGAAGGTTTTCCTGTCAATGATTAAAATCAAAACGGCGTAACAAGTCCGAACTTTGTTCAGCTTCACGTACTTTGATGGCAGCGTTTAGAAATGGCATCGAATCATACTCGTTCGAGGAAAGTTTGGTGTTCTGCAGGCAAGCTTGCGAAATCTCTTCCCATATTTTTCTTTGATCTTCGGGATGCGCAGAAAGCCCGTATAAAAGCCACCCTAGGGTAGTGGCTGTCGTCTCGTGTCCCGCAATGACAAATGTGCTACAGTGGGAAAGATGTCAATAAAGTTTAGACCCTGAAAGATAACACTTGCGCAAGTTGTGCCTCGACTTCATTGTCTCTCATCTGATCCGCGCCACGCGCTCTTGCTAAAAAGATAGCTCAGATACTAGAACTGTGAATCACGGTTTGGTGACGACTAACCTAGGACATCAAGGAGATCCCTATTCCCTGGTTCTGGTAGCATTCGGAGTCCTGATCCGAAGCCACGGTTAAAGGTTCGAGTCCAATATGATGACCCTTGTTCGGCATGAAAAGTGACCATTCGAGTGCAAACAAGTCAATCCGAACAAAAAATCCTCCCCCGGCATGAGAGCCAACGTCAGAAGTGGTAAGTTAATCGAAACGGCTGCGTTTGGTGCTACAAAGATCGTTAGCCCGTAGCCGACAACAAAATACATACACGAAACACCTACCAACTTCCACAGACAAGAATTTTCTTGACCCGAAAATGTCGTCGATGTCAAAACCTTGAGATGGCAGGGTGCTGGTGATGAAGTCAACGACGGCACGTCCCTCTAAAAAAAATGATACGTACCTCAAAGTCTTGACTTTGGTTCAGTCGACAAGGACGGCAGATGCTATTAAATTCGTCAACGACATCGCTGCCACTCAGAACGAAACTGTACTCACTGAAAACCAACTCCCTGTGACAAGAAAATGCCGCCACGTAGGTCTTGAAGTTGGTCACTAGCTAAGGGCGCATCGTACCGGGATATCGAATCAACCCACGTGCGAGGAGGGCCTCCTCGCCATCGGTCACGATTGAGTGCGCACATCCCGCACTCGCCAGTCACCCCCAAGTTCCGCCCTTGGTCTTCAGTTAGGATGATAGCAAACACTATGGAAGTCGTCAACAAGGCTGCTATCAGTCATACAAGATTCCACTCACCAAAGCGGAACCTCCCGCGACAAGAAATGCTGCTTGTAGGTCGTTCAAGGCTTTGGACGTCGCTCGGCGGGCGATACACCGTGAATCCATGCTTGAGTGGGAGGAGAAATGTCCTCGTCGGACACCGACATTGAGATCTAGATCCCTCGCTCACATCCACCCCTCGGCCCCTCCCTCATTCTTCTCGATCCAGTCATGTCCAAGTCAGAATCTGCAAAACATCAGTGGAAGCTTGCATAAGGCAATGAATGCAATACTTACAGGAAATCCATCACTTCACTATTCAGTCAGCAGGACCGTAGCTGCCGGGCGCCATAGAGAGACGGCTGGTGTGCACTGCAGAGGTCGTCAACAACTTCGTCACAAGCCGAAAACCAAATAGAATACTCACGACATCTCATCCGCCAATCATCCTGTCGGCACGATATCCTTGCTTCCCTGCAATTACCTTGCACTTCACAGTAACCGCCACCCCGTTTGTTATGTAGCATGACGGAATCTTGGAGGCTTGCTCAATGGTCGTTGATACATCCCGTGCGGCCCCATGCTCAAGTAGAGAGAAGGGTCGTCAGCACCAGACATCCGCGTGCCCTGCCTATATCCGCATCCACCTAGCCGAACACCTCACCATCTCCAAATAATATCCCCCTCATAGAGCCCACACCCTTGCTCCCCGGACATCGATATATCGTGTCAACGCAAATTCTAGTATTCCCATTAACGTTCGATCATACGGCTTTGGGACGATGGTCATTCGGTGTTATGCCGCAGCTGCGGGGATCGGTACGGAGAGTAGATGGTGGTGTTGAAGACGTGCAATGGGTGCGTCGATCGAAAGGAGACGACCTGGCGATCGAGTTCGGTCAATGCGCATATCCACCTCACGCAAGCCTGCTCCATCACATCCCAACTTTGCACGGCTCTCCCTATTACTCTCCCAGATATCCAGCTCGCCAGAACGCGATACGTTGCGTCGAGGCAAAAATCAACACCATCGTGACCGAAAAAAAGGCCCGAAGTCAACGAAGGAAGCACGGGATATTTTGACGATAGCAAGGTGGATGGTAAGGGGAAAGACACGGAACTGAACCCTAAAAACAGACGTCACCTTAAACTGTGACGCATGAGCAAGATATGCCGTACTTACATGTTATCCCTTCACCAGCAAGACAACTTCAAACTTTGTTAATGCATCGAGAATCGCAATGCATTTACCTTGAGGCGAGGGTCCTTATGGTCGTGAGGACAAGTCTAGAGAGTCAAGGTACAAATGAGTAAAACCAAACGTGCAAGTGGGTAACGAAATATCATACCAAAGTACGAGATGCCCTGCCTGTGAGTCAGACTCCTTGAAATTGGAAACCAGGACTATAGCATAGGCTTGCAATGGCAGAATTGAGGAGAGCAATGGGGACGCATCGGCTCGGTTATCGTGGTGAAGAGCAGAGCCAGCTAGTGAGCTTGCCAAACAACCCTGTCCCAGCCAAACATTCCTTTTATGGAACTCACCTCCTTGTGACACATGAACTATAAGTTCTATACTAAGTTGGCGGGAAATTATCCGAGGCCAACGGAGGGTGTACTCATATGTGGCGCACTTTTATTTATGCCAAGCTACGGGGATACATTACTGTTCAGTGTCCCGGCAGAGCACAATTTGAAAAAATAAAAATAAAAAAACATCTCCCACTCGAAGTTCTAGTGTCACTCTTGCTATCCAGCACATGGCTTCATGGCTCAGAAAGACTGCTGCCCATATCCTTTGATTTATGCTTCTGTCACTACAAGAAAACATATATACAACTCATCATGATTCATGTATACATTACAAACAAAAATGTTATTTATGGAGGAATGAATTTTTGCGCTGCAAATTATGGAGTCAGGATTAGGTTGCAACAGTGATAGAACGTGCTTACTAGGAAAGAAGCATGGAGTCGTTGGGTTATTGAATGTACACTCAGCGGACCAGACCACAAGATGGGGTCGCAGAAGCCAATGGTCCACAATCCGATCGTGCCCGAAAGTTATAGCTTTGGTCTGCAATTTCTAGCAGTTGTTGCAGCCAACAACACCAAAACCAATCAAGTGATTCACAGCCTTCATCACCCAAACTTGGGAATCGAACGGGATATTACGTGAGGGCGAAGTGCACGTAACCATGTCAATTGTCGTTTCCAGCCACTGTCTATAGACTGGACTCATATTGACATGACCGATCTTGATTAAGCCAACAAGCATGGCATCATACCTTGAGACACCTATCTCCTCAATCTCTACTTGCCAAGGACTGGGATCTGGCAGTAGATTGGCAGCATGATATCTGGTGCCTCTGCCTGCATAATTGTTGGGGTCGACACCAGGGCGTGGAGCCACAAAGTGATGGTATAATCCCCAATGACAGCTTCCTGGTGGATGGCATACAAAGAGTATGATGTATAGTCCTCCAATTTCAAGATCCATGATATAGATGCCTGTATGAACCGCAGACTTGAGTATTTTGGATGTGTGAGTGAAATTTGGTACAAACCGAGAGGATCCGTCGAGTGAATAGGTAGAGAACCTGAGCTATTCTCTCCATTCATCGACTTTATAAACTAGTTTAAGCGCTGAGAAGCAAGCACATCAAGGGTGCATTACACAGTGCAAAACATGCCAAAGCGGTCCCATGCCCTACCATGCCACCATGTCTGGTTACGACACAGATGTGTATACGTATTTGAATGAAGCTTCTCATGTTCTGACTTGACATGTGGCTGCATAGCAGATATCATTGGGCCAGTTCGGAAGCTATTACTTCAGTTATCCGAACATTCCATGACAGCAATACTTTGGATCGAGAGGAATATGTTGGCATGTCGCAGCTGAAAACACCGAGGTCTGCTGGTACTAAATACAAAGCAGAGGACTGGTAGCGAACATATATCTATCGCTCTAGTAATCATTTGCATCTGAAGATGTGATCACGAGAAGAATGCCCAGATGCACCACTCAAATGTTGGTGACTGCAGGGGAGGAAACGCGCAGAAGAAGCATTGGCTACATTAAAGGGGAGCCTTGTGGGCACACGCACAAGCACCCCGAATAGTATGAACATGAAAAACATTGAAGTTCCGTTCTGAAAAAGTGCCAACAGATACATTAAACTGTAAATTTGAATGGGAACTGGAACATCCGATGTGCAATGATACAAATGAACCATACATTACACACCCTAGCAGCCTAGAACTGAATGATGAGATTGTGTATCCGCTACTACCTGGGTAGAGAAGCTAACTGTTTGGTCCAAGGCATTTGCAATCCAATCCATCGAAGAATCGGTGTGTACTCCCAATACTCGGGAAGCCACCCTGCCCATTCCCAATCCACAATCCCGCTAATGTGTCTGTGATTCATCATTCACCGTGATATTATGATCCCGAAGGTCACTGTGAGTGAATACAATATTATGGGGAAACAAAGTCGGCATCTTTCTCACCTTTTCTACTTGGCGAGACCCTCTTTATCATCGTCCCAGGTGCCAGCAGCTCTAAGAAGGGTTGCATAAAATGAATGTTTGTCATCACAAGCTCTGATATGATGACCTGGGACACACCTGCCGTAGATATCCTTTCCGTCGATGCCGTATATGCGAGTACCCCAAGGGTTAGAATATGATCACATGCAGTCTAGAATCTCAGAGAGCTCCTGCATGATAGTATGAAGCTCCTCAGGGGATAAAGACTCGATAACATCCTGCAGCATTTTTCCAGGTATACGTGTCATGAAGATAGATCCCTTTTGAGATCTCGTGTTGGGAGAATGCTCGCCGTATAATATGAAACGGGGCACAGGCACACCCATAGAGCATGCGGTGGACATAGCTATCCCCTCTGCTTCACGTGCGTGTGGGCTGAATTTGAGAATGAGATTGAAGCGTAGAGAGAAGACGCCTTCCTGGATGAGATCTTGTCAGAAATAGCAGTAGTACATTTGAGAAATAGGGATCAGGATGTGCCGGTGGATCCAGCCACGAATGAGGTTCCCTATCAGATGACTGGAGAAGGTAATCTGAACAGAAGTACTGGATTCTAGCGGAGGGGGATATGAGCTTACAAAAAGATAGAAAGACTAAGACCAACCGGGTTCATAGCAATGTAACTTTGAGCTCCAGGACAGTCACCGAGTATGGCCTGATAAGCCGCACCAAGTTGCACCGTCGTTGTGCATCTGACCCACTAAAGCCCGCCACTACATGCCATTGCATGGACCTTGATTGTGACTTTCCTGATACTGCTGCCTCTCTCCACATGAAGACATCTGATTTGCTGTCTCTCTTGCTACCATTTCTATGCTTCTTCTCTCCTAGCTGCCCCTCCAAACTCGGCTTTTCCTTCCGATGACCCTCTCAAGACGACGACGCTGTTCCATTGACGATCCTCCCTTCACAGCCACAAACGACCGTCCTCCCATTTGTCTCATCTCCACTCCCTACCTGTCTGCACCCTGCACTCCTCCCATCTGTACTCCACTATTCTGCTCCCTCATTCTCTACTCTATCTGGCTGTCGTCGCGACATGAGCTGCAAACAAGTCATTACCGAGTCTGATTTTCTGTCACTCTAGCAGATGTGCACATCGCAGAATTGATTGGCAATGAGGAAAGGAGGTCATGTTCGGGAACGGAGGGTCTTGTGTATACGCGATTGGCGAAGTAGGAAGGCAGTTGCATTTGGGAGAGGAGGATCTTGTGTCTGTACATACGGGAGATGCTCCAAACTCGATCGGAGATGGAGGTCTTTGATCACACTCTGCATCAGTGCACACGCGCACACACTGCCTGCATTTTGGCTTAGACATTGTTCTCAGCCATCTCATGCTCACAGCTAGCTACCAAGTGCAATGCTTATCAGCATGCTGTTCACCTTGAAATACATATGAGGTTCTTACCTCGAACTTCCCTTCAGTCTTCGCAGAATCGTCTCTACATGCTCACTTTGACTGTCCTCTGCAAAGTCTGTGTGAGTTCGACTTTGAAATCCTTATGAAGCAGAGATAAAAGCTTACAACTTTGAGATCGCTGCCACCGAGTTTACTATTTGGAAAGCACCC